ATATTCCACTGTCGGACGACCGACTCTTAGCTCCACAATTTGCGTATATAAAGTTATAATTGCCATCTGCAATTGCCAGAGGTACCATGCTGAACTGATTTTTGTAATTGTAGTATTCACTTCCAGAATTATTTGGCGCCATAATCAAAACGTGTTTCCCATCAATAGCTCCAATGCAATGTGGAAAATTCCATCGTATTTCGAATTCACGACTTATTTGTTTCCATTTCTGCTCCGAACTTGAAACCTACAAATATATAAAAAAAATAAGATGATAATTTACTTAATTAATAATTATTATGGTACTTGATGATAATTTAATTTATTTTAATTTAGATGAAAACACTGCACTTGAAAGTGGTATGGAGTTAGAGCCATCTCAATCACCAAGGCTTACATCGAATGCTACAACATCTACATCTTCGAGGAAAATAAATAAGACAGATGAATCAAGTGAAATATTAGTGGTTTTGAAAAGTGCGAAAAAAAAGATGGATGAAAAGGAGAAGAAGGATCCATTTGATATTTATGGTGAATATATTGCTGCTGAATTAAGAAGTGTTAAAGATGACCAAGCCGTGACACAGGCAAAGTACCATATTAATAATATACTGTATGAATAAAAAATGGGACGATATAATACATATGGATATCAAACGGCATCTTCTCATCCATCATCAACACCAAATAATGTCCAGGAAACTGAAATAGGGGAAATTGAGAGACAGGAAATAAATAGACTAGATGCAATACAAGACGAAACAGAAGATTCGGCTATACTAAACTTAGTTAACTATCTCAGTGATGAATCAACACAATAGCATATACTTACTGTTCTTTGTGTTTTTTTATTATTAAAATACTTGATTACACAAATAGTGTTCTTGTGCCTACCTTGACATATCATGATAGTGAGTTAATTAGTTCTTGACATACATCTGGTATGATTTTGCTAATCAATTGTTTTGATACTCTGAATGTATATGAAAGAGAACTGTATGAATCTCCAGTTGCAAGATACCTTGACATATCATGATAGTGAGTTAATTAGTTCTTGACATACTTCTGGTATGATTTTGCTAATCAATTGTTTTGATACTCTGAATGTATATGAAAGAGAACTGTATGAATCTCCAGTTGCAAGATACCGTAATGTAATAGCAAGCCTCGTTTGAGGTGAAACTGGCTGACAAATGTTTGTTTCCCTTTTGGCTATTGATGAACCAATCATTTCCAGAAGATGTTCGAAATCACTTTTCGACATTCTCGTAAAGTTACAAAATGATCCACCTGTCATTCTGAGGTCACTCATCAAATTTTCTCTTTGCAAAAGATAGTTTCGAATCCACCATCTTTTTCTCTTTTTTTGTTAGAAATCCTATACATCAGATACAGAGAACACAACAACACTACCTCAGCATGCGCAACAGAATAAAGGTGATACTCACATCATCAACTGCAGATCAGCTGATGCTACACGCACGGAAGGTATTTAAAAGTTATTATATTACTGTTTCGGGAAGTTTTTCAGTACTATGTGATTCATTATTATGTGCATTTGGTAGTTTTATGTGTATGTGTAAATTTATAATTAAAATTTTAAAGAATTGAAACAAAGAAATAAACAAAAAAACATAGCTATTTTATTAATAAATATTTACATTTCTTTTTTTTTTTTAATGTATGTATGCTTAAACAGGCCAATCAACACGTACTATATAATTTTGGAGCACTAAGTGTACATGATTTGTACACTTAAACTAGTGACTACTCCCTAGAAATGAGAGTAAAGACACATCAAACTACCAAAGGCACATAATAATGAATCCAATAGTACTGAAAGACTTCCCAAAACAGTAATATAATAACTTTTAAAGTCCTTCCGTGCGTGTAGCATCAGCTGACCTGCAGTTGATGATGTGAGTATCACCTTTATTTTGTCGTGCATGCGCAATGCGCAAATAATTGGCTTGGAAATGCCACGACGGTTTTGTATTGTTTACAATAATAATTATTGAATATTTTTAAGAATTAGGCCGCAGGCAAATTAAATTAGCACAAGGGCAATTTTTTCACGCTTGGTAGAGTAAAAAATAATCATTTTTCAAAGAGATATGGCTATTTTAAGTAGAGGAAAATTGAAAATTATATTTCTATTTTTCCTGGGAAAACGAAAAACGGGCTTATAAATTAATTAACGTAGGTCGAAAGGGCTAATTGAGATCTATAAAATGAGATTTTTTTTTTAGACGTCAATTTATATTAAAAGTGTTGTTCCAAATTTTCGTATGAATTTTTTCCGTCTAGCTACCTTTCACAACGCGCGATAAGGAACTTCGTTCCAATAAACAAAGAAATAATATGGTGTAATACATAATTTTGTTTAACAAATTATTGTATTATTCTGCTTAAAACTAGCAATTGGCAGACTGATTTGGTTGTCCGATAAGTAAGTCAACTGGCAGGCCGGTTGTGGTGCGTAGCCATATAATACATATTAATGTATCCCTATATACTCATTGAGTACTTTTAAATATATTCAGTATTGTCTCAACATTCGGTGTTTCAATACCTCTTCAGGTCTTACAGTGTGACCCTGCCGAAGTCGGCTGGCAACGGAGCTTCTATTTAACATTCCCTAACCATATAAAGATTCGGACTAAGATTCCACGATGTTCGATGCGCAAATTAGATCGAGTATTGGTGTTTGACTGAGAGCCTATTACGTAAGAAATTGATTGAAGCTAATGAGATTTTTATAAAGTATTCTAGTTGTTTAATTGAAGTGTCAAGTAGTTTATATTCATAAGTATATTGAGAAGTTTCATACTACTTATTCTGAGATAATTAAATTGTGTAAACCTTGTAAGTTTCAAAATATTGTAAACATGACTACTTTTGATATTAAGGTTGCTTTAAATATGTTACCTCCTATGAACGATGATGAAACTAACATAAATAAATTAATTGACAACATTGAATATTATAATTCTATTGCTACGACTCCCAATGTTAAAAGCCATTAGTTAATTTTGTGCTGAAGAGTAGATTATCGCAGGCGGGAAAACTGCGATTATCTTCTACGAGTAGTTACCCTGATATGAAAAAAATAATACTTTTCCAGAAATCACCAACGATTATGCAAACTAAATTTAAATTTCCGCTTTATACAATTACCATTGCTGCTTTTGTTCTTATTGCACGCGATGTTGACAAAGTCGTCATTTATTGCGTATATTTATAAAACGGCTGTTGACATCGCCATCGCCAGTTAGTGATGTAACCGTACCATTCATTCAAAAACAAACATTCAAGGATCACTTTCTTGCGACGACAGCCACGAGTCATTTTATTTGTAAAAATATGTTTACGGCTATTCAGTATCATCAGTATGACCAATCTCTTCTTGATAACCACATAGTCCAGTTGATAAAATATGTTTCGGAAAAGTACATGGATATCCGTTTAAATTATTTTGCAAAAAAATCGTTACAAACAGTAAAAAAAGGCAGTTTTTAAATAAATTTCTTAAATATAATATATTTAAGGTTTACTATTACTACTTGTAATCCATTTTAATATAAAGATAAAATATCGACACCTTCGAAAAATTTAGTCAATCCCTAGCATTGTTTACAAGGATTCTCAAACATCGAAAGAGGTTGTAGTGGTGCCATATCATTCATTGGAGTAAAATGCAATGTAATTGTGGGTGATTAAGGTTGATAATAGTTTGTGCCTTAGACATTTCATCGTTGTTTTGCAAGTGTGTGCGAGTCTTATAGTAAAATCATATTTTTGTTAAGGTAAACTCAGCAACTTTCGCATGTTACATGATTTCAAGCATATATTTAAGCGTTTATGCTTTGTTTATCTGACCAAAGTGGTGTTGTATACCTTCGATATATACTAACACTTTTCTTATGGGAAATCATGATAATGTTTTTTTCTATAAGTATCGGACATTTAAGGATAAAGAATTCAAAGTTATAAATAAAACACTATTTACACTATACTTTTTATTGTGACACACATTTTTACACAATAAATACATAAGTTTAAATGTCCAGTTCCTTAAGATATTATAATTAAACTATTTGTGTTCAAGATCATTCTTATATGTAGTCCTATCTGATACATTAATTTAATTGGAGTTAGGAGTCTCCTATAAAATATGTGACTTCTATAATATAGATCAGCGATTTCTAAAGTGAAATCTACGAAACACAACGTATTCGTGAGGAAATTGATAAACTGTTAAGATGTCAATTATTTATTTTGAATGAATGATGAAGCAAAAGAGTTATAATCCTAACATACCTAATCCCTACTAACATTATAAATACGAAAGAAATTGTCCATCGCTTTCACAGCTAAACAAATCAACTGATTTAAATGAAATTTGACATGAAGATACTTTGATTTTTGAGGAAGGGCTTAGAAATACACGCGAGAGGAGCCATGGTCCAAATCTAGGATATAAATCAATAAACGTGAAAGTTTTCAAGTTAAGAATTTTTTCAAAACGTTATGTATTAAATAAATATACCACAACTAGATATCTAACAGTGATGTTATCGAAACCTCAACCCTGGTTTTTTACTGCTCATAGGGCAGCAACGCATTTGTATCTCTTGAGTTGTGTATTGGCAACGGTAACCACTTATCATCAAGTGACCCATATCCGTGTGGTCGCGGATTCAGAATACGGAGTGTCACTACCCGTATTCATCACGTGTGTGTCCGGCTAAGGTAGCAAACTACGCAGGACAACAGCACTACAAAGAGGAGGAAAACTTGACATACCAACCCTATACCAACCCATCTGGCGAGTGTGGTATAGTAGGCCAATACCTCATTTCTAAGGAGAAGCCTATGTCCAGTAGTGGACTATTAAAGGCTGTTAATGGTTGATGATGATGAAATGATACATTATTATAGTAAATGTTCAGACGAGTGGCAGGCGCGGCATAATCTTCGATTACTAAAAATCATTCAAATCACCAATCTTCTAAGTCTTCCTCATTGACATCTGCCATGTCAATATTTTCTTCATCTTGCTGGTTCTCATTAGTCTCATCTACATTATGCTCATTCTCGCCATCTTCTTGTGCTGAGCTTTTATTATTCGTTTCTTCACTGAGATTGCCAATTATGTTGTCTATGTCGACGTCATTGGTAAAATCTTCAGAGTCAGTCACCTGTACCGACTGGAAAGCCTGAAAAGCTTCTTCATTAGATGGTTCAACTTCACCCTTATATTCTTCATTATCATGGGTTTGATTTTCTTCATTATCATTGGCCTCTGTATTGTTGATTTGCTCATAAATATTTTTCATTTCTTCACACAAATCGTCCTTGTCTTGGACAGCGTCTGCAGTACCTTTGTCCATATTATCGTCATCACGGTGCTCTTCTACTTCATTCGTCGTCATCTCTTCATTATCATAGCCGGCGTTCACGTCCTCAGTTTTGGGTACACCTTTAATTATATCCTTTTTTTCAGTGTTCTGCGCGAGCTCTTTTTCGAATAGAAATATCGGTCTGGTGTTATTTTTTGGCATTTTTCTCGCATTTATCAAGTGCAAAGGTTTGAAGGACACAAGACTGTCCGCTGGAATCAAGAAAAAAGTTATTTAGAATAAACAATGTGCCTCTTAGGGAAACAGGTTGGATTCAATCTATCGTTAATAGGTTTGTACATCAAGAATAGCAATGTTCTGATAGAAGCGTACACTTATTTTTAGCTCATCGTGCCGCTAACGTGAAGGATGGAAATAATTTGTGGTAAAGTGAGTTTGGAGATTTATTTATTAAAGATTATAAGTTTGTCTCAAGTTAATCATCAGTATTTCTCAATATAAGTAAACTGTATGTAAAAACAACCTTAACACGGACAAATTTGCGGGTAAAATAACTTAGTGCAATGTATTTAGCAGGCAGTTTTAAATGAAGTATCGATTTTTAGATTTAGTAATAATAATATTTTCGGACATCTAGCACACAATGCCATCTGGTTTCAAATTAAGCAGAGCTTGTACTATGATAGTTTGATGGACTGATAGAATACTAAAATACTTTTTTCAAATAAATACATAAATGATTGGGAAACAAATAAAAATTCCAAATCTTTTATAAATGATGGAGTTCTGAGAAAACAAACATAAAAAATAAAAAAAATCATATACATAACAATAACTTAAAAATTTTTTGAAGTCGGTTGAAGAATAAAGATCAGATGCTTCCACTCACCTACAAGTACCTCCTTCATTTGGCACAGCTTGTCATGATCCTCTATGGAATTACAATGCACGACATAGTAAGCGTTCTGTTTGCTCTTCTTGAGAGCAGACACTTTGAAGTTCTTGAGGAAGTTCTCGAGCGGCACACGTTTGATCGGCGGGGACGCGTACACTCGGAGCATTGTCGGCAGAATTGGTAGTATGCGCCTCGCTAACATTACTTTGAAAACCTGCAAATGTGATTATTGCAAATTTACGATCTTTAACAATGGCTTACATGGCTTTTTTTTGTTGAAACCTCTCTCGGTCAGCCCTCAGCGGGACCCACAGTGAAATGGTATCTCGGAATCGAACCGGCTTAAACCACAAGATGGTCCGTCACGTGTGAGACAAAAATAACACATCTTTTGATAATTGAAATTGAATTGAATTTTTCTTCTTTTACACTAAAATCTTTCGAGAACGTCGTAAAACCAGTCATGCTAGAAATTAGTCGGGCATCCCCGAAACACTCCTACAGATGTGAATATCCGCGTACATTTCATTAATACGGACTTACTACACAATACTTGTTTCCAATAGACAATGCCCGCACTAGGAATATAACCTGTCTGGGGGACTTTACAAACAGACACAACGAACACCCAAACTCGGAAAGACAATTTGTGGATCACAAAAAGTCTTGTCCATGTGGGGAACGAATCCATAACACTCAGCGCAATAGAAAGTATCGAGACGACCGCTTGCCACTACACCGTCCGTGCGGTCAACTTTTACACTACTACACTTATAAAATATTAAATGGCATAGCAGAAGGTTGAAAAGAAGATTTTATGAACATACCCTCCTCATCTCTGCAGAGACATCTCCTTTGAGGAATTGGAGAAAATTAGCAGGAATTGGATCCTTTCCAGGGTTCTCACAAACCTTATCGATCTGTAACACAATGAATAATATAAATAATTATAAAAATCAATCAATCATCAACACAATGATAGTTTTGGGAAATAGCTGCTTTTGCCTAAAATTTTGAACATAGTAACATAGTTTGTCGTCATCCTCATCCTCCGAGCCTTTTCCCAAACAAGGTTGGGGTCGGCTTTCAATTTAATACGAAACGGCTGAACTTTAATTTTACTCGGAGCGACAGGCATCAGACCTCCACAACCCAAGTACTAGGCAATATAGTATGTAGATAGAGATACATACGATATTGATAATCGGACTTTTTAGGGGTCCAACTACCCATTTGTCATTTTAGAAAATTATAATTTAAAACAGTGTATTTATAATTAAATTTAAATTATTATTTAATTATAAATTTATCAAAATTTTCAGATCATTTTGATATTTACAGATTTAACATTTTCTGAATACTGAAAACTTAATTAATGCATGATCCTCGTTTGCAAAAGTATGTATAGTCCGGGATGTACCGTTGCATTTTAGGTAGTGTTTTTACGCCGGTCGGTTGCCATCTTGTTCAATAGATGTCGAATGACTGATAAGTGAACCGAGCGTCAGCTGACGCACCCGCGGTGGGTGTAGGATTGAAAGGTTCCGGAAGTGGTGAAAAAAAATAAAAAATTAAGTCATAGTACGCCGGCTGAAATTCATTTCATAAATATTTTACATCATACAGAGCTAAAAAAAAAAATCGTCAGCTGCATGGTGGAGGGGGGATTATGCGTCAGCCGCTCGCTTGAACTTGTAAAAAAACACGTAAAATAATGTTTTAGTACGCCGGATGAAATTTAACTAAGTGATAGTTTAAATTATCAAAAGTACGAAAACAACAATCAGCTGCGTGGGTAGCGGTGGAAAGACCGTCAGCTGACGCATTAAATGTTAAAAATATTGGAGCATTGCTACTACGCTGTCTTCTTTTAAACACATATTTCGACATAGATTCTGTCTCACTCCTCGATATTTAAGGTTGGTAGAACTGTCAAGTATCACTTGCAATTGACACGACTTCACACCAGTCACTTTATCTTGTTAGGTTATTTTGGTGGAAGTTTTCGGCAAATTTATCACTTCACAGTAATTAATCGCGTTCTGTTTTGGTTCACTTATTGGTCATATTAGATCAACCATCGATGACAATATCAGCCGGCTTACTATGACTTTTTCATTTGCAACGGTACCTCCCGGACTAGTATGTATGTGGTAAAATAGTAATAAATTTAGTTGTACCTTTATACGCATAATATTAATGGAATTGTTTTGACAAATTGATAAATTAATTTATATGTTAGAAACTTTAAACCTTATGTGGGCGGTCCCCTTACGCATATTGTTTTCAAAAGGTAACAAAAACACAAATTCATATTTTTATTATTAATTAATTAGGATAACATGTCTGAGCTACATACCATTGTACACAACAAGTTAACTTCTTTGTCTATAGCGTTTTTGACCTTTAGTTCCAATTTGTTGAACATTGGTGAAGACAAATCACTCATCAGTATGTCCTTTGCGTCCTTTTTATGTTCTGTAGAATAACAAATAAATAATAAACCGACCAAACAAAGCTACTCTACCTACCACATAGTATATTATATACTATCACTGATGCTTTGGGAACAGGAATTGGAAACTAAATAACACATATATCAAACTACCAGTAACAAATATATCATACTACCAGTTCAGAATTACCAAAGAGTAAACTTTGGCTGCGACACTTCAGGTCGCACAGCTATAATCTCAAACAAAATCTCCTTTTGAGGCTCTTGTCTCTTCTGATAACGTTAAGGTTGTACTTATTTCTTTATCTTTCAATGTCCTTTGGAAGTGTAAAACGTATGTAATATTTTTTTTATTATTCAAAGAACCGAATCCGATTTATATTTAAAGAGATATTCTTCGAAATAGTTCGACGTCCGACCGACTTTATACCATAGTGTATTTGCGTCAAGAAAATACTGACGCATTGATCAAGCTCTGCACTCTGACCAATCAAGTTCCAAGCTTTTGAGGCCTGGCCTGTCTGATCATCAATAATGATTATTTCAGACACAGGATAGAAGTTGCTTAAATACTTCCACAACGATCGGTTACTCTGCTTATCTTCCACCTACGCACTATTCGCCTTCAAGTCATTGAAAATTGTTTAAAACCATTATCTAGCTAGCTAGCCTTTGATATTATTCGAATGACTATTTAAAAAGATGGCCTTTTAAAAAAGAGTAAATTTCGAGACTGAGTGATATTTAAAATTATTCTACTATCGTTGCTTATTCATAGTCAGAAAAAACATTTTATACTTACGCGTATTCAGTTTTTTATCTGAAAAGAAGAAATAAATTATTAAAATAGGTTTAAAATATAACTAGAGCATTCACTTTTTCTCTCTTGTTTGACAAAAAGTGACTGACAAAAGGCCCTTCTATTCTTTAGCCTATTGCCGTCCAGTGCTGAACGAAGGCCTCGCCCAAAGCAATAAAACCCCTTATAAGGTCTATATCCTTATTTCATCTTAGGCAATAAAAACATTTTTAAACAAGGCAAAGACGTCTAGGAATTAATTCTTCTATAATTTCTTTCTTTTCATTATTATGCACATACAAGATTATATATATGTTTGTTAGTGTGTCTGTAGCCCAAGATTCCTGAATAAGTTACATAAAAAAATATGTGGGAGAGGCGCTTGCTGAGGGACCAGTGGATGTTTATTTCACAGATCTACTCGATCGTCACGGTGACTGCGTTCTGCGCTGTGATTGGCCCGCACTGAACTTTTAACCAATCATAACACAGTCGAGAGCGAGTTTGATGTGAAATAAACTCGCACTAGGTCCTCAGTATGTTAAGATAGTAGCAAATGGACGGACGGGAGTGAGGCGTGAATGTATATATATATAAATTTGAATTTATATCTAGGCTATAGGTACATATTTGAATTTTATATTTACCTCCTTCTGGATAATGGGGTATTCGACCAGGAATCAATGCGAGTGGTATACTCGAGGGATTCTTTGCTGTAATAAACAGAATTATTTTAAATGATTAAAATGCACAATTTCGATTAGAACGCTAGTCTTAACCAAAAAAGGTAAATAGTAATAAAATACTTAAAATTGGTAATTTTCTTTTTAGTCTGATACTACTGATTACGGCCGCAAGGAAAACTGTTTTCGAACATAAGGTCTCCAGAATACAATTTCTTTAGCATTTTACGAACAATTTTTTTAAACATTTTGCTGCAAAATTACACAAGCAGAATGATTGAAAAATAAATAATACTCAAAAATCTGTTATATGTAAAAATCAGTGTTATGTAAATAAAAGTATTTTTTTTAAATAAACCGACTTCATAAAAAGAGGGAGCTTTATTTTTTATCCTGTTTGTTATCTCAGAACTCCGTTATTTATGAATCCACTTGGAAAAATTTTTGAAAGGGTACTCGACTTGTTCGGTCTCATTCAAAGTGTAAACAAAAAATTTCGCCCGTAAGGGGTGGTAATTAAGGAATAAAGAATTCAGTTTTAGAACATTTTTAAAACAAGCAATTGTCTATCTAAAATGATTAATAACACTCAAATTTTAGAAAAAAAACATATAGGTATAATGTCCTCTACATATTGGTGACGGATTAAGAATACCGAGTGTCAATACTCCTATGCATTCTGTGGCGTCATAAGAGCCGCCTAAGGGAGCAAACTACTCAGGACAACAACACTGCAAAGAGAAGGAAAATTTGACACAAGCCCTATACCAACGCGTCTGGCCAGCGTGCTAAACCTCCCTTTCTAAAGAGGGGTCTATGTCTAGCAGTAGACTGATAAAGGTTGTTGATGATGACATATTATATTATTCATAATTACCTTGTTTGCTTGCTTTCCCTTTATTTTTATTACCTGTAAACATAATACATTATAATTATCACTTAATACAACCATTCGGGAGTGCCGTTCAAGATACGGTTTTCCTAACGTGTGCACTTTTGTTAGTTAGTGTGTCTCTGTGTGTGTGTGTGTGTCTGTGTCTTTCTGTGTGTGTGTGTGTGTCTGTGTCTCACTCTCTCTCTGTGTGTGTGTGTGTGTGTGTGTGTGTGTGTGTGTATATATATATGTGCGTGTGTTAGTATCGAACTCAAAAACAACTTTATCATGTGAGATAGAGTCTTAAACGTGTGACGCCTGATGTCAAGGAAATATCTTTTGACAATAGGGACAAAAACTTAACAATTCTCACACACGGCCCCTAATCCAAAATTAGACAGAGCCTATTAGCACACTATGATAACCAGACTGCTGATAAACATAATTATATATTTCTAATCATACATTCAGGCATAGAAAAAATGATAAAAATCATCACACAACTGTTGGTCCTAAGTGGTAATCGAACCCACGACCACCAGGCCCTTCTTTCCCACTGGGCATTCTCAGCACGTGCCCAGGGCCTCTCGGTTGATATGGGCCCCATAGGTCTTTGCCAGATCATCGATCGATAATCGATATTTATTGAGGGAAAACATATTTACTTTGAAAAAATTCAACGAAAATGACTGACTACTATACTTTATTTGTCTATTTTAACAAAAAAGTGCTCAGTCAAGGTGGTAAGGGCCCATTGTCCTAACCCAGGGCCCAGGGTCCTGGCCCAGGGCCTGCCCATTGGCTATAGACGGGCCTGACAACCACTGGCTAAGCAGTCAGGTTCACTAACCAGTAGCCCAACAAGCCAGTATTCATTACGGAATATATGACGATACACGACTAAGATTTATTCTTAAACGCATCATTATATAACAAAAGATGCTTACCAAACTTGAAAGTTTGGGGGGGTCCTCCAAATCGCGGTCCGCGCTGTTGCGTTCCTCCTTGTTGTGCCTTTTCTACCAAAAACAAAGAAAATGAGAGATCCTGAGAGACCACAGGTCCTTAGATACCTTCTGGTTATATAAAACTTGTCAGAGACCAAAGGGTACCAAAGAGGCCAAACAAGATGAACTTATGTTGAATAGACGAAGAGCTCCAGCATTTATTACGATATTACTTACATCATACAATATTACTGCGTTGTCGCTGATGTTACGTTATTATTCCAAATCTAATCTCAATCGGTATTGCTGTTATAGTATAAAATTAAAGGTCCAAGATTTAAACCATACTAACAAGGCTCGTAACTACTTACTAAATTGGGAGCCGAACTCAGCTCGCGGTGGTCCTCCAAGCTGTGTTTTCCGTTGCTGTGGAGGTCCTCCAAGCTCTGGTCTCCGTTGCTGTGGTGGTCCTCCATGCTGTGGTTTCCGTTGCTGCGGTGGACCTTGTAGTATATTGCCTAAAAATAATACAAGGTAAAAAATTGTGATGACGTCATTTACAACCTTCGCCCTTTAGAAACAACGGCAGAACAAACAATGGCAGCGAAAGACATTATAATTGAAACTATGTCGCACGAGTTTTGTGAATACAATTATTATATGTCATCATCATCAGCCAATCTCACACAGTCACCACACCTATTGACCCCGTGGGTGTCAAAAAGCCGATCATACCCTTTCCAATCGTTTATTTAACTTTTGCAGCTCTAATACTTAATCAAATAGTGATACCCTGACCCGTTACCGATTCGATTTCTTTTATCAATCGATTTTATTCATGAAGAAGTTTTAATCGATTTAACACACTCATTATTTTATCGATAATTTCGTAATTTTATCGATTATTAAACGGCAACAACGGACGCGGCGGCGACGATGTTGCATTCGACAATTTATCTGTCCAAGAATTGATAATCAATATTACTGAGAACTCAAGTGATGATGATTCCTGGTTATACGAAAAAGACGATTCTTTATAATTAAAAATAGTATTACAGTACCTCTTTTGGTTGTTTATTTTTTTAATCCCTAAAGTACTATGAATTTCAACATTTTGTACTTGTTCATTACAAGTAGGTACCGCAGTTCATTCACATGCTTTTTATTTGAACCAACTACAGTAAGTCTAAACGATTATTTTAGATTCATTAATTTGCAGTGAATACATTCGATCCCATTACTAGGTACGAGTACGATGTTGAACTGAATGAACTGTTTTCATTACGCAAATTATTTATCCATTAAAACAGAGACATTTAGGGCATTTTAATGTAAAATAATAAAGGTTTTTACGTGATTTGATATAAAATATAATCACAATAGTTTTATTGTATGTTTTATTAATATAATAGATAATCGATTTATTTCAAAACCGTTTTTGACACATCTCTAAGTGGGCGGTGCCCGTCCATGAAGTACAGTATTCCCTGTAGTACATTGTATCAAAAATTATTACAAAACTGTATGTGCGTGATCTGTCAAAAGTTAAATAAACGATTGGATACACTATAAGGGAGCAAACTACACAGGACAACAGCTACAATTTGACACAAACCCTATACCAACGCGTCTGGCCAGCGTTTTATAGTAGGCCAAAACTCCTTTCTAAGGACAGGTCCATGTCCACCAGCAGACTTTTAAAGGCTGTTGATGAAATCCACCAACAAAACCAAAGCCACGCCAACGAGCGCCAACTATCCAGGTCTTGGGCAGTTTGCAAAAGGGTGTAAAAAAGGCTTTTATTTTGTCATATACTTATTGCATGGTATGGTGTGGTGTATATATTTGAAATTGTTATTTATAATAATATTAAAATGCGTGTAGAAAATATTACAATATTACCAATCATGGAAGTTGACGCTTGCGGCTGTCCTCCATATTGCAGTCCTACTTGCTGTACATTACCTAAAAAATTAAACTTTATTAGAAAGTTTCGAACAGAATTTGGAAAATAAAATCTATCGTAGTGTCGATTCACGTAACATGGACACACACATGCAGATTGCTATTAATACAGACTCAGAGCTCCAAAGCGCGAAATTACAGAGTTGTCATTCAAACCAAGTCATAGATTAAAAAAACATTTCGATACGACTATAAGGGCTACGAGAATAAGAGAAAAAGTCTTAAAACATATTATTGACTTAGTTCAGGCAAAAAGTATCCAGAAACATTTATGAAATGTGAACAAAAAATAGTATTACCTTGCTGGGGTCCAGCACCCAAAGGTTCTTCTGGTTCATTTCTATCGTCTAGACTCATATTGTCAAACACTGAAATAAATGTTTACTCAATTAGTTAATAATGTTTGTGTACATTTTTTTATTATCTTGTTTTTAGTGTATAACGAAATGACGAAGTTACTTCCACGTTTGACTTTTCTTAGCGCCAAAAATAATAGTGTCAGAATTAAGAGGGGAGGCTTGATTTTTTTCTTATGATACAAACGGCACAGGTGCAGATGGGCTACCTGATGGAAAGTGACTATCATGGACTCTTGCAACTCCTCCCCCTCAGAATTAGGTTGTCAAAAACCTGTGTATCAGACGCTAAAACAAATTGTCAACACACACATACATCACTCTGTATTGTTGGAACTCAGTGATTAAATTCGACCCTCACTAATTCTAAAAGTATTTAAAGATGCTCACCTCCGCCTTTCTTATTCTTTTTAATCGTCTTGCAAGGTATGTTTGTGTCTGCAATGTAAAAATCTTTTAAAATAGCTGTCAAAATAAAGAAGCGTTTTGAAATAAAACGACAATTACTTGGCAGAACTTGCATCGACAACGATAATTACTTTTATTATTTTTTTGTTACATATTAACACCCGTATTTACAAAAAGTTCTTCGGTCAGTGTTCACGAAACACTACGCTAAGCAAGGCGGTTCCCATAGCGTTTGGTGTGACCAGCCTTTTCATTTACAAATGATATACAACATTCTCTTTGTTATGCGAACTCGAAACTATATGTTTCGAATACTGATCTCTGATTTGTTCAAGTGTTGTGAAAGAAAGAAACACTACGAATGTTCTAGATGATCATGTATTGCATGACCTAAGTACGCAGAAGGGGAAATATTGACAGAAAGGGAGAAGATTATGTTCGAATACTAAACAGAAATTCATTATTTAGGAAAGGAAATTAAAAACAGTAAACAGACAAGTAATTGATCAATGTATAGCACGTTACTTTTATTAGATTTAAATAAATGGGAAATCTATAGCATCTTCGAAATTAAAAAAAAACTTATTTACACATAATTAATCTATTCTGTTCGTAACCGAACAGTCCATCATGGGCAGCAAATTATCGAATTCCTTTTTGAGGTTATAATCTAGATCATTATTTGTAAGAAAATAAACAAAAAGGATGAAACAAAAAGGTAAAACCGTTATAAAAGCCGATCCTATGGGTTGCGTAAAATCTATCGAGAATTCGAGATACGTTTTCTTGGGGCGACTTGTAATGATCACAAATCGTCCGCTAATCTTCAGATATTGATTACTAACTAAAATTGACGACATTATGCGTCGTATTTTTTGTGACTACGGGTGTTAGTAAAAAACTTAATTACATTTCTTACTTTTTCTAAATGTATTAATAAGAGTAACATATAGACTAGATCTATAATAACATTAAAAAATAATTTCACTGCAGTATGCATCGATTTGCCTTAAGTGCCCTTTGAAAGTGTAGTCACATAAAGATAATTTTGAACGTTTTTCTTAAAATATTGAACAATTCAGTGTATTTCGGGTACAACAAAATTAGAAATAATATTTATAAACTGATTAAAACGCTATAATTCTACTTAATTTAAGCTAGGTCGAAAACTCACAGAAGTTAAAAGTGACACCCGCTCCGGTTCGTTCCTGGTGCAAAGGTTGGTCATTGCCATTCAACTTGGTAATGCAGCAAGTGTGATGGGCACCTTTCCACCGGAAACGATCAGGAACGTCTTAATTTTTTTTTTGTTTGTGTAATTTTGCTAGTTCTTATGCGTCTTTAATATATTTTTTGTAAAGTTAGTTTATTAGTATTTAATAAATAGTAATTAAAATAAATAAAATGTATATTATTTAAATATATTTATTTTAATATAAATTTTGATAAGAATGGGACTTTCTAAGGGTATGCAAATAATCTTGACTAATTTTAAGTTATATAATTATTTGTGTGCGTGATTATGTGATGGGATGCGTAAACATAAGTGGCACTTATTTAAGCCATCTGTCCGTGTGGTGACGGATTAAGAATACAGTGTCACCACACCTATTTATCCCGTGGGTGTCGTAAGAGCCGACTAAGCGAGCAAACCAACGCATGACAACAGCACTGCAGAGTGAAGGAAAACTTGACACAAACCCTTTTTTTTATTATTTTTTTTTAACGTGTGGAAATCCCCTCGGACCGTCACCCCACCGGGGTTTGCGGCGGGGTGGTGTGTCGGACTCGGACCGACTAAAACCACACGGTGTGCCACTCTGCGCCTGTAACAGGAGGGATCCAGGAACAGCTGTTAATAAGACATCCGGACCCCTCCTAGCGCCAGCCCGCTCCTGGTGCGGGCTTCGTCTCAAAATTTTTTTTTTTCCTCTCTTTAGGCGACGTCCGGCACACGCGGACGCCGCCCCCTCGCGGGTGGCCAAACTAATGCGGGTGGAGGGGAAACCCACCCCGTCCACCCGCGGCCACACTCAGGGCGGCATGAGGCGGTGATAGGCGCGCCTCCGCCACCCGGTTCGCCGGCGGCGGATCGGGTCCGAGTGGAGGTCGTCCTCCCAAACCCTATACCAACCCGTCTGGCCAGCGTGGTATAGTAGGCCAGAACCTCCTTTCTAAGGAGAGGCCTATGTTCAGTAGTGGACAATTCAAGACTGTTGATCTGATGTGATGTGATTTAAGCCACTTGCATCCATAACTAAGGAGTCTAGTTATAATGAGGCAAGATGTTAATAGTGTATAGTTAACTAACCGGTGCGATCGTTTTAAAATCAATTGTACAAAAAAAGAACCTAACACGAAAAGCAGCAGGCATTTTTAGATGTGATCTCTCTGGCCACATCTAAAAATAGCCAACGGATTTATTTTGCGATAGACCTTCACAAAGAGGCAGTCAGATACCATGGAAAAGAAGTCTTTCAGGTCTTGACCTTATGTGGAGGTTTTCGTAGGGAATTTAATACTCCCTTTGTTATATAGAGCTACGCTAGCGACTCTGAATTCAAAGCTGATGCATACTTTAAGCTTTAACGATAGCTGCTTCATTTGTACAACTCCTGTAAGAGGCTATTCGATGGAAACAATGTACAAAGACGGATCACAATCCTTGTAAGCCTTCGGAGCGTCGAATCTCCTAGATCTTTGGCTTTTACTATCAGTGGCTTAAAGTAGTACATACAGCGAATTGAAACGCAACACAACCAATAGTCTTAGAACATATTGTACAACAAGAATTGTTAATTACTGCTGAAAAGACAACTCCCGCATTAGGAATATCCTGTGTCGCGGGGGCCTTTACAAACGTACATGAAACAAAGAACACCCAGACGCAGAACAACAATTTGTGTATCACACAAAGTGATGTCCCATGTGGGGATCGAACCCACAAAACTCAGCTCAGTAGGAAGCGGCGAGGTGACCGCTTAAACCACTACGCCATCCATGCAGTCAATTGTGACGGCTTTTAACCAGTTATCTAAGTTCTAACCATTTGTTAGAGCTTACTTAGCCTGTTACCGACGAATGTCTTCTAAAGTTACACCTGAGATCCTGGGGGAAGGACCAACGACCGAATATCCTGTGATTTTATTCACATAGATTCCGACGTAGCACTTTACGACTAACCCCAGTGAGGTGACCAGGTGTTAAGATTTCGACACAAAATAATGAGGGCCTGGTTGGGGGCCCCGAGGGGATTTCAAAAGAAATTGGTCGGTTTAAAAAATCTCTACATTAGCAAGTGCGAAGTAAAGAGATCATTGATAATAATTTTCTTGTTTGACAAGTCCATAAAACTTGGATATATGATGCTTAATGATGTGAAACATCTAATGCGGAGGGTCAGACCAGCTGTTGGCGTGACGACGCATCGGCATGCGTAACTATGTTACACGATACTATATGTAACATGTAATGCTATGTGGCGAAGCGTAGCCACGCGCAAGTTACGCTGCGACTCTCTCACTCTGATTATCTGACTCATTATTTCTCCAAATAATTTCGATGTTTCACATCTGTCAGACGTCCCGTGACGACTCAATTTCTTACTGTTTCATATGCATCGTACGGTAGTCATTAAGTGAACTTCAGGTTAATATAATAGAATAAGGTAAAGTTCCATAATATTTCTGGCATTGCAGTTCCTAATTACGGCACATTATAGTGCCCGTAAGTAATGCACGGTCAGACAAATATCCAACACACGGAAATATTCAGTCTTATCGTGTTCATATCGGTTAAAGGTCGTCACTCATTTAACAACCTAACAGATGACCAGCAACGCAGCATCGCCCGACGTCCACTGGGTGCTGGTATGCATGCTGACCGACGACCTTTAACCTATTATCAGAATAATGAATTTTCTCCTATGTTCCAAATTTTGTAATTCCCAATCCGAAAAGAATGTTTGTAGTCATTTCAAAAGCACATTAATACAAAATAGTGCTAAAGTTTCTATCAATTATTCATTACTCCGGCAATATTTCATGTTGGATATTTATGTAACTAAGTAAAAAAAAAAAACTAGATTACCTCCTCCAGCATCCACCTTGGATAACAGCCTCCCACCGACTTTCTGGAGACTATCCCTGAGTACCACCCAGTCTCCATGGAAGCCATATATTTTATTATATTTTTTCTCTAGCTGGTTCATAGGCATCGAGTAATCATTGTCGAAGTTAACTCTTACACGCCTTTTGATATTCGATGTAAGTGCAGCGAGAAGTTTACTATGGTTTGGTGCATCATATTCAAATCGAGGATCTTCCATTATGTTCCTAGCTTTAGTAGCAATGAACTGTCCACGCCACATGCGACCTAATTGTATTGCTCTTTGATTTAGTGGGTCACTTCCTCTGTGTACAGGAGTGGAGTCATGTGGAACATTACCGGACTGAGTGTTCCGTTCTCGTTTCCGGGGGTCTCGGTCGTTTGGAGAGCGTTGACGTGGTGGACACTTAAACCGGTTTTGTTGAGACTCATTATCTCGCGGACGCTTATCTTGAGACGGATGTCTCACATGATCTCCATAAATATTCTCGGATGGTCGCGGAGAGTAGTTTCGATTATATTGCCGATTAGGAGAATCACGATCGCGAGAGGTGCCAGCTCTTGGATTCGAACGGTACGTATTATCGTGGTTTGATGCACGACTATTTTGCCAGTTCGAATCACGGCTGTTGTTCGATCTCGGATCATTGTGACTATTCCAGCTGGAATCACCACTACTGTTGTTCCATGTACTTGATTGACGTCTATTGTCCCGATCTGGTGTCGGATTGTTTTCCCATGGCGAGTTATTATTGCCTTTTTGAAAGTTACTATTTTCCCATTTTGATTTACTGTTGCCCCAGTTTGTGTTACTGGTGCCCCAGTTTGTGTTACTGTTGTCCCATTGAGATTGACCGTTAGATTTTGAGTCGCCTTTATCCCAACTTACTTCCCGTTCTTTTTTCGGTGGGGAGTTTTGAGATCCTTCAGACTGCTGCTGTTGGTTCCAAGTATTATCAGACCAAGAACCTTGTGCGTAGCCTTGGTTGCCTGCATTGCCATAAGGCACAGTCTGATAGCCAATGTTTGGGAGTGATGAAGTACTGGGATAAGTAGACTGATTCATCATATAGAATGCACTCTGTGAAAGAATATATGATGGTAGTTATAAAAACAATTTCAACATTAGCAGTATAATTTATAATTAGCAACATCCAACCTAGTTTGCACCAGATATTGAATTGGGATGTGCCAATTATACAGGTGTGTCAAGTCGAATACATGTCATAATCCAATGCAGGCACCCTGCTTGCAGAGTACCTAAGGTAATACCACCTCAATTCAGACAAAATTGAGCAGAAATAATACTGCTAACTATTAGATCCCAGAGATCTGATAGTTGGCATATGTACATTTTAAACTATAATACATGCATGTATGTATGTTTATATTAATATAGAATATGTATGACACAATACATATTCTTTATTGATACATTCACCATTTACATCCAAGAGTTGCTACAATTAATTGTATTTTTTGTAATGTAATTTGCTAGGCAAATGATCAGGGTAGCAAAAGTGCATCAATTAGCCCATTGCCATTTGGATAAAAACTAGATAATAGGTTTAAAAGGCAGGCACCCTGGCAGGCACTTAGATACCCCGATATAAATGTGCTAGTTAGAGAGTCTCCTTCAATCAAGATGATATCCAGGCAGAGTAACTTTTGCTTCAATTGAGGCTTATATTTAATATTTTTTTGGAAACATTTAGTTTCTCTGCATATTGCTTAGAATGACATAATTATGTCATCACAAAGGACCAAGAAAAAAAATAACAGGACTAGTTGAGTTTAGTCGCTCTTTTATTCCAGGTGACGATACCGACCCCAATAGGGTCTCCTTGGAGCTACGACGAAGGAATAGATCAACCCTGGCGTGGTAGTCAACTTTATAAGCTAAAAGGATGATTTCTACCAAACGGCTCGCATCACCACGGATTGGAAAGGATACGAACGGATGCGGCGACAGCCGATTGTGTCCAGCAGGATGTCGACGTATCCCTTGCGAACATATCCATTTCTGCGCCTAGTAAATAGTTTCATTCCTACCGTGTTGACGTGTTCTGATTTTTGAAAATGGTTGAAGTTGGCGTAGTATTAACGTATGTAGGCTTTTGCAACAAACAAAACAATTTTTTTGAGAGGAACTACACTGGATACAATCTTTAACATTTTACTTATTGAAGTAATTTAAATTATTGATTAACATATAACCTTATATATGATTCAAGTGCCCATTAGATTTAACAGTAATTATTTATTATTGTACACCTGCCGAGTCTTGTACCTAACCTAGACTTAGCATAGACTTTAATACCAAATTATGCTACCTTTTACCTATAAAAATTATATGCATTCAGAAGCATTGTTCAATTATTTTCTGTGTAAATTTAGTATTTATAAGAAGTTGTAATTAAATTGATATGTAAAATGATAAGTAAAAAATAAATAAATGGATTCTTATTCTGACCCTTTTCCAACCAAAATAGTAATCTAATTCTTCAATATTCATTGTTGAATTTGGATATAAAATAACATTTACAGAAGTAATTTGACCGACTTGTTCATCTACAATTGATTGTTCTTAACTTGTTGGTAACCATTAAACACACACATAAATAGTGCAGGTAGTACTGACTGCGGACCCTACTAATATATAAGAATTTTTGTCACAGCCTTTATACCATAATACAGGCTCTAACTTGTTTAGAAATAGACAGCCACATCTGAACAATCTTAAGTTGTTACTATGATGATTAATAATTTACTACAAAATGTGGGGCTTGTGGATTAGTGGTAACCTAGCCAGGTCAGTCTATGGATGGGTGACCATTTCTTAACACATTGATCTGTGCTTTGAAGAGCATGTTAAGCCATCAGTTTTGGTTGCCATATGAACATCTGTGGCAATCGTCACGGGTAATCTACAATCAAACACAAAAAACTTAGATATCACCTATTTGCGTTGTGGAGGTCTGATAGCAGTCACTCTGTGTAAAAAATCGAAGTTCAGCCGTATTGTGGTAGACTTAAAGCCGGAAAAGGCTCAGAGGAATAATAATTTACTACAAGATAATCAGAAGGTAAATTCTTGTAATTAAAAATAGTTCGTAATTCAGTTCTGGTCTACCTTTGATCTCACAGATGTCATAAAAGGTATTTTCCTAGTAGTATTAAACATACAACCAACCTTATATTGTATTGTGACCAAAAGTTGAATTGATTTTCTACAAGTCTTAGTAATACTTTACTGATTTACAATGAAAATAACTTCTAGGACCTTTACAATATCAATAGTTGATCGAAAATGGAATTAAGAATGAATTTTATTCCGAGAATTGACTATCAGATCTAGATCTTGAAGTTTAAAACTGTTGTGACTTATTTTACATTATAGATATTACTTACCTGATTAGGGTAAAACATATTTGGAGTTCCATAGTTCATCAGAGGAGGAGGAGGAACCATTGTTGGTACATTTTGTAGTGATGATGTATAATTTTGTCCTTGCGAATAAGCAGATTCCTGTGGCATATGTGATTGAATGGTATCTGAAGGACCAGGTTGTGATAATGTCTGTTATAAAGAACAGGATAATAATTTTATTACAGACAAACAGTAAAAATCTATTAATATTTGTATTAATTTCCATAATTCACATGAACACTGCTTTTCAATCATCAATAACCAGATAACTCATCTTATTATTGATGAATTTGAATCCCTTTTACAATTCGTAAATTCGTGTGGGTTACACATGAACCACGAAAATAATTTTAAAAATTTAAAGCTACATTATCAGTGAGTAACATAGGCTACTTTTTACAGTGATAACCAACAAACATGCATGCATGTTTGTTGACGTGCGAAAGCTAGTATTTTTTGATTTTGTTTCTTATTAGTTAAAATGACAATTCCATCCAAACATTCTAGAAAGACTGCAAGTATTAATGAAAGTTAAGAGTACAGTGATACAGTAAAAGTTGCCCTACAAATACATTTTCAACCAAGAGGTAGCCATCAGGACCCAATATAAGTTACTTACCGGGATTTTCGGTTTTGACACTACCCGCAATTGATGGCCTTTCATAACGGCTCCATCAATATTTTTAGTGAAAATAGCAGCGTCTTCTTCTCCGGATAGGCCAACAGTAACTTTTTTAGTCCGATTCTCGTGTGGAACTAAATTGTCCAAGATTACGTCGGCTATGCCACACTTAGAGTATATTAAACTCTTTATATCGTTATATGTTACCTGGAAAACAATAACAGAGGTAAAAGAAGAGTTTTACGACTGAGCAATTTAAAATCAACATTTTTTGTATAATTCGTAATACTAACCGTATACGGTAAATTATGTATATTTAGTAACATCCTGTGAAAAATTATTGATTATTTTCTGCTACTACCTATAAATCAATCAATATAGACTAATATGTTACGACTAACGAATTTAAACGAACAAATCATTAATTAAAATGACCAAAATCAAAGCCGCTTTCGGCCATGCAATCTAATCCACAGATTACTAAAACTTATAAACTCCGGTTATTAACATAGTCTATGACTAATACCAATGCTTGCGTCTGTTATATATTTTTTGTAAAGTTAGTTTTTAAGTGTGTATAAAATATTTTTTTATCCTAAAAAAAAGATATTTTAAATTATATTAACTTTTTTTACCCAATTTCTGTCAATAAAATATTTTTACAACAATCGAGACAAAAAGCGTGGGGTGCCCCACGCTTTTTGTCAATAAAATGATATTTTTTTCAAACTAAACCAAAAATATTTTATTAGTTAAAATTATTATTAATTACAAAGCGACAAATTCTAGTTTCTGAAGTAAAACTTCTTTACGCACGCTTGACTTGGGGAGTAAGCTGGTGAATGCGTGCGCTACGAAAAGTGTGATCGGGCGAGGCGAACTGATGTTGAGAGGCAGATAAAAGTTAGTGATGATAGAAAGAAAGAGAGTTACGTTTTGTACATTACTGTAGGGTCAAGAGAGAGAAGGAGAAAATGGATGCGAGAAGCTTTGCTTCGCAAATCCATCAAAGTGGCGTGCAATGTAAGAGGCCTATGTCCAGCAGGTGACTGCGATAGGCTGATAATGATGATGGTGATGAAGAGAGAGAGGTGCGAGCACACATTTTAGCCAAGTAGAATAAGTGAAGTTTTACTTCAGTCCTGCGGTCTAAAGCAATCTCGTTTTTTTTTAAATGTGATTTATTTTTAAAAACGCTTTTTTTTCTTAAACGGCAACACTGATTTTCTTGAAACGCCATCTTGTTTTTGGAATTTGACAAGCGGAGGTTCCTGAATTTTCAGTACCTACATCTTGTTGCTTATTCACAAAATACTGTTAATAATTTTTGATAATTAATCTACAATGCTGTAGTTTTTAGTCAAGTTGTTGTTTCAGAATTAATCAAAATGATGATAACAATACAAGGACTGGCACCAAAAGTACGTACTGCTAAAGTTTAGAGATAGCTACCGAAATGATTTTTTCCCAAAAAAAATCCCGGTAAAAAAAAATGTTTAGGAATGAGAATAATGTCATATATTGTGTCTAAATATTTAAGAATCTGAAATTGTTATAAACTTAAATTTGATGACTTTAAATGTAAAAAGTTCAGCAGCATTGCAGGTAGATAGCTGCCACACTCACTGCATAAAACAATTCGATTTGTTGTTGATTTGATGCTACCATTCTCTGTTGAGAGTTTTTAAAAATATCAAAAAAGATAACTGAAACCCATAATTTAATAGCAAATAAATAATTTTATTTTCGAAAGTTTTGAGATTACAAATTATACCTAATAACTTTTTATTTAAAATACTTTCAGACGAAATATACAGATGTCAAGTTGCTGATAAAGCAAGAATGCAACATAGATGATTTTATATTGGACAACCTTGTGCCTGATGTTGATGGTACAAAAAAGGTTCGCATAGGACTAGCTAATGAGAGTGAAGGTTTTAAACTCATAAAATGTCTCAACGGCTATCACATGCCTGGCAACTATGTTGTTAAAGTGTCACCAATTGGTAAACATGCTGTAAGTACTATTTAACCAATTTATATAACAGCTTTTAACTATGTAATGTAGAATTTGTCATTCAAACTAATGTTTGAGAAGAATACTTTTTTCTAGAGGAACGGGATTTGTCGTTTTCTGTACTTTCAGAATGTGTATTTGACATTTAATGTTGGATTAAGTATTTAGGGTGTGAAGACTAGAGTGCACAATTTTTTTATTATATTCTTTCCCTTATTCACCCTCGGATATTGGTTGAATGGATATCTGGCACATCACTAATACATACATGTTTAAGAACCATTCAATTTACTCACAAAATGTAAAAAATTATCATTGATTAGTATTGTAACTGTTGCTGTTGGTCTCGGTGTCACTAAATATAGTAGATCATACTATTATAAAACACAATATAACTAAAATTTGATGTGTTATATTCATTTTCAAAGAATTTTGCATATTGCTCCAATACCTTACATATTAATCAAAATCACTTCTAATTGTGCCCTATGTAAATTTGTCAACCAATAACTCATCTCTATAGTTAGGTAATTTCAACATTCATACAACTGAACATATATACTTATTAAACAAAGTCCAGTTGTACAAATGCCAGCATGATTTAAATTTCCATTTAATTTGTATGTAATGTAATATTGTTATTTATTCAGGTGTTTTTTTTGATATTAGGCAAATGAAAAATTCATAGTTGAATAGGTAGAATGATTAAGGGTGAAAGAACTCTAAATTTATAATAATATTGTAATATGGATGTGCATGTAATAGTAATATACATAGTATAAAAATCAGTGTGAGTAAAGTATATGTTCAGAAGGGAATAATAATAATATTAACTTTACATATGGCTGTCTGATCCCAAACTAGTCAGCAGTCTGGTTCCAATAGTACAGACTATTGGAACCAGACTGCTGATATACATAATTACTTTTATACTTGTATCTGTTTTTCTCCCTAATGAAACAAAAATAAAATAAATACTTATGTATTTTTAAATATGTTCACATACAGATAAATTTAACTCAGCCACAAAAAAAATTATCATAGTCATCACACGATTATTTGTTCTGAGTGAGAATTAAACCAACCATTAAGGACCATTAAAGTGCATTTAGTACACATAGTGCACACAGCTTTATATACTACCAAAATATGTTGTCTTCATTATATGTAGTGTACACATCCAGCCCCAAGGAACAGTAGAATCTCAGTGGTGCTAATTCTGTTGTTCGAAAACTCTCTAAACTAAACTAAAAATCACTTAAAAATGTTTAGTTCTGTCAAACAATGTTTCCTATTCTAAAAATGTAATATTTGACAAGACAAAAATTTGTTTAGTCATTTTTAGTTTAGTTTAGAGTTTTCGCACAACAGAATAAGCACCCTTATTTATGTAAATATAGAAATAAATTATTTTTAAAATGTAACAGCAAGACATTAGTCACAATAAATTTTTATAAATATTTTATTTTAAATAAAATTTTGGCGACTGATTCTTTTTATGTTGTAAGCATCCATTAAAAAAATTTTTTTGGAAATGTCACTCATAGGGGAGTAAAATAAGGCTGATCTTATGGAAGATTGTCATTTTCTAAGTTAGAAACACGAAATAGCCATTAATTCATATAATAATATAGAGTGTGTGTAAATAAGAAAGTGTTATCAAATCTGTTTAACTTTTTTAAAGCTTAGTGAACAACCGGGTGTTTATGATGCAAGATCAAGTTATCAAAACCAACCAAGGAATGACTATCAAATCAATCCACCCAGAAGTGACTACACAAATCAATCTAATTCCAATGATTACAATAGAAGTCCTCATGAGTCTAATGTCCCAAGAGGGGCTGGGACTGGACAACATGGACCCAGCGGACAACGTGGACAACATGGACCCACCGGTCAACATAGACCTGGAGGACCAAGCAAACCGTATGGGTCTAGTGGATCACACCCCCAAGCGCCTCCAGATAATAGACATTCGCAGTGGCTCTCTAACAACAAAACACCCAATCCATGGGGTCCAAATCAATCCATAACTTCTCAAGCACCACAAAATAGCTTTAACATTGGATCTGGTCTTCAGCAGAATACTTCATCTGGTTATATTCAACAGGTTAGAAATACTATCTATCATTATCAACAGCCTTTCATAGTCCACTGCTGGGCATAAGCCTCTCCTTAAAAAGGAGGTTTTGGCCTACTAGTCGGCTGTTACGACACCTACGGGACGAATAGTCCCGAATAATGACACTCCATAGTCTTAATCCGTCACCACCTGAACAACCGAACCGATCGAACGACAACCAACCGACAAATAATATCTACTAAGACAATAATGAATGTGCCTATCTCAATCTACTGGTTTGAATTTTTTTATTATTATAATATTTTTTTAAAGACAACTCCCGCATTAGGAATATATCCTGTGTCGCGGAAGATTTAACATACATAAATGAAACGGACACAAAGAACACCCAGACTCAGAACAACAATTTGTGGATCACACCAAGTGTAGTCCCATGTGGGGTTTGAACCCTCAACACTCGGCGTTATAGGAAGCGGCGTGGCGACCGCTTAAACCACTACGCCATCCGTGCAGTCCGCAAAAATTTAATTTAGTTTTGGATAGCCCATTCATTGAGGAAGGCTATAGGCTTCATAACATCATACTACGACCAATAGGATATTCTGTATATTTGCCGATGGGAAAATATTCCTTTAGAAAGATGGTGTTCAAAGTTTGTTAGGGTTTTTCCTCAACACATTTTCTATACACAAATACTTGTTTGGTGACAATGATGAGTGTGATGGAACCTAATGTTATCTTTTATGAGAATTTGGGGGTGATAACGAAACTGAAGTTCAATGGTATAAACACGTCATTGTATGAAGGAATTGGTTTGCCGTCATTGCCTCCGCCGCAACTGCCCTAGATGCGGCCTAACTGTTTCATGTTTACTAGAAATTATTTTTAAATTCATAACTTTGTCTATGGGCTTTGTGACTTGGCTCGGCGGATGTAGATGCAGTCTCTTGTTCTTAGAAGAACCATGTTTCTGTATATGTGGGCGCGACTCGAACTCTGAATGATCACGACTCACAGAAATTTGATGTTAAGCAATGTTTTCAAAAAAAAAATACGGATCGTAATATGCAATAATAATGTAGGCGCATGTAAATTGGTGTATTTTCTACTCACGAGTTTCTTCACACCACCCCCAGCCAAAAGTTCCATTGTTAAAAGACGAGGAGTTAGGGAAACAACCTAAAGTTTTACTAGATTTAAGTCGCGATAACTCTTTATAAATTTTATTAAATTTATCATTTTAGCATCAAAACCCTCGCACAGAAATACGCGTGTTTGACCAAGGCAGACAAGGTCCAACTCCCGAACAAAACTATGGAGGATATGCACCTAAGAGTAATGTACCTGTAAGTATACACACATTCTTGTAAATATCTCCTGTACAGCAGGGGACTTACAGTTATAGAATTAATATATCTTATTTTTGTCCCAAATTTATTTAGGGTCGGTGAAACAAGATTCCTTCTATGGCCTCTTTTTTTTCTTTTAAAATGGCATCTCCCGCACTAGGAATATATCCGGAGTCGCGGGGGATGTTACTGACATCATGAAACAAACACAAAGAACATCCAGACTCAGAACAACAAGTTGTGGATCAGACAAAATGTTATCCCATGTGGGGAGCGAACCCACAACAGTGTTGATGTGACCGCTTAAACCACTACGCCATCCGTGCAGATATCGTCTATCAATCGTTAATATACTGCTTGTTTTCTTTCTAACCATATATTTGTCCACCAGTCTGTCCTTCTTGTCTTCGGTCGTCCTCTACTCTTATATCCGACAACTTACTATTAGGTGCTTCAATCAAGTTACACATCGAGAAAACTAAGGTATTGACCATGTATTGGCTGTTTTAGGTAACCATAATGAAGGATAATTTCCAAGGCCCCACACCATTTAATATTAACCACCCGGCAGTCAATCAACCACAATACCAGCAACGAGGGGCAACTGGGCACTGGAACCCACACAGTCAACAGGTAACACTATATTTTTATTTAACTTACATAGCCTACACTTGCTTGCTTAAGTATGTGCTTAAGTGCGTTGTAGCCAACATTTAAAGCACAAAAGAGTAACTTCAAAAACTACAAATAAGCAGCGACTCTCGCTACTACGAAATAATTTGCAAATTAGCTTGAAAAAATAATAATTAAAAAATTAAATTTTACTGTTCAAATCTCATTCGCCCATTGTTAGATCACTAAGATATTGTGTCGATATAGTAGTCATGGTAATTATTGCTACTTTTAAATCATGATGCACTAACGACTTTACACCATAACCTACTCAACTCTCCTAACTCGTCTACATACTTGACGTTCTCCTTCCAGTTTCTGTGTTCCAATCAGTGAACCCGTTGCTCTACAAATAATCTTCTTCTGTAATGTCCTTCAACTCAATCTGTATGTCTCTGAAATGCTCTTTCCAGCAAACCAGTCGTAATTCGTTCAAGTTGAAGATGCGATTTCTCCTTACCCAGAATATAGCAAAATCATTATAAATATGAAACTTAATATATTATATTATATGTATATATGTATGTTATATGTATATTATGTATATATATATATATATATATATATCTCTGTATGTATACATTGTTATATTTATATTATTTCACTGCTATTATTATTTTCTTCTCTTCTCTTTATGTGCCAGACAGTATTTCTTAATATTAACTTGTTTTTATGTTCACTTTAAGATTCTTAACCAAAGTGTAGTGCACCTTTTCAGACCTGTCCTTGCAGACTGGTAGAGAATGCCTATGGCATTAAATCTGCAATTGTACATTATGTGCATAAAATTGTTGAATAAACAAATGATGTTACTGGGTGTCTGTCACTGCCCCCGACCCCACATTTAATCTGTGAAGAGAGTTCCTTAAGCAGAAGGATCTCTATTCAGTTCTACTGGGTTGGATAGTTGTAAAGGTTCTTTGGAGTCGTAGACTGATTTTGATGAACTTTCCAACGTTGCCGAATCCTCGTTTCGTCAGCATGATCCGACTCCAAACAAGAGTCGAAACAATCTATAAGCTAGCAAGGCAAGCTTTCAAAGGAATTTAATGTGAAATATCGATGTTGATTATAGCTATATTTCTCTGAGATAACGAACGAAATTTAAATAGGAATTATTGTTTTATTACGTAGGTGACAATGTGACAATTTTTGTTAGATCATGAATTTAGGCTGAATGAGACAATGCCATTCCAACAACATTACTAAAAATAGTTGTAGTGTACAAACAGGAGGAAGAAAATGATTCAGTGCATTTAAATCGCTTTTTCTTTATACTGATATTTTTATTTACAGGATCAACTTAAACCGCAAGTAACTAAAGCTTTCGAAGAAAGAAAATATCCTCCACTAGACCTGCCTAGGGACGCAAAGAATCTTCAATCCAGGCCAGATACTTATAAGGACTATGAAAAAAGGCGTGGGTATTCACCGACACCTAGAGATCCTATGCCAAGAAAAAATTCCCCCGTCAGAAGAGACGAGCTACATAGAGAGCCAGCCGGGCGAATGAGTGACCGGGGCCCCAGAAGATTGTCTCCTAACCGAAAGGATTTCACACAAAGACGAATTTCTCCACCAGGAAGAAGAGATGATCCCATTGGACGGAGATACTCACCCTCAGGGAAGAAAATTTCGCCTGGTGAGTTATTTTTAGTAGAGGTTTAGACTAATTTAATGTTTAAGTTTTGATCGTTTTTATTGTTTTTTTTTCTATGTATAATAATATATATATTATATTATATTTCGTTATATTATCAAAATATAACTAAATAATTAAAACAAAAAACGAATTTCCTCTGTCATAACACCAAGTCGTGTGGTGACGGATTAAGAATACGGAGTAAACACCTATATTCATCCCGTGGGTGTCGTAAGAGCCGACTTGGAGCAAACTACAAACAGCACTGCAAAGAGAAGGAAAAATTGTCAGAAACCCTGGGCCTCAATTCTGCTATTTTATGTTCACGCCAAGCCACTGTCATACCACTGACACGCTATTGAGATGCCATGGAGTGGCCATTGGCATCGGTATAAATATCGGTAGTTGAAAATACATATATTACGTTTAATAAATTATTAAAAAAATAAAATCATAAAAAAAAGAAATAAATAAATTATTAAAAAAATAAAATTCCATTTCCTCAAAAACGTAATATATTTTCAACTACCGATATTTATACCGATGCCAATGGCCACTCGATGGCATCTCAATAGCGTGTTAGTGGTATGACACTGACTTGGCGTAAACATAAAATAGCAGAATTGAGGCCCTGTACCTACCCGTCTAGCCAGCGTTTTATAGTAGACGAAAACCCCCTTTCTAAGGACCTCTCCTTAGAAAGGAGGTTTTCGCCTATGTCCAGCAGTGCAGTGCAGCAGTCCATTAAAGGCGGTTGATGTGATGTGATGACGATGAACCAAGTCTTTCTCCGCAATTTCACTGGCGGCTATGATCCTAAGGGTAGTATCGAGATGTTTAATAGCTTATAACTTTGATCAAGAATTAAGCTATCAGATAGCAAATTTGAAAATAGTGTTATTAAATTATCCTGACTAAAATTATAAATGCGAGTGCTAGTTCGTTTATTTGTTCGTTATGGTTTTACACTCTAACTACTTAACCGAAAACGAACGACAATCATGTTGTTAACGAGTTGTCTAGCGTATAAAAGAGGATATCGGGTACTTTTTGGCATATGCTCATATGAAACGGCTCGATAGAAGTGATTCAGCACAGCCTCACAGGAACCCAGTGTGGAACTTTTTTTTTTTGCTTTTCACTGAGTAAGTGAGGTGACTGGAGACAAAACCCCGCTCGCTATTTCTGGAGAGGGGCTAAAAGAATGGCAACACATTTGTATGTGTGCCATGGGCGACGGTATTCACTTACCATCAGGTAGCCTATCTGCTCGTCTGCCCCCTATATTCTCATATAAAAGGAATAAATACTGTTTTGGAGTGGTATGTGTATAAGCTAATATTAGAATATATTAGTTAGTTTACAACCTATGACATTCCATCAGAAGATAACAGACGTAACATCCCGAGCCACCCCGGCCCGCGTCACGAGTCTCCTCACAAGAGGATATCACCCAATCGCCGCCTTGTGTCGCCAGGGAGAAGGGATGAACGACCAATATCCAGGTATGTATTACAACAAGTTATGTGTCGGATTGTTGAAAATGTTTAACGAATACGGATTATTAGAGTTTAGATGCGTAAATAGGCATACGGTTCTCAAGTGTTTGGCTACCTGTGACTCTGAAATGACTGTTGATGATTAGAATAACAATTAAAATAATGACCTATTGTAATACGTAATATATCAAAGATTTGGTGTTTACACTCGTTATAAAATCCTTGCTTGCGTACCTTGTTTGTAACGTTAGTAACTTAAAATATTTCAATATTTAACAAAACAAGTTCACAATTCTAATGTGAAAAATCTGTTTAAGTTCCATCTAAAAGTAACGGATAGACCTTTTTCACTCTCGGATAAGATTTTTAGAAGTTCAGCAAACTAACATTTACATGACAGTCCTTGACCCGAGATGTTATATTGTTAACAAAGCGCGGGGCCCCAAATGTGACCCTTGAGGTACCCCGGAAACTTGATTATAGTATTACTTCTCAAACCCACTGACAGCAACGCTTTTGGTCTAGTATGTACGAGGGGTGATCAATAAGTAATGATAATCGAGTATTTCTAGAACGCACAAAAACCCAAATTATTTTTTTTCTGCTTGCTTATATATCCACTACTTCAGATTCAAAAAAATGTATAAATAGGATACCATTACCGGGAGATACATTCATTTGAATACGAACTGTCGAAGAGAAAACATCAAAATGGAGAAAAATGAAATAAGAGCTGTCATCAAGTACCTCTGCCTGAAAAAAATGTCTACCAAAGACATACACAGCGACTTAGAGGAAACATTGGGGGAGTCTGCTCCTCCATATTCCACAGTCGCACGCTGGGCAAAGGAATTTAAGCTGGGCAGAACCTCCACTGAAGATGAACATCCACGTCCCTTACTGGAGAAAACGTCAAAAAAGTGGAAGATATCGTGTTGGCCGATCGAAGGGTGACCGTAAGGCATGTAGCTGAGGTCACAGGGATCTCCTATGGCAGCGTTCAAAAAATCATTGTCAACAAAATGCATATGAAAAAGGTCTCTGCGCGTTGGGTACCGAGAATGTTAACCGACGAGCAAAAAAAGAAACGAGTCGACATTTCGAGGGTGAATCTTCAAAAGTTCCAGGCCGATAAAGAATTTTTTTTGTCGCGTTTTGTGACCATGGACGAGACCTGGATCCACCACTTTGATCCCGAAACCAAACAACAATCAATGACTTGGAAACGAGCTTCCTCACCAACGCCGAAGAAATTCAAAGTGTCAAGTTCAGCGGGAAAGGTTATGGCGTCTGTTTTCTGGGATGCAGAAGGAATTATTATGGTGGAATAATTGGAAAAGGGGGCCACTATAACAGGCTCTTACTACGCAGGCCAAATAAGAAGATTGCGAGAAGCTATTAAGTCAAAAAGACGCGGTAAACTGCGCGCTGGAGTGCTGTTTCACCAAGACAACGCCCCGGCACACAAAGCCGCAGTTGCGATGGCTGCCATTGAAGAAACGGGGTTCGAACTGCTCGAACACCCTCCCTATTCGCCAGATCTAGCTCCCAGTGACTTCTACCTCTTTCCTCGGCTCAAAGAACACCTCCGGGGCAACAAATTTGATTACAATAGTGAAGTGATGGCCGCAGTAGAGGCATTTTGGGAGGGTCAAGACAAAGAATTTTTTTCTAAGGGAATCATGGGCTTAGAAAAAAGACACACTAAATGTATTAACTTGCAAGGAGACTATGTTGAAAAATAAAATACTTTTTTTAATCTAATAGTTCTGTTTCATATTGATTATCATTACTTATTGATCACCCCTCGTAAGTGTGATTCGAACCAATTAAGGAACGATCTTACCACACCAAAAGCATTTAGTTTCTAAAATAAAAGCAAATGGTTTACTTTATCAAAAGCGTTGCTGAAATAAGTGTATATTGCATCTACCAAAGACTCGGCATTGACAAATTATATTCAAACAATAAATAGGCTTAGGCTTATAGTTAGAAGTTTATTACATTAGACCAGCCGCTTAAAAATTGTTATAAAGTTAATGATCAGAAACACAATAATAACGAGTTAAAGTACCAATAAAAAATTCTAATGTTAAACGTTATGTGACGCATAGATATTTTCGTATAATTCCTAACATTGCTGTCCGCATTTTGTCTTACCATAGAATTAATAAGAAGTTACTGAATAACTTTGCTAAGTCTTATAGTTTTGCCCTGTATTCATTCTATTGTAAGAAAAAATAAATAATACAAAATGGGTATACATTTATTTTGCCATAAGTAGCGAGGCGCAAAGTGATCCCTACTCTGCCGCCGAGCGCTCAAGATACCTGCCGGTAACTTTATGTATATTGCTTAACAAGTATGTGTTAAACCGAATCATGACAGTTTTTTGATTAGATGAGAAAGTTTTTGAGAATATTGCAAGGAAAGTTAGTTAGAAGGAAGGAAACGCAGTAATAGGAACAAGATTTTATGAATGGCGTGCACTCAAAATAGTTCTTATAAGTTTATATTGAGAGTTGCTATTTCCTTATGATTAATCATGTGGACGACAAAAATTGAATAACCAATATGTTATTAATTTCTGTTAGATATTCGCCGTCGCGACATTATTCGGACAAAGTGGGTGAAAAGTTTGGACAAGCAGTCAAGGATTTGAAAAAAGTGAGGCCAGCGTATGAACCAACTGCGACACAAGTAAGTGATAGTTATAAGGCTCAACTTTTGTTAACAAAAAAGTGTTATCAAGTGCTTTACTAATAAATACAGTTTTAAAGCAAAACTATATTTGGACGTTAACATGAGCGCATGTTATACGCTAAATATGGATTTATAATCACTAAATGAAGCATGTGATATGTATAAAAAAGGATCTTCAATTGTGAAAAGTGTAGCAGGGTAGTGTCATACTAATTGCCATTGTATTCGTGATACTGCTTTAGATATACCTCCGCACTTCTCCGTCTAGTATATTTCTACTACTGGGATACGTTTGTCTGTACATTATCCAGCGAGCTACAGTACATTGAACGAGAGATCATTACACGCCACATTTTCCCTTCTGTACTGTCGTCTCTTGAAAATACTTTTCGCTTAGTTATTAGCTTTTTGCAGTCTCTGAACGATTAGAAGTTTATTTTGCTGAAGCCAACAGCTATATTCGCTGTGAGTATGGAACATAAACTCCACGGTATAATTTATGCACGGTCTGAAAATTGCAAGTTGCAGTTAAATCTACTGCAAAAACTATTCCAAAAAGAAACATTGTAATGATGAACCCAAAAAGAAACCGAACAAACAAAATGAGCTTTAAGCTGTGTTTGTTCGTTCATAATTTCCTATCTAGGCAATTATTTAAATGCCAGTTAGGAGCTTCTGTTTAGGTTATAATCGACCATGGCTTCGACGAAATCCTTTAAAGTGGATATGGTTTTAGCTTTTATTTACGTCAATGATTGGTCGCCGAAGTATCAAAAGAAAACCAATGTCATCGTTATCAGAAATAACAAAAACTACAACTTAAATGGAAGTCATGTTGAGTTGTGAAAAACACCCAGACTCAGAACAACAATTTGTGGATCACACAAAGTGTCGTCTCATGTGGGGACTGAACCCACAACACTCAGCGTAGTAGGAAGCACCGTCGCGACCGCTATAACCACTACGGCATTCGTGCATTTGGCAATAAAGTTTTGAGAATCTGAAGTAAAGTGTGATGTTTACACGTAGGAGAAACATGCTTTCTTATAACTTGTCTACCTCGCCTCGCAATAAACCAGGATATCGGTTTATGGGTTGTATATAGTGATACATGATGTGCGAACTGTTCATAATACTAAAAGAAAATGTGAGGAAAGCTACATTGATTGTAAGCTATATAACATTATAGTTACGCACGATTTTGGTACGGACCATCTCCATAGCTCAGATTCTTCCAAAGCCAGCCCCTCTACAAATAGTCAACCGAGAGCCTCGAATTATAGTAATTATTGAAAACCATTAATAGGAAAAAAGTATACGCCGCACACGAAGAGGGATGAGGGGCGGCAAGAAGCGAGCGGCAGCCGCCGGCGCAAGGACAGCTCTGCTACTCCAGAAGGAACAAGAGTGTAGTATGATGTAATAATTCATTTTGTTACACATTGCCTCAATATTATTCAGTTTTATACCAACTAAAAGCATTTAAGAGGTCGGCTGAAGGTCCCTCAAACTACAACAGAACATTTGTGCCTTTAACACGTTAGATTTAATTCACAGGAGGTTGCTAGCACGCCAACGATTTCTAGGAATTTGTTTGAAATATAAACCTTATAAAAAGATACAATCATAAGATAAGATATATATGCCGAGAAAAAGAAGAGAGAGGAAAGGTCTCCTAGAACTTGATGTATCGATAGCCTTTTAAGCTTGGCATCATGGACGAATCTCAAGATATGTCTTGACACCAAAGAGAGTAGAGGTACAAAGTGACAGAAGACGCGAAGTAAAACAGTGTCTGCTATAATGTTTCTGCTATAGTACTTCTGCATACTTTGTTAAACAGCAATCCTTTTTAGATGACAACTTTAACTTTAGAAAAATTAATATCATGTTCACAGCATTATATCAAATAACACATCTCAGACAAGTTAATAGGGTTCTTAGCTATAAACTTATATTCGTGTGTCTTTCTATCGTAAAATTTTATAAAAAAAATGTTCCATGTTTGGACTCGAATAAGACTCGTCTTGATTTCAGGCTTGTGGCTACAATATGTTGATGTATTTTGAAATTCATTTGAGATATCGGATTAACAATGAATACTAATAATGAAAAATGTAACGGAGTACTGTTTATGTCGACTCTACGATTAAAACAGTCAGTAATCGACTGTGCGTATCATTTTCAAAAAATAAGCACCAACATCCAGTACTATTACAAGATGTTGTCAGCTGTAGCGTTGAAGCAATAGGTGCCCAGTAAATAGCAGAATTTCTTGACAAGTAGTCCGTTGTAGTATTTTCTGTAGTTTTTGACTCATCATTATGTTAAATTGAGTCAATAACTACAGCGGGATCGCGATCAGCGACTATCAGAGTGCAATAAGCCGGCTGTTAAATGAAATAAATTCGCCGCAATACTATTGCTTAGTGCATTGGTCGCAGTAGTTACAAATGTTTTTTTAATATTTAAAAACATTAACTCCGTGACAGTCACTAATAATAATAGATTTATACATCTCACACACGGCCGTCTGGTTCTAAACTAGGCAGAGCCTGTGCTGTGGTAACCAGACTGCTGATTAACATATTTATACTTCTAAATACATACATATCATAGATAACTTACACCCAGACACAGAACAAATCATCGTGCTTATCACATAATTATTTGTTCTTTGTGGGAATCGAACCTACGACCTCCGCCTTAGCAGTCTGGGTCACTAACCACTAGACCAACAGGCCCCGTCACGTTACTACACCCGGCAAGCTGAGTAATGTAGTACAGTGATAAACATCATAAAGATTGATGGCATTAACGAGCATAAGACAAACGAACAGCGACAAGGTCGGAATGTACCTTAACTGCTATACATAAATATATTATGTTCCGATTACCTTTATTTTGCTCTAAACAAAAACAAAGACTTTATAAAGAAAGAATGAGAATAAACTAAATGTTGTTTACGAATAAGCATAGACAGAGATACATATAAGTGTGGATACCTCAAACATACAGAATGTATATGATAAAGTTATACTAATAAAAATGGAAAGTATAAATAAGCCTTTCAGTAAAATGTCAAGTTTTACTTCATTGTTTAGCGATGCAGGGGCTGTATCTACCTCCACGCGCTGGCAGAATGCCCGGCGTGGCCTTTAGGCGGCTATCGGAGTAGGAATTCTCTCGCTCGGTACAGAGCGAGTGCCGCGTTGAATGCGATGCTTGCGAAGGAGACTGCTGAGTAAGACCGAGACCAGGAGAGGTTTAGAACTCTCCCAGGTACCGCAGACGACTCAGGCGCCGGAGATCGCTGATCGTCCTCCGTCCTTCATAAGCGCAGGCCTAAGGGTCACCGTAGCAGAAGCAAGCCTGAGTGGCGGCGTGACGCTTTCTTTCGGGGGGACGCTTTCTTCCAGTAAAGGAAAATCAGGGTTTCCACACGGGAGGGGGTCATCTACAAACTGTAGATAGCCCGAGGTACTTCGGGGTACCAGAGATTTCCTCTCACACACACAGAAACACACATGCACAGAAAAAAAGTGGGGTGTTGCACAATATTGAAGAGACGATTCTGGATGAACAAATTAAGATTCATAAACTGAAATAGTGCTGGACAAAAGAGGTTAGACGTGTAACGTCAAATAACTAAAAACAATGTATGCACCAGCATTGTTCAACAGATTAGTCAAAATTTTATCAAAATGTCTATCAGAGCCAGCTGTGGTTACCAATAAGTCTGGCTTTTTAACGTCAATTAGGGCTTCGCTGCCTCGGCCTCTGAATATACCCAGTAACAATAAAAGAACCTACGTTTTGAACGAGAAAACACATCTGAAAAATAAAATATAAAAGAAATAAAATGTTTTTCAGAGAGCATACAACTGAAGTTCATATGATCGCGTCTTGATGAATGAACCCTGAAATAATTATGACTTGGTGAAATTCATACATTTTTAATAGTTCAAACTACCAAAATAGTTTTACTAAGCATTTAAAATTTATCAAGACTGGTTTTTCTATGTTAATTTGTAAATAATATTTAACTTGACGTGTTTGCATATAAAATTTTAATTTACAGGCACCAAATCAGGCATCATCTATGTACTCAGGTGGTTTTCGTTCAAGCGACCATGACAACGTTCAGTATCCTATTCCTGGAATGAGGCAGGAACAATCAGATTCTTGGCATCGGCAAATTGATGAGCAGACTATTCCTATGAAACAACGTGATGTTGAAAGACGGCAAATGGCCAGGGAGCGTGTACCTGAACAAATTGAAAAGCGATATTCGCCATCTCGGAAATCACGATCGCCGGTACGACGTGACAGATCTCCGATCCGGGATCGTTTTAAGAGAAATTCTCTTTCTCCACGATCGTCCTACTCCCCACGCCGGTCATGGGCCCTGGAGAAACGACGTAGTCCCGATGCACCACCACCTCCGATTTGGCCGGTACAGAATCCCGATCGAGAACATGGTAGATCGATACGTCCCAATTTCGCGGAAAAAGATGAAAAACCAAAACATCAACCTATATGGGAAGGAAGATCTTTGAAGGAAGAAGAACTTCGTAGCAGACATCCTGAGGATCGTAGATCATACGAGGAAGCAAAAATTCGTGTTGCTAAAGAATTAATGGAAAGAGAGTCTTCAGCACATGCGGGCTCAAACGACCGGTACCAACAGAAATTTCCACCGCGTGAAGATTATGGAGAACGTCGTGATATCTATCGTCGGCGAGACTTACCGGAGCGGAAGCCTCTTGCAGATTACCGTGACTTGCCACGGAGGCCTAGGGAGGAAGATCGATTCGATGACTACAATCGCAGAAGAGAATCACCTCACCGTGAAATAAAAAATGATACTCCTAAAGATTTCGATAAAGATTTTGAAGACATTTACAACAGAGCCGTGCAGTTTAAGAAAAAAACAGAAGAGTTGAGGAAATCGGGTTCGAGAAAAAGGGATGATTTTGATGATAATCGAAGGCGTGACGAGAAGATTGATCATCCACGACAGCACTACGACGACCATGGGAGATATCGTGAGGAGGAGTCACTCAGACAGAGGGAGAGGGAGGACAGGCTACCTCGGGACGATAGACGTCTAGATGACAGGTTTGATGATGACCGAACTCGTCGTGAAAGCGACCGACGCGATGATTATCGCTCAAGCGATAATCAACAAAATGAAAAAAGTAGGCAAATTGAAACTTCTAATAATTCCAACAGTCAGAAAAGGGAGAAAGCTATTGAAGAAATCGCTCAAAAAATTCTCGAGAAGAATGAGGAATACAAAAACGTACAAGGGGATCAGAGACGGTATATACTTGAAGAACTTAAACAAATCGTTACTAAAATTGTTTACGAAATGTTCGGTGATTCGGAAGTGTCTTTCATCGAAGTGATTATAAAATATCAAGCTAGATATAATTTGAAGGATGAGGCCAAAATCTTGCAGGATGCGATACGGTCTCTACCGAAACAATTCAGGACTATCAAACGTCACGCTCCAGGTAAGAATTTGTTCTAGTTCTCGAGAGATTATTATCCTGTATTCAACGCTAAGGGTGCGTTTCCAATGACACGGAGCTGGGCGGAGTGGAACGTAGAAGAGTAGTGAAATGTGGAAAGTGTTTTCACTGAAGCGGAGCGGGGCGGAGTAAAGCTCAACTGAGCTGAGGAGACCAGAGCTGCATTAAGCCGTACCGATCAGTCAAATTCACTTTATCGGTAAAGGAAAGAGCAGTGCTTTTCACATCTTTTTTTTACTGGAAGGTGAATATTCGGCAGAGGTCCCGCTACCCTCCGCTTCGTGCCCTTCGTTCGGCACCACGCCCGCTCTGCTCCACTTACACTGTTTCCACTGGTGCGGAGTCGAGATTTCGAAAACTGTGATAGGCCAATTAACGGTCTGTTCCTCTCCCCTCCGTCTAGCTCCGCGTCAGTGGAAAAGCAACCTAATTAACAGTTAATGATATACAAGCATGTATTGATCATATGAAATATCGATGCATTGATCGATATTTTGCATTATTGATAAACTGTCAGTAAAATGACATTTTTGTGTATAATCCTGAGGTTATATAAAAAAGAGTCTTACAAAGCCTGCAACATTAAAAAAAAACTTTTCTCGTCAGATGATTTATGCAATGTTTAAAACGGTATATATGTCCACAGAATCTGATAATATTCCTGTCAAGACTAGCCGTAATTCGCCAAGCTCCGACTTGAACCAAGGTAAGATATTAATCGCTATATATTTATTACTTCACACAATTGCGATAGGCTCATGCTGCTCTATCACTTTATCGGTTATTTACCATGCACCAGCTATAAATTGGTACTTGGATAAAAATTCGAGTAGATCTCTTCAAAAAATCCTGTCTTTTCAGAACCGGCTGTGCGTCCCAAATTAAGTGATTCCAGTAAGTACCAAAATATTCTTGATCTTATACTAATAGTTAAATATGTCGTTATAACGTTTATTAAATTATTGTCAAGAATTTATTAGTGCCAAATACATTTTTCAGATATTAACGTGAAACTGCCACCACCAGCCGTTCTAAATATGACCCATACAGGAGTCCCACCGCCTCCAACAGTCATGGGTCAGACTATGATGCCTGTTATGGTCTCCCCACCTTTCTATCAATCCTACGATAACTTACAGCATAATCTTCAAAACTCAGTTTATATTCCGGCACCAGTTCAACCTGATGTGGACGTTCCACAATCCGTCGCACCTATTCCAGACTTTGCGCCTCCATTGTTTACTGAAGAAGATAAAAAAGGAGGGTACAAGCTTTACCTACGTAGGGATGATTTCGAAAGAATCTCACATATGGAAGCGGACTTTTTAAAAGAATACCTCATTTCTCAAATGTTTCAAGGCACAGGGGAATATCAGGGGTGGTCGCCGGACTTTACTTTTAAAGGGCTACAGGGCTTTTATAGATATGAGGTGGTCACCAAGGATGAGTGGTCCAAAAATTGGCTTCTTAACTTAGATTTCACCGAGTTTAAACATTTCCATGTCTTGGTTTATACAGAAGAAGAATTGTGGTATGAAAGAGTCGCTATATGGCTGCCCGGTCATTCCAGAGTTAGAAACATCGAGCCATTCGAAAAATTAAAGTTACAAAATACGAAAATATATGGGGTTAACATTAATAAATGGAAGTTTGTGAAAAAAATCGTAAATGGAAAAGGTACTAGGTTATATGTTGATATGCCACCGTCGTCTGCTCGGGCTCTTGAAACCCATGGAATGAAGTTAAGCTATGAATTACAACAAGTTAACGTTTTTGCAAAAGCAATAGCCGTCGACAAAGATTCTTTTGATGCGGGGCTAAAGGATTTCAGTACTGCTGATCCTCAGGTAATAGAAAATGCCATTAAAAATTCACCTATGCCTGTTCTCGCAAACGATGTTTCGCTCATCAAAATTACTCTTAACGGATGTAAAAAGTTAAGTCTCCCTCTGGCGCGTAAAATTAAAGAAGTTGTCATATACAATCTGTTCCAATATCATAAAATAAACGGTAATTCTCGAACCGATTTCGTAAAATATGGGTTTTTGCCACCCAACTATTTTGCGATACTACCTTTAAATCAGGAATCCAAGCGATGGCTTCTGGGTTGCAATTTTCCCAAAGTTGAAGGGCAGTTTGTCACTATTGAAGGGGCAGAGGAAAGTATCACGCGATATATTACAATGAATGTAACAGTACCATACGAGAGACATTTGCGCTCGAGACATTTACTAGAAAAGCTAAAAAACAGCAACCAGGGTGTAAAAAATATTAATTTCAGTTTGTGGAGGTCTACTAAGATGAATCCCGTTGACATGAATAATATTATGTACAAAGTGGAGGTAGATATGGAATCGTTGGAGACTTTGGCTGCGATGCAGTACCAATTAGATTATGTGGATACGACCGGTTTGCACACCGTGTGCTTCGAATCAAAGTATTCGCAGTCTGAAATAGAGGACCTTATCAAAAATCACAAAGCTGAAATGATGGACAGTTATGACGTAGCTAACATGGATTTGGACTCAAATGCATCTGAATGTTCTGGAAATGATGTCATTTGTTTAGATTAAGATTTGATTGGTATCTTCTGGACTTATATTTAGTTTTGTAAGTAATTATCTATACAAATATATCTATATATATGTTACTTTTAGATTTTGTGGTAAAATAGTTCATTTAATAAAATTGTGTGTTCCGTTTTTGTGGCGTTTGTTTTCAAATTTGTTGATTAATACACTTAGTGTATTTTCGAATAAAGCGGCAGTGTACTGTCTATTTTCTGTGGGAACATAGATATCATTGTTACTTATATATGGTATATGCGTTTTAATTTCGTTTATTTTAGTAAAATATGTATTTTCCAGTTCTACTACAGTTACAGTTTTAATTTCATATAGTGTTGTACGTTTCCCGTATTAGCAAAATCTAGAAAATCAACTTCTTGGTTTCATAAGTTGTCAGTTGCTGCTTTCTCCTTATTGAACAGGTAAGTTTATACTACGTGTATTTTTATTTCAGCTTTATTTAAATATAAACAGTTTAAAACCGGGGAAACGAAAAAAAATATTAAAGCACAATTGGTGGCTCTTAAGGTCTAAGATGCTTTAATATCGTAGATGAAATTGTTATTTGCTATCATAGACATTCCTAAGTACCCATATATTTGAAAGTTTTGATGTAGAATAAACTAAAGAAGCATTGGTGAAGTATTGAGTTTGGCAACTCTAGTTACTTTTTAAATTTAAAAAAAAAACGAATTACAGAAATGGTCAATAAATAATAAACCTTTTTAATCTTTAAGTGTAACGTTTCTACCGGTAATTAACTAAAAGGTTACCATAAGGGGAAAACATGGATAGCAACCCCCTACTGTTTTTTTATAGGTGAGCTTCTTTTACTGCTTGCTGACGATTTTGTTGTAAACTAATTTATTAATGATGGTCGATATTCGGAAGTAACATAAAAAAAGATTTTTTGGTTTGGTTTTTATGTTTTTTACATCTTCGTGGCATTTATTAATCTAAAATTCCAATTTCTTCCATTGATCATGTTTTGAGTTGCAGATTTATTAGATTTGGAGTCCACCCAACTGATAAATACAACTACTGTTGTGACAAATTGAGGCCACGATACCAACAAATCGGCACACTTAGAGCATTTAAAAAGGTAAGCACACACGAATACTCTGTTGAAAAAAAAAGTAATAGTTTAGAGCTTTTTACGACTAAATTGAAACTGCAAGCTAGCATAGCTTGCAGTTTCAATTTAGTCGTACCTTAGCCTATTACGGCTAATGAATTTAAAGGAGGTAAGTTTTATTTTATTGAAAATGAAAAAAATTAAATGTATTTTCGTAAAGGAACACATTCAAGAACATATCATCTACAGCAGTAATTCATTTGTGTATAGAAGAGCGTTCAACCTATGAATACCACCTGGGATCAGGCAGAGTAGTGCCATTCGCGTAAATTAGTTTCTTCATTTGCAACCAGGACGCCAAATTAGGAATCGGTAAGATATGATTGCTGTTTGTATTTAAGTTTACTCCAACCACTGACTTCCAGGCTGACATTATTTACGTCCACAAAGTGTCTTCATCGCAACATATATGGTAATATCTACTTTAGTAAGTTTAATTTTCTTACAGCTGCAGAGCGACCAAAAGATATGCATCTTTTGCACTATTCCAGAATGTATAAATTTAATAGAAATAAGGACTACGCAGAATGTTTGCTTTTTTCTAGAACAGACCTTTTGAAAATCTATTTGCATGTTGTTGAATGATTTGACTTCCCTATACTAAAGTTTCGTAGGAAAGTGATTTACTATCAATGAATCCGAAGTCATGTCTCGTTGTCGCTGTTGCAGGTTCGATCGATCGATTGTATGCTTCCATAGTTTCGGTAAATCCTCCATAGTCCAAATACAGATGGTCTTTGTGCTCAAGACCTTTATACATTTATTGGGTTCTAATGATACGTGAACGTAATAACACTTTTTGAGCTTTCATTTTTTGCCCAAAAACAGAAAGAATTTTTCTCGCTGGTCTGCTTTGCCTTCGACTTGGAATGGAATTGACTTACGTAAGTTGGTGTATAGACTTCTGTCGATTCAAATCTGGAAGTTTGTAAAACACTATATTCTGCATGGTATTCAGACATCGCATAGATCACTTCGCCTATAATCCGTTGTTGTCTTCACAGTGAGGATTAAAAGTTGTATCACTAGTAACCACATCACATCAAAATTAATAGTCCACTACTGGACATAGACCTCTCCTTAGAAAGGAAGTTTTGGCCTACACAAATAGTAGCCAATGAAAGTAATTTGGATTTCTTTTGTTTTTAAATCAGAACCTTCTTCTGAACGAATATTTCATGTTGTTTGCGTACAACCGTTTTTCAAACCAAGGTGTTCATATCAGTTTAAGCTTGTAAATACTTTTAATAATTTATTGTATCTTCGTTATTTATTCCAGATGGCATGTAGCTGAAATGTTGAACCTATTTAAATGACGAAATATGCTACGTTCTGCCTTGGATTATTCTGGACAATTCAGTTTATGTATGAACGAGTGAACTAAAAATTCGTGACTAGGAGTATTTGTTTAACAGAAAATGATGACATTATGTTAGGATGTGTATCTGACTTTAGTTTTTATTATTGGGTATCCTTTAAATTCAGCACCAAGTCACTGTATCAAAAAGTAGTCATTATAGAGGTACTTTGAAATTATATTTTGAGTTATTCTTTAGCGAAGTTTCTTCTGTTGAAGGTAGGGGACCTGTTCAGACATCGATGAGGCTGAAAAACTCTCATATGGTTGTTAAGAAAAATCATTTTCTGAAGCTGCAACAGCAGACAATCAAACCTACCACGAGATCTATCGAGAGTAAAGGGAAAGTCACGAAAGGTATTAAATATATATAATATTATAGCACAGAATTAAAGTATTAGTATTTTTGTTAATAAATCTATTAAGCAAAGTTGTTTTGTACGAAGAGCATTCACATCAGTAAGACATTAGTGGTGAAAATGATGGATAATTTTCGTAACTGCTGACTCCTAATTACAAGCTCTACACCTTTACTATTCTGATCTAATTTCATCATTACCTTAATTCATTTCAAAACATTTCACTAAAACAGAACTAAATAAAAGCCAATATCAAATTGTTACAAGCGTTAAATATCATTGTGAACTCAACAATTCCTCTGTACGGGAGACCGTAACATTCAGCTATCATTAATATATATCTCTCACATGACTAATTAAAAGCAACCAAAATAGAAATGCAGTTTCTCCCATCACTAATAGTAAAGCGGTATAGTAACGTCGAGTCCTGAATGTCTTGAGTAGTATTAAGAAGTAATAAATAACTATTTCCAAACCTTAAGTGTACAGATAACTGTGATAAATGACTGTGAAGCTCGTCGTGGTTTCGATTCCCACTTAAGACGAATTACGAGTGTTGTGTGAAAATATTTTTTTGATAGTGTAATTGCGTTTATGCTTATGTTGTTTTGTGTGTCTATGATAAATGTTACATGGTAGGGGTGAGCCCTACAGCGGCATGGAATACAATAGACGTATATTTATATATGTTCTTGTTATCTTCTTTAAGAGGCAAGTACTCCTGCTGTGGTCGACTCCAAGAGAAAAGGGGGACTCCACTCAACTACTCAAGTTCCAAAACGTATCTACTTACGTACGTATTTACGGTTTATATATAGCGTAAATCTCAAAATGACGTTTATTGAAAGTAAATAGAATAATAATGAATTAAACTGCACAGGTGGGCGTAGTGGTTTAAGCTGTCGCAATGCCGCTTCCTACTACGCCGAGTGTTGTGGGTTTAAACCCCACATGGGACGACACTTGTGTAATCCACAAATTGTTGTTCTGAGTCTGGGTGTACTTTGTGTCCGTTTCATGTATGTTTGTTAAGTCCCCGACGACACACGATATATGCGCGGGAGTTGTCATTAAAAAAACACATGTAAGATGTAAGCAAAGCATGTGCCCCGTAGCTTAGATTTCCAGAACTTTGTGGTCGGTGAATAATGCTTTAGTACGAATAAGCCTGCTCGACCGGAGTGTTGCAGCCCTACAGTGTCAATTTAAATTATTGCTACTTTTAAATCATATATATCATACTAGCTGATCCGCGCAACTTTGTCTGCGTCTCTCAATAGTAATAAATTTTCTCCGTTTTTGAAACATTCTTAGCGTGATGATATATAGCCTATAGCCTTCCTCGATAAATGGGCTATCTAACACTGAAAGAAACAAATCGGACCAGTAGTTCCTGAGATTAGTGCGTTCAAACAAACTAAGTAACAAACTCTTCAGCTTTATAATATTAGTATAGATTTCACATGTTATTGAGATTTCGTCATAGACAAAGATCAATTAAAAATCATATGATTGTGAATTTATTCCATCCCCAGTGTCAAGCAATTCTTTCAACGAGTGAGTTGAGTGAGGTTACCATAAGCACAAACAAACTTCAGAGGGTAATGGCGGTCAGAGCCATACGCGGTTACCGCACCGTTTCGACGGAGGTGGCGTGCGCGTTGGCCGGAACTCGCCCTCCGCCCGAAGACGTGCGCGAGTGGCGCGAAGCCGCTCGCCGAGCCACGATGGCTCGTTGGTCGTTCCGGCTGGAGACACCACGCGCTGGTTTCGCCGCCGTGGAGGCTCTCCAGCCGGTCATCGCCGAGTGGGCAGGGCGGCAGCACGGGACCCTTACCTTCCGGCTGACGCAAGTGCTTTCCGGGCACGGTTGCTTCGGAAAGTACCTGCACTCGGTCGCTAGGAGGGAACTGAGTCCCGCCTGCCACCACTGCGACTGCAGTGAGGACTCGGCCCAGCACACGCTGGCGGTCTGCCCCGCATGGGCGACGCAGCGCCGGGCCCTCACTGCAGTCATCGGAGTGGATCTCTCGCTACCGGCCGTAGTACGCTCCATGGCCGGTAGCGACAGTTGTTTTACCGCGGTCGCAACCTTCTGCGAGGAAGTAATCTCGCAGAAGGAGGCGGCGGAGAAGGCCCGGGAGGACGACCTCCACTCGGACCCGATCCGCCGCCGGCGAACCGGGCGGCGGAGGCGCGCTTATCGCCGCCTCATGCCGCCCTGAGTGTGGCCGCGGGTGGACGGGGTGGGTTTCCCCTCCACCCGCATTGGTTTGGCGTCCGCGTGTGCCGGACGTCGCCTAAAGAGAGGAAAATTTTGAGACGGAGCCCGCAACAGGAGCGGGCCGGCGCTAGCAGGGGTCCGGATGTCTTAATAACAGCTGTTCCCGGATCCCTCCTATTACAGGCGCAGAGTGGCACACCGTGTGGTTTTAGTCGGTCCGAGTCCGACACACCACCCCGCCGCAAACCCCGGTGGGGTGACGGTCCGAGGGGATTTCCACACGTTAAAAAAAAAAAGGCACAAACAAACTAAAGGATATACTTTAAAAGAAAACAGTGACCATAGGTCTATCTAGACTTTGTTATCATCGCAGCATATTTTAAAACTTTATATGCATTGCATGCTACAAATCTCTCGCAGATAACTTTTTGTCAACTTTAATAGTTTTTATGTCTTTTCTAGTCGTTGTATTGTGAATTCAAGATGTAATATATTTTTCACAGAAGAACCAAGGAAACCAGAACCAATTAGGCCAGAACCAAAGAAGCAAGAAGCAGTTGTAAAGAATGTAGTTAAGTCACCACAAAAAGCTGGAAAGACGCGCGGGGATTATGAACTGAATGCACTCATGACGAGGATGGTGGACGACGAACTAAGAGACCTTATGAGAAAGGTATTGGTGTTGAAACTTGATTAATTCTTAAGTACTCTTTGATTGAACCAATCTACAACACAAGCCAAGCGAAGCGGTAGAGAACTACCTACCTTCTTTCGAAGCGCTTCGTAGTTTTTTTTAATCCATTTATGCACAACATTAAAACTCAATTCATGTAAATGTTGTTACAGACGCATTATTTGAAAAAGCTACTAGCATTTTTCAAAAGAAACAATTGCCAAACAAGCACCCCCTCCCCCTTCTCCAAATTTGTATACTACATGATAATCGCTACCTGATTTATAAAATACTATACCTATTTGTTACATTCAGACTTTTCAAAATCTCGTGGACGATGCAGCTGATGAGACCGAATGCCGTTTTTCCCAGATACTGCGGAATGAGGTTGCACCTGATTTAAGAAACGTAAGTTTTTTTACTTAACTTAATCGTCAATGTGAATTGCTTCGTCCAAATTTGTCTTCCACATAGGAGATCTGGCAATACCCTTGAACTGAATGTGATACTAATGACTAAAAACTGTATACTGGATTACTGCATAGTTGCAAAATCATCAGTTTCCCGTGTATGATCGTGTAGTTCTACTGGTTGATCGAGGTATATCCTAGTAACAGAATATATAAAGTTACTGGGTACATCATTACCAGCCTATCGCTGTCCCCTGCTGTTGATGGCTACGGCATAGCAAAGCTATCAGGCATGAGTATGGTAACTACAAATAATATATTAGCCGTTCCCTACATAGCGTCATATTACCTAGATATAACTTTCCTTAAGAGTATTCAACTCTTAGCAAAAATATAAATTGAGTGATAATTTAAAAACTAGTTCATTTAAAGAATTGAACACGAAAAATGTGGCTTCTTTGGCCCTATTCGTTTTCCTGTCTGACAACTACTATATTTCCACACAGAGCTTTCGTCAGCCAGTAAGCCGGTTATAAAAGAAACCAAGCAAAATAACGCTTTGTAGTTATTGACACATTGCGCTGCCCCTGCTAATCTTCCTTCTTCCTCCGAGCCTTTTTCCCAAAGTAGGTTGTGGTCGGCTTTAAGTCTACTACGATCGGTCTGGACGGCGATTTTTTACTTATAACGACTGCCATTAGACCTCCACAACCCTTAGGTTTCCCCTTTCTACAGGATTTCGATATCGCCCAGTACTTATACGAGTCGATGTCAAAGTTCTGTAGAAAGAGTGTTGTTGGACTTTTTAGTGCTCTAACTACCCGTAACGATTGCCACAGATATTCGTATGGCAACCGGGACCGACGGCTTGGCGTGCTTTCCAAGGCATGGAGAGGACTCAATGTGTTAAGAATGTTCACCAATCCATAGACTGAGCTTGCTACGATTGCTCAACTTTCTAATGTGTTAACTTACTCGGCTACCGATAAGCCACGAGCAAAATGGGCAAAGTGCAAAATCATGATTTTTTCTTTTCATGAAAAAATGGATGTGCAATAATATTTATTTGTTTTAGTCGACCAGTCATTTGAATATCAATAAAATTTGGTAATTTTATAAGGATTATCCTATTGATAGAAACAGTCGAACTTGATAGTCAGACGGCAATATACACTATATTAATGTTAATACTAGAACAAGTTAGAACAACACACGTTGTTCTAATTTGGTTTTTACCATAATAACGTATTTCTATTTACAGGTAATAGGCTTGAACATAACGAAGAGGTTGCTAAACGTACATAACCCCCTTTGTGTACAGGTATGTATATCTAATAATATATTTGGAATAAACTTACGTAAAATTATGTTAAACTCAGCATATTATGTCTCAGTTCTATAATCTAGCATAACCACTCAATCCAATGATGTCCATGATAATGTTAAAATGCTCGTATATTTAAAAAGTCCAATAAGTACGCTGAGATAATTATGATTCTGTGGCCTCTGATATCTGCATTAGAATTCAGATATGTAGTGTACAAAATGTCAAAAGTTACGTTAAATTAGATTAATCAACCTGCCCATAAATTTGTTTTAAAATTTACGAAGTATATTGAGGAAAACTTAAATGTATGGTGCGTCTTTTTTCTATAGAAAATTAACATAGCCCGATTTGCATTTCTCAGTTCTTTTTATATTATGTACGTTACAAAATAAGTGGTCTCTTTTATTATTATTAATCCTCTTATTATATTATCTTCCTTCATTTCCCTTAACTAATCTTTTTTTCTTCAGATTCAATTCAAGGGTAAGCCTGATAAATTTGAACTACGTGAATTTCTAAAGAAGTACAATTTCATAGGGTTCGCTCGTAAAGCAATAAATATATTCGCAGCTCAACTAAAAGGTATCGATGACTTCGACAGATTATGCACCGAGGAGGAAGTGAGATGCGGTAGGTTTTTACAACATTAATATTTATTTAATTTACATACACTTGGTAACGCATGTCTACACTCACATCAGTTGCATAGTTTATTGTTTCTTAAGGCCTAAGAGTTCGATTTTTACAAAACAGATTGTTGCTAGTGTGTGTGTGCTGATTTATGACTTTAGAGTCATTATGTAAAATACGATTCCAAATAATGAATATTTTGACTTTGACCAACTTTTCTTATATTTACTTTACAGGTAGTGTTGTAGTATCCGTGAGTCCAGAGTACAAATTTACCAGGTGCCCGACAAATCTTAAAACTAAATATAAAGACGTTCATTTGGAAGAACTTGTAACCAACGTTCAACAAGATGAAGAATTAAACAGAGTTCAAAATAAAAATATATCTGAAACATTTAAAAGTATTAAGAGTGCAGAGAAACAAGAAAAAAGTAATCTTACTAATGCTAAACTTGAAACTATCAAATTGGAAAAGTTAAACGAGAAAAAAGCTGAAGTTCAACCACCTATATCAAATAACGTCGTCAAAAGTAATATAGTGACCAAACATGTCGAAGCCGGTAACAAACCTAAACAAAATATTGCTAATAAAGAAACCACATCTAAACAAGAGTCTCCTAAGATAATAAAAACTGAAAATAAAATCGTCACATCCTCTAAACCAGAAACTAAAATTACTACTCCACAGAAACGAACAACAGTCACCGTCACAGCTAAAGTGCCCCCTGCTAAAACAATAACACAAGTGACTCCTACTAAGACTCTATCTCAAGTTTCTCCAATTAAAAGTGAAACTAAAATGGACCGAACGAAAGGTGTAGTGAAAGTAGCTCCACATAAATCTACTGCTAAAGTTACCCCCTCCAAAGCGAAGCAGCAAATATGTTCTAAATTGGCAACACCAAGGAAATCAACCGACGACGAGGACGATTATGACGAATTAGATGACTATGATATTTTGGCATTAATGTCTGAAGGAATTGTGTTAGATGAGTGCTGTGGGTCTGACGAAGACTAACCTGATAAAATAAATTAAGGTGTAAAAAGTTTTATTGTTGGTTTTCGTGTAAATCGCTGACAACCTAGCTATTCTTGAAGTTTGATTATTAGGTAAAAAAAGCAAAGTTTATATAGAAAATGTGTAGACAACAAAATAACTTGATTGAAAAATTAATAAAGTCTATGAATGTAACACTGAAGATATTTAATTAAAAACTATGAAGCAACCTGGTTTCTCTAAATTTAAGTTAACTGTATACTTTATGGCCTTTACTTACTCAATTTTATGACCAGCAGTCATTTCCCATCTAAGTTTCATAGTTTTGCAGAAACATGGGTCAAAGCAACTTTTTGGGCTTAACTTTTTAGCTGAAGGATATCATTGCAAGTATTAGGGATTGTACCTATCTATCTAATAGTAATTATTATACAACAAAAAATAGTTTGTAAGTTTTCTGATGTAATGAAGCGAAATGTTTCAAGTTTTATATTGTCCTAGTCTTAAAATATAATATTTGTAACAATCTAATATACATACGTATCATATTAAGTTTAACTTATTGTTCTAAACGACATAATAATATGTTATTGTTATACCCACTAAGGTTGTCACAAGTTATTTTAGTAAAAAATAAAGCCATTCTTCATATTTTATTATGTGTTTTATTACACCATTTGACGGAGCAAGTATGTCAGGAAGAAGGGGGAAATACTTCTTAGCTTTACTTTCCATTTTGAAAAAGAAGAGCTGTGCATTCGATGTACCAAAATAAATTAATAAAATTTCCTTTGGGTTCCTCGTATTGCGGTCGGTTGTGGTTTACCAAAAAACACCCAAAAACCACGTCATTTATTAAGTCAGTATAAGGTGTAAGCACTGCAAAATGTATGCAATGTAATACTTGGATGAATCAGACTGATATAACAAAGTATTGAAGAAATGAAATTAAATAATTGGAACATACAATCAAAAAAAGTTCTGATTTCCATATATCAAGCACTGTGATTGCATATAGAATTTTAAGAAAATTGCAAAAAGACTACGAAGACTATACCTATAATGTTTTTTTTTTTCCACCGGGGTGGTGCCACTCTGCGCCTGTAATAAGAGGAATTCGGGAACTGCTGTTATTAAGACATCCGGACTCCTTCTAGCGCCTGCCCGCAATGACACAGGCACCACCTTCGGGTACATTCTCTTTTTAGGCGACCTACTTAGGTCGCCTCCTCGCGACTGGCCGTTATGGCGGGTGGAGTTGAAAACCGTCCCGTCCACCCGCAGCAACACTCAGGCGCTAGTAAGCGCGCCTCCGCCGCCCGGTTCGCCGGCAGCAATTTGGGTCCGAGTGGAGGTCATCCTCCCGGGCCCTCTCCGCCGCCTCCTTCTGTGGCATGACATCACACACATTCACAGAAGGATGCGACCGCAGTAAAACATCTGTCGCTACCGGCCATGGAGCGTATAGCGGCCAGTAGCGACTGATCCCCTGCGGACCCGAAGCTGCGACGCCCAGGCCGGGCAAATTGCCAGCGTGTGTTGAACTGAGTCCTCACTGCAGTCGCAATGGTGACAGGCGGGACTTAATTCCCTCCTAGCAAACGAGTGCTTCCAAAGCAGCCGTGCCCGGAAAGAATCTGCGTCAGCCGGAAGGTAAGGGTTCCGTGCTGCCGCCCTACCCAATCGACGATGACCGGCTGGAGCGCCTCATCCACGCGAAAAATGCCATGTAAAATTTACGGCCGATTTAACGACACACAAGACAAGCTGATAATTCAAACCTAAAGTAACAGACGTAAGGAGCACTAAATTAAATACCAACTCAATAAGTAACTTTTTTTAAAATTTTCGTATGTGAACGATAAAATTTTGTCAACTGTTAATATCATTTTCCATATGGCCTGAAAAGTCATGTATTAAATACATACTAGGTTACCCTTTTTTACTTGGTTGGTATGGTAACATCGTTTTAAAAAAAAGAAAGAGTAAAGAATAGACTGTCATGGTGGATTGTAGACGAGTGCAAGCGTTTGTCATTAGTTGTAACACTATTGATTTAAGCACTGTATTAAACTTTGTAATTTGCTAGAAATCAAACTATCTTAATTGCAATAATGCGACGCAATCGCAATACAAATCTAGGAGGAGGCGGCGGCAATTTAAACAGATCTAGTGATCTTTTCCTAACAGATCATCTGAAGGTATTCCTTTTACCGTAATCTATTAAAATGAATGTTAATAAGTGAGGAAATAATTTCTATTCTTCGAATAAACTTGGAATTTCCTTTCAAAAATCATTATTATGCACATACAACATCATATTTTTAGTTGCTGTTTACCAATGTTTAGTCATTTGTAAATACCATGACCTCTCCAAAGGATTGCTGTGATGATCTTAATCATTATAGTAAGACGACAGAGAATCTGCATGTTGTCTAAATTACCTCAAGTGATGAGTCATTAGCCATGCTTTTTGTACTATGTGCAATAATTGACTTTCTCATAACCTGTTCAATATATTACAAATTGATTGTCTAGATAATTTAAAAATAGCATGAAAGGTTGAATTTGGCCCACTATACCACACTGTCCGGCCAGCGTGGTATAGTGGGCCCAAACCTAAAACCACAACCAACCTAAAAATAGTTTGAAATAGGGGTTTGTTTCAAGTTTTCCTTCTCTTTCCAGTGATGTTTTCCAACATAGTTGCATAGAGGTGGTGACACCATATTCTTAACCAGTCACCACATGGACAAACCATATTAAAAGCATGCTGTGGTCATTACAGTCCATGCTAATTGTTTCTCAAACCCTTGGCATTTTTTTTTTGGATCAAAATATGGAGAGAGAGAGAACCTTGTATTTTATATCATTTCATATTCTTGTATTTAATATAGTTGTTTTCCACAGGACATTGATCTTGAGTTAGATCTGCTAAAACGCAAGCGGGAGATGCTAGAGCAGCAACAGCAGTTAATACAGCCATTAATGGGACAGGTACTTAGTCTTTGTACAAAATGAGACAGAATCTTCTATAATTATCAAAAAAAAATATTTAATCTCAATTACAATTTTTATTTAAATAGTTAAGAGACAGGTAACATGTTAGGAACTCTCCAAGTAATTGTTTATTATTTCTGTGCGATAATTGTGTATTATTCCTGTGTATTTTTAGAGTTTTATCAAAGTCAAAAGATAAAGATTCATAAAAATTTAAACATTAGATCAGATTAGGGCCCTTTTATGAATGAAAAGTCACTGACTGATGATCTTGGTGATACAGCAACAGTAACTCTGTCTGTGATCAAGTCGGAAGGCTAAGCTGTTTGTACTGTATTACTGCAAGTGTTGCTTTGTAAGACTACATTAGATATTCTGTAGAACACTGACTGGGCGAAAAATATTTCTCTAACATAAGTTCTCAAATTCAGTCATGCAACAAGTTTGCAATGTCCTCCTCTATTTCTGATATATCTTGAACCTGGATTGCCATGTATTGTGTAATCTATGAAATATGTCGAAATGTGTGGAGTATTTTATTGTTTTCATGTTTTTGAATTTGAGAAGCTTGAAATATTATGTTCACATCTTTTTCGTTCAGTCAGAAACACTATCACTTACAAAAATACAAAAATATCTTGTGTGCCCACACCAGACTGCTTTTACTCCAACCAATGCTGGAGCTAGTTGATCCTGACCTGATTTACTGATTAATGAATAAAGGATAATTAAGTCCACCAGCAGAAATATCAGGGAGTCAACTTGAGTGTTTCAGCATACAGTTACAAATAAATTTATTTTATAATTAAATTTCAGAGAAGTTTTAACCAACAACCATATTACCAGCTTGAACCCAAACAAAGTGGTTCCAACCGCGATTTCTCTCACTTGTACAATGATGGATCCCGAGAATACCGCAAGCCCTATGGTAGAAAACGCCAATCTGACAGTGACTGGCTACACGATTCCTACCCTAAAAGGTCTTCTGGACAAGGTCAGCGTGGTTCTAGCTTTGCTGGACCTTCGTCTACCCGAAACCAAAGATCTTACGGCGGTCAAAACCAGCAACCAAGGTCTACACCTAAACAGTACGGGCAAGGTAAACAGTTTATCGGCCAAAGGATCAATAATCAAAAACAGCAAAGACCTTCAAAAAATTTTGTTCCAAATAAAGTAACCAAGGCTTCCAAAGCTTTCGTGCCACCGAACAAACTAGCGTCCCAACCGGTCGCTGGTCGAAGTAAGTTGGTGGCAGCTGCCGTTATGTCAACGGCAGAGGTCGAAACTCAGGATCGGGAAGCGCTTAGGCTGCTCCCAGACCAAGTACCGACCAAGCAAATGACTGGCCGCTTGGAGCTGGCTCTGGGAGCCATCTTGAGGAACATCCGAGATATGTGTGCAGAAAGTTCGCATCATGAAATATTACGCACTTCCTCGTTACAACGTGTAATTAAACAAGCTATTCGCGAGCGCGTCAGAAGCGCTATGTTAGGCAAAATCGTCGGCGCTACCCAGGAAATCGTCAAAGAATATAGAGCTATGTATCCTAAAGACACTGATTTGGAAATAATGAACATAGCATTAGAGGCGGGCGGCATCAAGCCAGAGAAAGACCCAAAACCCATAGGTAGTTATTATCTTTTATTATTAAACAGTTCTGTGCCGCAGTGCAAGTATTTTGACACGGACAAGAACTCACCTATATATTTATCACTCCTTCACCCTTTACTTTGAAAATGTCTTACTATTTGGTAAACCCCAAAACCAAGAAGGCTAATGACAATTACTGGATCAAAGTTATCATTACAGCTCCATTATGCCTTAGGTAAACTATAGCACTTCGTAATGGTATCAATTAACCATTTCATTTTGTCATCTACATCCATGGAAGCCCCTGAGACCCGAATAAACACTCGAAATACGCAATTAATACAACATTATATATTACATAACAAAAAGTAGCAAAACTGTGGTCTTCTATTTTGTAGATAGTTTCTTTTCCACTTAGATATTTATGACCAATCTTTGATCAGAATTTTGCTGTGTCCTACCATAATTATTATACATAATTGAACATATGGAGTCACTATGGTTTAATAAACTCTCACTAAGAAAAACCCATGTAAACTGTAATCTAGAATATGTCTAGCTGCCTTATTTTATTCTTTTCCCTTTTGGTCCTTTGTAGATTTTTACCAAGAATGAATTGGACTTTGTCTTGTCTTATTAATATTTATACATAATTGAAACTTAGTTTGTACGGAATCAACGGTAAACATGTCTATGAAATGTTGATAAAGCTGTTGTAATTATTAATAATTTGTTTTAAATTTCTTAGTTTTACAGAAAGACAGACCGGAGGAATACTACAAAGTCAACATGATTAAGCTTATTGACACACATCTCCATGAAATATTTGATAAAGTAAGTTATTAACATTACTTTTAAAACTGTTTAAAATAGGCAGTTCTAAGTTCTTTAATATTTTTGTGTGTGCATATTTGTATGAATTTTATTATGTATATATAGAGGGTAATGGTTATGTAAGGTAGAGATGTTGTTTCCTAATTCATTGTTTTTGTTAAAAGCAATTTACATATAAATCCTATACTTTAAAGCCCCAAATTATGAATCCATGACTGATCTAGAATAAAATTTTGTAGATTGAAAAGATATATGAAGCTGAAAATGAAAAAGAAAATTCCCAGGAAGGTGCTGGAGAAAACAATAATATGGAAACAAACAATGAGCCTGATGGTGAAAAGGGTGAAAAATCTGTTGAAGATACACTTAAGGAAAACGAGGCTATTAATAATGAAGCTGAGGCTGAAAAGAGTAACAATATCGAGGCCGAAAATAATGAAAATAACGAAGCCGCAAGTGGTGTTAATGCCCATGACGTAGGAGGGGAAAATAACCCTGCCCCAAATAACGAAAATAACCCTGCCCCAAATAACGAAAATATTACCGTAACAAATCATGAAAGTGTTGCAAACGGAGATAATGAAGACGGCGAACCGCTCTTTCCGCAAGCGAATGAGTACAAGCGATTGCTGCCTCGACTCCTTAAAAGGCATATACCTGTAAGTTTGTACTTTATAAATACATTTGTGTGTGTAATGTATGGATTTTTTTTAATCAAATTAATCTTTCAGACTATTCTAAAACTTCTACACCTAAACAAAATGTACAGACGCGCTGTTGCTGACATCGTCACCACCACTAAAGCTAAGTTTGTAGAGTATGAAAAACCTGAAAATTCTGCCAGAGGAGAGAGCTCTGAGGTATCACAAACCCCTAAGAAATTCCCAGGGCCATATGTTGTTCTACCCTATTATGTTAAGGTAAGTTTTAATAAACTTTCGCTAGCCGATCGCTCTGAAACATCGATTTATTAATGTACTAAGTAAAGGTGTCAAAATAAATCTACCATGAAATATTTGATTTGTTATTTATTTCAGGTAATGGGTAAACCACAGCTGCCAAAGAAGAAAGCAATGAATACATTTCTGGAAGCGTTCAATCCTAAGTCTATTAAGAAGCATAGGACTATTCACAATCTACTGTTTATTGGATTTACAGAAAAGGCAGACTTTGATGCTATTGTTCAGGCAGATGGCACTGTCATTGGTAAGTTTTGTAAATGCTATGTTGCATGCTATTCAATTATCGTTTTCTATGTATAATATGTAAGTATTTACAACAACTTAAGTATTATATAACTATTATTACTTATGTATTATAAAATTTAAGTATTACATCTGTCAATTTAACTTTCAAACTACAACTACACTCTGCTTAGTTTTAAACCTGATTGCGTTGTGTGGGAGATGTCCGAAAATATTTATTTTATTTATTTATTCAAACTGTCCTGATGCTAGTAGTAGTAGCAGCTGACATAACCAAGTTTTTTTTAGTGAATGAATAAAACCTTTTATGTGGTATATTAATTCTAAATTAACGTTATAGGTCGCAGCACATTGAGCATCAGAATCTGTGACAAAAACAATGGCAAACGTGATGAAAAAGCTCAGAATGGCACTTTAAGTAGTGCAAGTAACCAAAATGTCTCTCAAGTTCAAGAAACTCTTGATACATCACTTGATAAAAAAAATGTAAAGAAAGAGTTGGAAAACAGTGAAGATCTAGCAAAAGAATTAAATGAAAATATAATAGATTTGATTGAAAGTATAGAGAATAATGGTATTAAATCTGAAAATCCAAAAGACGAGAAAGCTAATGAAAATATTGAAGAAGCTGCTGAACAGACAAAATGTAAGGATGAAGTAGTTAACAGTAATGAAGTTGTTGGGGACACTAATGAAGTTGTTGGGGACACTGATGAAGTTGTTGGGGACACTGATGAAGTTGTTGGAGGTACTGATGAAGTTGTTGGTGACAGTAATACAGCAGAAGGAAATAGTGAACCAGTAGTTGGAGACAGTGATGAAGTTCCTGAAGGTACTGATGAACTCCCCACAGATACTGAGAAAACTGAAAATAGTGAAGAAAAACAACCATTGGTTGATGAGAAAAATGATCAACTTACACAACTAAAAAGTACTGGGGGAAGGGCCACACCGACCCGTACTTCAACCAGGTTGGCAAACACACCTGCCACTCCTAGTACTATCAGAACCCGTCGGGCAAGCAGGCTGATGCAAAATTAGATGATACCTTGTCACAAAATTACTGTTTTTACTTAAGACCGTTCAAAAGATATATTTGTACTGTTTAAGCTGTACATTTTAAAACGACCTCGCCACTTCCTACTGCGATGACGCTTTTTTGTGATCCCACTTATAGCATCCCCTGTGACACAGGATATATTCGTAGTGCCGGAGAAGAAGCAGCAATGTACATCAATGTAGTGATTTTGTGCAATTTTACAAATATATAAAACTAATTTTATCCATACTCCTAAGCACATAATTATTAACAGGTCGACAATGTGCTTGTGACTCCCGCGTTCATGGCGTTCATGGGCGGCGGTAGTCATCAGGTTAAACGTCTGCTCGATTGCCGATCTTCCAAAAAAAAAAATACAATAGAGTAAGGAAACCTTAGATATAATATTACATACCACTATATTGTGCTGTATTTTAAATTTGTTTTTATAGATTAATGGTGGATAATGATTCCTTGCAGTGGTTCTGTATCTATACATCTCCATCGCTATGAAAATCCTAAGAATTTAGTTATAATAATTAGTAGTTTTTTTTTAAGTTATTATTTAAGTTTGAAAATTGTCTTGGAATTAAATAAAAACTTTTACTGACTTGTTTAACTTTTTTCCCTAAAATATATATAGTGTATATTATATACTAGCTGACCCGCGCAAGTTCGTCTGCGTCTCTCAATAGTAATAAATTTTCTCCGTTTTTGAAACATTCTTCATTGGTGCTCCGCTCCTATTGGTCTTAGCGTGATGATATATATAGCCTATAGCCTTCCTCGATAAATGGGCTATCTAACACAAATAATTTTTCAAATCGGACCAGTAGTTCCTGAGATTAGCGCGTTCAAACAAATAAACAAACAAACTCTTGAGCTTTATAATATTAGTATAGATATATGTATATAAAAATAATAAAATCTCCCCACAGCTCTGATGACAGGCCATTACTCTTCTTTTCATGAAATTTGCCATGACGTTTAAAAAGACAGCGCAATGTACTAGGTGATCGCTTTTTTGTAACCACCTAAACATGGTCGGGTTACCACGGACTTGCACCTTCTAATGACTTTTATTTAACTATCTCGTAAATTATTATATGTACGATACCGAAATTTTACAGGTAGACAACTGAACTAAACAACTAATTGTTGGCATAACATTCAGTTTATATATCCACACACAGGTTTATCGGTGGCCAAAAAAGGCCGCACACATTGTGATCGTGAACGTGGAGAGCTACATTTCATCATAACTTTTTAGTCACTTACAGTATTCTTACGAAAATTCGTATACATTTGAAGGTAGTTACAAGCAATAGAATAACGTTTCAAGTAAGTCTTTAGAGGTCTTATTCAAAGTGTTAGGACGTATTGAAGTGTTTTCATACTTACCTAAATAATTTTTAAACGGTCCATTATTTTTATTATTTTACTGTCGAACAAATTGAAACTAATCCTTAAGAAGTTATGTACAAAAGATGGTTACAATCCGCTTACCCGTTTCAGAGATCCAGCAAACCCACAAACGTTACTCCAGCAGGATCTCGAATAACTTCGCAGCCGAAGAAAATACAAATACCAAATAAATTGTAACATTTACCTAGTCCAGATAACTAATTATTTAGCTAAAATTTATTTCAATATTACAATTAAAAAAGAAAATGTCTGGCTGCGGTAACGTTCAAACGTTACCCCAGCAGGAAATGTTTTTTTGAAATAACTAAAAAAGTTTAAGAGAAACAAATTTAAAAATGTGCTTAACAATTACAGAAGGGGAGCAACTAATTATCTATAACGTTTAAATGACCATTTTCGACATTATTTTGCTGGGGTAACGCACACCACAAATGTGGCTGTATCTCACCGATGACGCGTTGGGTATCTTATTTGAGCTCAGGAATTGAATCAGGAACCCGAGATTTCACAAAACCCCAAAGAAAAAAATTGCACGATCTTGGTGGCCAGTTGACATCAGAATTTCGTGAGATAATGTGTTCTGGAAATCGTTGCTGCAATAAGTCGATTGTTTCATGCGCGGTGTGGCAGGTCGCGCCGTCCTGCTGAAACCACTTGTCCAGACCCATGCCATCCAGTTGAGGCCACAAGAACAACGTTATCAAATTCCTGTAACGAATGCTGTTCATTATTGTAGTACACGCTTCATTTTCTATTACTCTAGAATCCTTGCCATATATTTTTCTTACTTTTCTCTTTGCCTAGTTTGAAAACCAGTACATGTCCAAGGAGGGTTTACATTACGCTGGTAAACGGGCAAAAAATAAATGTTACACATTGCAAAGACATGGCTGATTTATTTGACAGAACATAGCCTAAGTCGAATTGTAAAGTTCGCAGAAAATGAAGATGGTATTTGTGTCCGCAATCGTTATGTGGTTTCAATAAATAAAACCAAAAATTTTGCTATATACTAAATGTTATAACTATACTGAGTATTTGGAGAGTATTTTAATTTAAATTTATCATTATTTCGGCTGTTCGGCAGTCACTGAGACTTCGTCTTCAACCTGTAAAAATAGAATTCATATTAGTATTAAAGGTATTTGAAAAATTCTCTCACTGGGGGAACTACTTGTAGCAGTTTTGTACAATTTTTGCATTTGTTTCCTTCACCCACTTTATAATTTAGGGTATTTATGGCAAATATTTTGGAATAACTTTTTATTACCTACTTTTTAAATCCAATGATTGTTTAGTCAAAACACTGCTAAGTGCCATATATTTTAGTCATAAGTATCACAATTGTGTGTCAACAATTAATTAAACATAATCAGTGTTTAATTAATTTGATAGCTATAGTGTATATTATGAACTCTGCATTGGCTTGAACTAAATTCTGTAGAATTATAATTAGCTCTTCAGAATTTATATACCTACATTTTTAATTTTACAAAAGTACCTTCCTTAATAATGAAATTTATTAACTAACGTAATGTACAATCAAATCGCGCCGAGGAAAGACCCTGCGCCTCTCCTCTTCTTAGCAGCAGCAGCAGCTTCTATTCTCTTTATTTCAGCGTACTCTACGTCAGCTATATCATATACTGACTTTGGCGTTACCTGTAGGCAGGTAGGCGGGGTAGGAAATATAAATTGATTACGGGAAAAAGACGGGATTGATGTAATTGGACACTACTAGGATAGTCTATTTTGTAAAAATAATCAATAAAATCTTGGTTATAAACAAATATCAATATTTGATCCCTTGTGTAATTCTTAGATGACATATTTAATATCTTTTTTTTCTGTTATATTTACCATAACCCATTGCTACTTTTACGGTCCTATGAAGTACGGGCACCTATTTCATATAATACACTAGATATTAAGGTATATCCAGTGTGTGTTATTTCGTGTTTAAACTCATTGGCGAATCTTTAGATTAAGATTGGCGTGAAGCATAGTGAGCACATGATTTTCTTTAAATAGTATAAAACAAAGTCCCTTCTTTATGTTGTCCGCTTAGATTTTTTAAACTAAGCAACGGGTTTTAATGCGGTTTTTTACTAATAGAGAGAGTGATTCAAGAGGAATGTTTATATGTATAATACATGCATATTACAGAAGAGAAAATCTGATAATTTCAAAGATTTCTCTTAAAAAACATCGTTTTGAACGCTCAAATTACAAACGCTGGCTAATCAGTTTGAGATAGACCAAAACGGATAATCTTTTTTATCTTTTAAATATTATTACCTTTTAAATATTACCAAACAATAATGGGTTATTTACGAAGCTATTTTAAGCAATACGCTATTATTCCTTTTCCAATTAACAGCATATTATTAAAATGAATATTTTAGAAAATATTTGAGGTTTAAAATGCGGGGGCAAAGCGGACGTCGCCGCTTCGGACCGTCCGTCTCGGGTGACAGAGGCTAGCAAGAGCGGCGGAGGAGGCCTATAAAGATGTCCTGTAGTATAGGTCAGTCATAATAAACGCCATCCGCGTCGCCGAGCACTGGGCCAAAATCGTGTAAATTGTTGCCATTGACACGGTAAGTGGCCTATCATTATAGAAGTATAATTAATTAGTTCACACTCACACCTCATTAATAGTATCTACACTGCATACGTGCGAAGCCGGGGCGGATCGCTGGTTATTAATAAATGCAAGATACAACTTTTCAAAAACTTGGTGATTTTCGATTCGATAATTATCTAATTTCATAACTTAATGGTTAATGAAAGTGGATGATAAAACTTAAAAAAGTAAAACTTCTTTACGCACGCTTTACGGGAGGTAAGCTGGTAAATGCGTGACTAGAGCGTTACGAAAAGTGTGATTGGGCGAGGCGAATGGCAGTTGAGAGGACGATATAAGTTAGTGAAGATAGAAAGAGCTAAGAGTTACGTTTCGTATATTGCTGTAAGGACAAGAGAGAGAAGTGGGAGCACACATTTTCTTTCCCTCATAGCCTAGAAGTTTTACTTCAGTCGTGTGGCACACTCGTTTTTTAAATATAAAATTTTATTGATTACTTTCTTTTTAATGAAAACGATTGTTATATTTGATTAAATCGGCACCTTGTAAGGTTATTTTCATTAAACGAACTGACTGAAATGAATTCTGGCGACACGCACGAATCATCTGTAATGGAGGACGCGAATGTCAGTCAACACTGGCAAAAGTTTGTATAGATTGATTTAAGTCCGTTTATGACTGAAAAATATTTTGTGCTATTGAAATCGATGCAATTTTTAAATTAAATAATGAGGCAGGATGTGGGCTTAGGTTCTCATTATACAATCAATAGGAAAATCTTACCTTTTTTAAGCTATATTCAAATATGGCTAGCTCTGTATTAATAAAGACAATTATTGGCCAAATTGTTATTATTAACTGTCTGCTTTAAAAAATTGTTAAAACCATATTTATGAATTACTATGTGAAAACTAGAGAAGGTGACCCACCCGTCTTGGCATATACTATTTGCTGTCATTAAGGGGTTAAAAATGGATCACTGAGTATGATCCCTTATGTGTATTATTATTACAGTTTCATTGAACACAGAAATTATGCCCCCACTCAGTAAATAAACCTTGTGTAACATTATACATACTAAATTTACAGGCAGATTTAATCTGATCAACTCCAAAAAAAAAAGCCTAAGGAAAGCTTTAACAGCTTAATTTAAGTACATATATAATAGCTGGATGTATATATTCAAGTTTATAAATGTCCCAGTAAAAGTGAAAAGACAGATGATCTTGGTGATAGAATAGTGCATTTTGCAAGGAATGAAAAAAAGTAACCGAATTTTTTCTGCTGATTAAACTAACTACAAATTCGACGCGATGACCAAACGAGTAACTCTTTCTCTTACTACTGAGGAAAATCTTTTTAAATTTAAATGCGCCAGTCCAAAATGCACAAATGCACACAGTTCTGATCGTTAACCAATTTTATTTGAGATTAATCGGCGTTCCAGTCCAGTCCTAGGTGCGCGGGTCTAAAATTTTATGTGTGGAGGGCGCTTATGTCTGTGCATCTTATTTGTTGTTAATTTCACTTAAACGTTCTTTATGTTTTAGAATAATATTGTACTGCAAAAGGTATTTTGCTAACTGAAATATCGATTGGCCAAAAAAATTTACTTCTCATGTTCTGTCATCATCATCATCAGCCTATTGCAGTCCACTGTTGGACATAGGTTGCTCCCATTGCACGCCACTTAGATCGATTTTGGGCTTCTCGCATCCAGCTCCAGCTAGCCATTTTGCGCAAATCGTTACTCTACCGGGCTTGTGGGCCTACACTACGTTTGGCGAGACGCGGTCTCCACTCAAAAACTCGTTTTCAGCCCACTGCCACTTCAGCTTGCTGATCCGGTATGCTGTCGGTGACCTTGATTCTCTGTCGGATCACCTCACTCCTGATGCGGCCACTAAATGCCGAGCATAGCCCTTTCCATAGCACGTTAAGCGGCTTTGAACTAGTGAACCAGCCGTACCGTAACTGTCCACGTTTCGGCTCCGTATGTCATGACAGGTAGGACGCACTCATTTAAGACTTTCGTCTTAAGGCACTGTGGGATCGACGATAAGAAGACTCGACCTAACTTCCCAAACGCTGCTCAACCCAACCGAATTCTTCTGTTCACTTCGTCCTCGAAGTTGTTTCTACCTAACTTCTATGTCTGCTCGAAGTAAACATAATTTTGAACAACTTCGAGAAGGGCACCGTGTTCCGCAATCGGTTTCGGTAGTACATGTTCATTGGTTTTATCTCATGTTCTGTAATGCTACAAAATTTGCCGGGTATCCATCTATTTCTCATGACATGTATTTAAATATGGGGTGTAGCATATATGGTTACAGTTTTGCATTATGACACAATTAGAGTATTTTTATACAAAGTATTTTGATGTGTTTTCAAATTCTAGAGTTTGAGAAAACCAAGTATACTTTTGTATATTTATACCTATTTAACTTTATTTTTATAAAATTACAAATGACCAAATGAAAAAAATATAAAATTTCAAATTTTAGTGCAAAATCTAATTCAAACTATAACAAGTCGATCTCGGCCTAATGTACTAATTAATAAAAATTAGTAAGAGATCGTTTATTTTGTTATTTTATGTAGTGTATCATGTGCAATATGGATAAACAAACTTTGCAACTTAACTTTGTTACTTTCTAAGTTAACTTTTTACTTTTCCTGTCCTGTGTTCCTGATAATCTTCTTAACGGCTGGATCGATTTTGATAATGTTTTACTACCAGGTTATCTGTCTATACGAGTATAAGCCTTATATAGACAGATAACCAGGTAGTAAAACATTATCAACCCAGAAAACCCTAGGGAATCGAACCCACTACGGTAGCCCTCGAAGTAGCGAACGAAGTCGCGCGTACCAGCTAGTTAATATATATCTATATATATATATATATATATATATCCATCATGAGATAAAAAATATCTTACTTAATTTGAATATATATATATACTTATATATAAATGTTGAGTTGGTTTATATATACTTCAAAAACTAAAAAGTATTGCACCAATTGAGTTCCCCTTTCAAAGATTGTTTTTGTCTATTAATTACGTCAGTTTCGTTGCTTATTTCTCATCAATGCAACCACAATGTGCCACAGCGAAGAGTGGCAGGGCACAGCTAGTATTTCATAATATAGGTAGCATATTTGCAGGTAGCAGTAGGTACACTTAACATTAGAGTTTGCGTCAAAAACACTAGTACACCCGATGACCGATCGGAATGCCTCTCAAAGCCAAGATATACTCAATAAATCTGAGACTGACATCCTAGGAAGTGAGTTAGATGGACAGATTAATGATCTGTTGGCTTCTATAAGGAAATCGGAAGAAAATCAAAGTAATGACAGTAGTAATTGTGACACTCCAGAAGAAGAGATCACTATAGATGGTATTAGAGAAATTTCTCACGATGATAAAACAGATGTAGACAATGACGAAGCTATTGCAAAGAATGGAGAGCCGGTAGAAGATAATGAACAAAATGAAAGTACTCATAACATTAGAAAATACAGACGAAGCAAGCGAGAAAAACGACCAAGTTGCAGAATTGAGAAGTACTGGAGGAATGGCAACACCGACTCGTACTTCCACCAGGTTGTCAAACATCAATGAATCAATGAATTGCCAAAAACATGAATCAATCTGCCACTCCTAGTTCGATCAGAACTCGTCGGGCAAGCACAATGATGCAAAATTAGATGATCAAATAGTGTAGAACAATCACTATTATGAGTATAAGTATAGTGAGCGTAAGTGAGTACATATAAAAAGTTACTATAGGTCAAAGTATAAAAACAAGACAAGACGTAAAAAGAAAAAATAGCGTCATAGAAAAAATTGACTTTCAGCATACTGTAATATATTACTGTCTAATGACCCTATCTTCTTTCTAATAAAGCCAATTTATAATCTATTCTCTTTTTACTATTTCCTAACAAAACATATTCATATTCGTTTCATTACAAAGCGAAGAGAATAAAAATGTGCGAGCTACTCAGTAGTCGCATGTGATCTGAGGGCTAAGTGCAAGTTTAACACTATTTACATCGACTCGCTCTCGACGGCGAGCGCGATTAGCGTTGCGATTGGTGGAGATTTCAGTGCGGGCCAATCGTAGCGCCGAACGCGGTCACCGTGACGATCGAGTAGACGAGAAATGAACTCGCACTTGGCTTTCAGATATTTAGCACAGCGCGCGCTTCCCCACCTTCGTTCAGACACATCTATCTCTTTTCACACAATCACTTTAACATATTGCAGGAAAACGAGTGAAAATATGCTCCACATGAAAAAGTAAGTAACATTAGGCGGAAATCCACTGCTAATAGGTTATTGCTGTCAGTCAACTATTGAGAATTAAGAATACTGATAAAGATATATTTCGTGGTAAATAAACACGTAAGTGTATAAATAAACACGTAACACGTACACTCGTCGTATGCTATCTTTCAACTACAGCTGAAATCTAGAAAAATAGATGTTTTTTAGCATGGCTAAAGTTACAAAAACATTGGTCTATTGTGTATCAAGCATTCTAATACCACAGATTTTGTTCGAGTATTTGAGACAGTGAGTCTGTGTCTACAAAAATCTGTATTAATACATTAAAGCTGCATTGTTTTGGACAATTCTATTTGTATTTGATAGCTAAACACTTAGTTCAGGCTATAAACGCAAATGAAACTGCTTGTCTGTGATTTTTTATGAAATAGGGGCCAACGAGCAGAACGGCGATGTTGTCTGAAGTGATGCTAAGTAACTACCGCCGCCCAAGCACCTGTGACTCGAGCCATAAGTGCGTTGACGCCCTTGGAGTCCTTCCACCAGAATTAGCGGGACAAAATCACAGTGAACTGATTTTTCATTCGATTTTTGCGTACGTAGGTTAGGGTTGCTAGGTAGGTGGGTTAGACGTTATTTAACAGTAAATCTAGTATTTTTTAAATTATTATGTTTGGAATGGTAGCTATATATAATAAAATAATTACTAGATTTACTGTTGAATACGTACGAAAAAATCGAATGATAAATCACCGGCCTTTCACAGTTCAATGTGACTTTGTCCATTGCCTAGCGGTGACATAACTCACTATGTCTTTCTACTTTCAACATCAACTTTCTGTAAGGCTGTGAATCACTCTGATCGTGCCGCTCTATTTGTGCACGGACCTCCTTCGTACATATACGTATACATATATTTTATAAATCTCTGATATACGCACCATCAGCTGATTGATGTAGTACTCGTACATGACCGTGTCCGTCACAGGGTCGAGTGCTGTCTGCATCATCTCGTCAAATTCCTCCTGCTCAGTAACAAAACAGTACAAATATTGTAAGTATAGGCTTTGCCGGCAATGACGTAGCTCAAACACATTTTATAACTCTTGCATTAGGAATATATCCTGACTCGTTGGAGACTTTACAAACATTCTTGAAACCGACACAAAGAGCACCGATATTTAGAACAACAATTTGTGAATGACACAGTCTTTTTCCACGTGAGGATCGAACCCACAAGATTCAGCGCAATAGAAAGCAGCGAGATAACCGTCGCCATTCTACCACATTGATACAACGCCATCTAGTCCCAAACTAAGCAGAGCTTGTACAATGGGTACTAGACAACTGATATAAATACATTTTTATACTTTTTTGTAAATACATACATATTATACATAGAAACTTTCAGACCAAATCAAACATTAAAAGTTCAAGCACCCAAATGTTTAACTTGACCGGGAATCGAACCCGTGACCTTTAGAATAGCAGTCCGTTACACAAACCACTACGCCATCCGGTCGTCATTAATTTAGCACAGGCTATTTTTAAGTGAAAATGTGGTGTGGCCCAGTGTGTTTTTTTATTTATTTGTATGTTTGTCTCTTGTATGTTTTACTTCACTTTGAATTCTTTTCCACCTTTTATCTGGTTTTCTCTTCATTACTTTTGCCTTTTAGTCCTTAATAACTGACATACTGGCCAACACATCAAAACAATGTTGTTTAATGCAATCATTAATTTAGCACAGGCTATTTTTAAGTGAAAATGTGGTGTGGCCCAGTGTGTTTTTTTATTTATTTGTATGTTTGTCTCTTGTATGTTTTACTTCACTTTGAATTCTTTTCCACCTTTTATCTTGTTTTCTCTTCATTACTTTTACCTTTTAGTCCTTAATAACTGACATACTGGCCCACAGCTCAAAACAATGTTGTTGTATATATTGAATGTGACTGTATCTACCTGTAGGAGTGGCCGTGAGTTTATTTGCTCTTTATTTTTTTTGTGAAATAACGATATTTTAAATTTGTTTATTACTTAAATTACGAAACGACTAGCAGAATTGTCTTGATCAGCCTATTCAGGCTAGTACTCGCTTACTAACTGTCATAAGGTAACCGCCAGAAATTTTGCTACCAATAATAGGTAAAAAAAAACGTAGTTTAGATCAGACCTGAGTAAAAGGTTCTCCTTCTTCCAACATGAGTTTTGTAAATCTTTCCTTGGTGAGGAACCCACGTCCTTCGGTATCAAAGTAGCGGAAAGAGGCTAATAGTACTTCTGCACTGGCCGGATAAAATCTGTATTGAAAAGAAACAATGAGGGCTGAATTTTCAGTATACATTTTTATTTTATTATATTTAAATATGTTAAAAAAAAATTTGGAAGAGTGGGCAAACGAGCAGATGGGTCACCTTGTTTCTTTTCTTAAAGGTTTGAAGTTCGTATCGGTCCGGAAATATCGCAGACTATAACTTTTTCTACAGATTAGTTGTGCGAAGCAAAGTCTTGACAAGCGCACAGTGGTGGAGTGCCAATTATCCAAATGGTGGAGGTAAAAAATTTGCCGTGTGGAACGATGTCGAAAAGTTACAGCCGGTATTAGTCCGAAGAATAAAATTCCTCGGAGCACTCTCCACTGTATAGACGATAGAGAATCATACAATAATATAAATAGATGAAGCCTGGGAACTGTAGGTATATTCCTCTGTAAGTGGTAGGGTAGGGCCGGTAGGCAGAGAAAGAAGACTGTTCTGGCCTTTCATCTCTCTTTGCTCTCTGCACTGATTGGCTACTGCTTTTACCATTTAGTAATAGTTTTAAATAGCTAATCAGTGACAAGAGCCGAGAGAGATGCAAGACAAAAAAAAATTCTTTCTCCCTCTACCAACCATATGCCAACCATATGCTCGCTTCCTCTACATTTATAAGGTCTTTGTAGAGAATGCAGAGTGAAGCTACATCTCTACGTCATTCCTAGGGATTGAGTTGGTCGAACATATTTTGACTATCGTCGATTCAAGTCGCTTTTCATTGGATACGGTCCAGAGGGAGAATCTGGTAATGGGGTGTCCCTGCATAGGAAGAGAATAGTATTCCATATGTGGTCGGAAATCCGTGTGGTGACGGATTAAGTCTCTGGAGTTCCCTATTTATCCCGTGGGTGTCGTAAAAACCGACTAGAGGAGCAAACTCTTTAGGATAACAGCACTACAAAGAGAAAGAAAACTTGAAACAAACCCTATAGTATACTCCTTTCTAAGGAGAGACTTATGTCCAGCAGTGGACTAGTAAAGGCTGTTAATGATGCGGCAGGAATTGCGCCTTCTAAAGTTGAGACGGTGGGTTGAAGTGAAATACTCCCTCGATCTGGTCAACACACCGAGCTTCTTCGTGAAAAGCCGCAACTGCTTTTATGCAATTGGAGCGTTCTAGGTACAGGTTGGAAAATGATCGTTTATTTACCTGTGCTCCATCATAGCTTTGGCCATGTACGGCATAAAATATGCTAATGGAACATTTCCCGTCGCTTCTTTATTTTCAGTTCTCAAAATCACTTCCTGTATTTCTGCTTCGGTCGGACAGCAACCTGAAATTAGTTAATACCATATTATCACGATTAGTTTGAGCCCGCGGGGGTTTCAAAGGCAACGTTTAAGCTTTTACCTTTTATAACATTTTTCAGATCTAGAGTAAATCGGAACTAAATTTTAAACGCATTTGTTATACGAGAATTAACCCACAGACTTTAGTATGGGATGTAGTTAGACTATAATAAATAAATAAGTATAGATTAACTGCACCCTGACGAAAGGCTGTAAAATTATGATCTTAAAATTAAAATTATACCTACAACAAATGATCATGTTCATTACACAATATTTATCTAGGGTGAGAACTACAACTAGTCCAACCAGTACAAGTTAAAAACAAGTAAAGAAAAAAAAATCAAAAGAGGAATTACAACGAAATAAAAAAAATGAAGTTTTTGTATTTCTCTCACCAGCCTTATTTACACTTTTAGGCTTAGACTGCGTTTCCAGCAGAGATGTGCGAGGATGCATAGCGAGGGATTTGTTTCTTAAAACCCAATAAAACCACTCCAATTATCTAGCCTAGCTCAGTGCAGATCTGGTGGAACCCGCTACAGCTGTGTAGCGGGTTCTTTTATTCGGCGGCAAACTCCATCTAGCGACTACTATTTTATTACATCCCTTACATACATCCTTGCCTTGTTTCCCATCTCGCACCGTTCAACAGTTTCGTGTTTCGGGCAATCTCGCACCGCTTACCTTAAACTCAAACTTAAAATATCAGTATTTCAAAAAAAATATATGTTAATGTAGACTTAGTCATAGATCAAAAGATATTATTATTTATTTAGTGGGAGATCGAGACCTCCGTCCTCTATAAGCGCAGGCCTGTGGGTGACAGGTGAGGCTATCTGTCACCCTAGCAGAAAGAGGCCCGGGTGGCGGCGAGCGCGCTGCGAGGCGCTCGCGCCCTTCTGGGAGCACAGAGGGAACATGGGGGTTCCCACACAGGGTGGTGTCGTCTACCCTCCGTAGATGGCCCGGGGTACTTCGGGGCACCAGTGATTTCCTTTCTAGGGTATAGAGTTGACACCGGTTTTAACGGACATTTTTCGTCTCTCCTGCACCCTAGGCGTCGTTCCGAACTCCTGGAAGGTAGCGTTTGTGCACCCAATCCTTAAAAATGTGACCACTCTGATCCGACCAACTACATATAGGCCTACAGCCATAACCCCCTTGTTCTCTAAGATTATGGAATCCGTAATCAACTGTTATCTCCTCAGGTACTTAGAAAATCACCAGCTACTTGTCTACCTAACTCACCGGTATGCACAGGCGACCGAGACCAAGGGAGAGGCTTGTGCGGTAAGCTTAGACATAGGGAAGGCCTTCGATCGGATATGGCATAAGGCGCTATTCTCCAAGCTCCCTTCCTATGGGCTTTCTGAGAAATTATGTAAATGGATCACCGGTTTCCTTGCATGTAGAAGTATAAAGGTCGTTATCGATGGTGCGTGCTCCGACTTGAATTCAGTAAATGCAGGTGTCCCGCAAGGCTGTGTGCTATCACCCACACTGTTTCTTCTACATATCAATGATATGTTGCGAACTAGTAGCATCCATTGCTATGTAGATAATACCACGGGAGATGCCTTTTAAACCGGCCGCCGCAATAATTCTCGGGAAAACGTCATCGAGAGTCGAAACAAACTGGTGTCTGAAATCTGAAAAAAAATCTTAACGGAGGTTTCAGATTGTGGTCGACTGAATGTAGTCTATTTTAACCACCTCCACAACTGCCTCAGCTAGTGTCAGAATCCTAGGCATCGACACCTTGAGCAGTTTCGCGGTCATTTAGTGGGTGAGGTCAAATTGGCCTCCAAGAAGCTCGGTGCGCTGAACAGACCGAGGCAGTATTTCACTCCAGCCTATCGGCTCCAACTCTAGGCGCAAGTCCGGCCTCATATGGAATACTGTTCTCATCTCTATGCAGCAGCACCTCAGTACCAGCTTCTCCCTCTGGACCGTATCCAAAGAAGAGCGACCCGAATTGTCGATAGCCAAAAGATCTCCGAGTGGTATGATCCCAGGGCGGGGTTGGGTGTGCTCCAAAAGGCCAAGATCGCCTGGAGCAGATCCAATCCTGGTACGCCCTCCTGTCCGGAGGGCGTACACGGCGAATGGTCATGGGGGAGAGCGAAACAGTCGTGTAGATCCCCATGGCAAGTCTGGGTGTCATCCTTCCCGTGGTTGCCGCCTGTTTTAGGTCTGATTCCCTACGAAACAGATATAACAGAAACACCCAGACGCAATTCCATCCCACAAAACCTATCCCTTCCCATTTTCTATCCCATCCACACCTACTGCGGACACTAAGTGGTTGGTGCCTGCGGCCTCACTATCAACAAAGACTGAGAGTGAGGGGGAGGGGGGGCAACCACCCGCATGTTTGTGCCGTGTGCGGGGACCCGTAAGGGAGGATGAAGAGATCCTGGTAGTTGAGCTGAAAGGCAACACACTGCTTTGGCCTGGATTTCTCTTTACACGGGAGGCTGAAGGCTAGCCACCTTTGGTCAATCGGCTGTAGTATCCCGTCAGAGGGCTGCTGGGCGAGAGCTCTTCCTTGGTGGGGGTGGACGACGGGTGGGACGACCAAGTCTTCCTACCTAGTTCGGCCTGCCTTCTGCCAGGGAGGGAGCTCTATATTTCCTTGTCACTTCTGGCGTCGTGTGCCTTCTGCCGCGGCGTCCCCACTTGAGGGCTCCAAGGAGGGTGGAAGGACAAGGAGATGAATAAAAAACTATGGATACTAAAAAACCAAGTAATAAAAAAACCACCAAGCCGGTACCGAATGTGAACAACCCAAGTGCCAGGCTAAACCACCAATCGGCTGACCCCAGGGTGAACAACCCAAGGGTGAATCCGGCAAATACACCATTGGCTTCTGCTCAGGCAAACAACCCGACCGCAGCGCCATCCACGACTCTGGCGACACCTCTGGTGTCTAACCAGAATACGGAGCCAGTGTCGACCATCGACCTCTCCTCTTTGAGGGCAGCAATGCCCGTACCTGCGGGACCCGGCCTGGAAGAAACCGGCTGGAGCCTGGTAAGGACAAAGAAGAGAGCGTCGAAAAAACCAAACCCGTCCAAGAAGACCCGTAACGCCAACAGGGCGAAAGCCCGAGTGGAAAGGCAAGCACGGTGTCTGACCTCGGGTGGAAGTAAGCGGCTTGAAGTCGCTGAAGGGCCCGAAGGGGCCCACGTTGCCCCCGCCAGTGACGTGCTGCCCCGAGGCGAAGACGAAAGTCAAGCCACGGGGAAGTGTACTCCTGTGGGGGCGCCACCTGCCAAGACGCCTGTAGCGGCCAAAGTACACTCTAGGCAGGGTCAACCTGGACAGGGTAAACGGGCGAGACGAGCGACACGTGGAGGGAAACCTTCAAGTGATACAAAGCCCGTCAAAAGAACTCGCCCGGACGAGTCTCGCACTCCCCAGGGCAGTGGCAAGCGATTCAAACCGCTGCCAAAGACCGGCTCCACGAGTTACTCCGACGCACTAAAGGCGAATGACCTTTGCGTCGCGGTCATGCTGGAGCCTTAATACGACCTCACCAAGGCACAGGCAGAGGACATCGAGGGCCAGCTGCAGGGCGTGCTAGATGAGGAGATCTTCTCGCCCGGCACGTCAAGCGCACCCGTCGCTGCGCCACAGTTTAGGGCCAAGCCTTCTACAGTGAGGGCGCCCTTAAGATGTGGTGCAACGACGAATATTCCCTACAGTGGCTTCGCCGATCCCTGGTAAGGATCCCATCACCACGTGAAGGCACCAAACTGGTCGTCAGGACGCAGTCTGAGATCCCGAAAAGGATCAAGGCTGGACTCCTGGTACCACAAATCGGACCAGATGATACACTGGTCCGTATTCAAACGAGGCTAAAGTACCAGAATAGCCAGTACAATGTGGCCAACTGGGCCCTCTACCATGCCGAGGCGCAGGAGGAAAAGAAATGTCTCTTCCTAGTGCTCGGCATCCCAGAAGAGGACGTCGTGAAGCTCAAGGCTAGCGAGCGTAGAGTATACTACAAACTGGGTAACCTCTACGTCCGCTTCCTTGATGAACGTCCCGCCCCACCAACTAACCCAAACGAGGAGCCATTCGAGGGAGGAGGAGAATCGGCCCTACAACACCCTAAGGACGGCAATGGAGGGGATCCTCTGAGACCCGTTGAGGAGACAGCCTGCCGGGGTCCACCTCCTGAGGAGTTGGAGGACCTACCGGTGGGCGAGAGTGACCTCGACGACATAGAGGATATGCTGAACAGCGATGATGGCGCTGTCTGCACCCCCCCATAACACCCTTATAGCCATCCAAACCAACCTCCAGCACAGCTATACAGCAACGGCTACCCTACGCAGAGAGCTGGAGGTAAAAACCAACACCGTAGCCCTAATCCAGGAGCCGTGGATTAGGAAGGGCAGGATCTGCGGTCTAAATAATATTGGAGGTAAGATACTTCTCAACACTACCATTGATAACCCGCGCACTTGTATTTATACACCAAAACATGCGTGTACTATCTTAATGACCGAGTTCTGTTCCAGAGACCTTACCTCTATTAGGTTAAAGGAACCCTCATCAAACCTGCCTGACGTGGTGATAGCATCAGCCTACTTGCCGGGCGATGCTGACATCCCCACTCCGGAGCTGGCTGCGCTGGCACACCACTGCGAGCGCGAGGGTCTGGAGCTGATCATCTCTGCCGACACCAACGCGCACCATGCGCTGTGGGGCAGCAGGAGCAACAACCGGAGAGGTGAGGAATTTGTATCGTTCCTATTATCAACTAACCTTAACATTATCAACGTGGGCTCGGAGCCGACATTTGTCACGTCCAGGGCCCAAACTATAATTGATCTTACATTAGCAAGTGAGCACGCATCGCAACACATATCGAACTGGCATGTTTCGAACGAAGCATCGTGCTCAGACCATCGCTGGATCAAATTAAACTTTGAAATGAAACTTAAACTACCCGATCCCCGACGGAATCCCCGCACGATGACCGGAAACAGTATGAACATCTTACTGCGGAGAATCTGCGAAGCATCAACCCAACATACGCTACGGGGACTGTTAAGGACATTGACAGTCATGTTGTCAACCTTACACAGACACTGATCGATTGCTTTGAACAAACATGCCCACTTTCCACACCCAGAACTGGACCACAGAACAAACACCAATGGTGGGGTCCGGAACTGGAAAGACTACGTCGTAAAGTGAGAAAGTTGTTCAATAAAGCAAAAAACTCGCGATTAGACCAACATTGGGATGCCTACACGCAGGCCCGACAACAATATAAGAAGAGAATCAGAACCAGGAAAACTGAGTGCTGGAGAAACTTCTGTACTAACATAGAGAACAACAACCAGGCCAATAGAGTCAAAAGCATACTGTGTAGTAGAGGCGAACACAATCTTGGCTCACTGAAGAAGCCTGATGGTGAGTATACCAAAACAGACTCGGAAGCCTCAGAGCTGTTATTAAAAACACACTTCCCTGGATGTCGCATATCAGATGTGATGGAAAAATGGGAAGACAGATGGGAAAAACCACCAGATGATACAGACTGGGATACGGCCCGCAAAGTTGTCACCCATGACAAACTAAGATGGGCAATTAACAGCTTCCTACCATTCAAGGCGCCAGGACTAGATGGTGTCTTCCCAGGCCTACTGAGATGGTGTGATACGACATTACTGGACCATCTTATAAAAATCTATAGGGGCTGCCTGGCGCATCAGTACATCCCCTTGAAATGGAGAGAAGTTAAAGTAGTCTTCATCCCCAAACCTGGTAAAGGTGACTACACACAACCCAAATCACACCGACCTATTAGTCTCACATCTTTCCTACTAAAGGTTCTTGAGAGGCTAATAGATAGGGAAATCAGGGAAACTGCGTTAGTCAGTCATCCTCTACACCTCAATCAACACGCATACTCGATGGGTAAATCAACAGAATCTGCCCTACATCGAGTTGTTTCATATATAGGAGACAATCTAAATCACAAAAGGTCAACACTGGCCACCTTTATCGATATCGAGGGAGCCTTTGACAAGACCAACTTCACCAGCATTAGCCAAGCTCTGTCTAGGCATGGTGTTGATTCCACAATCTCAGGGTGGATCGACAGCATGCTAAGATATAGAGCTATACAATTCACTGTGAGCGAAGTGACTAGAGGAGTGGTGGCTAGAGGTTGCCCCCAGGGCGGTGTACTCTCCCCCCTTCTATGGAACATTGTTGTGGATGAGCTCATCGCACAACTTAATGACCAAAGATTCCTCACAATAGGCTATGCAGACGATATTACCATTCTCATCAGCGGTCCTTTTGAGGGCATTACATGCGATCAAATGAGACTTGCACTGAAGATCGTGGAACAATGGTGCGCAGCACACAACCTGACAGTGAACCCATCCAAAACAGAGATGATCATGTTCACAAACAAACGCAGCCTAGGAAATCTCAGACTTCCCAAGCTATTTGGAACACAACTTACTCTTACCAAAGAGGTCAAATACCTAGGAGTAATACTGGACAGTAAACTCCTGTGGAATAAGCACCTCGATGAAAAACTGAATAAAGCCTGCATTATTTTCTGCCAATGCAAGCGGCTACTCGACAAAAGCTGGGGACTATCACCCAAAATTACTTTATGGCTATACAGGACAGTCATAAGACCAATAATCACTTACGGTGCTGTTGTCTGGTGGCAGAGAACAGAGCTAAGCACCGTCATAAACAAACTGCAGCAATTCCAGCGACTCCCATGCTCCGCGGTCACTGGCTGTATGCGCACAACGCCTACTGCCGCACTGGAGGTGGCTTTTGGTCTGCCACCCCTGGATCTATTCATACAGCAGGAGGCCGCCATGGCGATCATTAGACTCAAACACCTGGGTCTATGGCACAAAAGGGAGGGATCGCACTCTAAATTATGGGATCAATTGGTGGAATACGAACCACTGATAGCAGCTCCATGCGATAGAATCACAAAACACCATATCTTCACAAGAAGATACTACATCCAGATACATGGAAATGACCGAGATCAATCCGGCATTAACGAAGTCCGAATTTACACGGACGGTTCCAAGACTAGGTCAGGAACTGGAGCCGGAGTTTTCTCGCAAGACCTAAATATAAACATATCACTAGCGTTAGGCCAACACAGCTCCATATTTCAATGTGAATGTGTGGCAATAACTTACGCCGCCACAACGGCCATGTCAAGGGGTATCAAGGACTACAACATCCGAATAATATCCGACAGCATGGCCGTCTTAAAGGCATTGGAGGGCAACACAATGACCTCTGGTGTTGTCCTCGAATGCCACCAAGCACTGGAACAGCTCGCTATATTCAATGGGGTACTCCTCCAATGGATTAAAGGGCACAGTAACTCACACGGGAACGATGCCGCAGATGAGTTGGCAAGGAGGGGCTCGGCAACCCCAACCTCTGGCCCAACCCCACTCCTGCCCATATCGTTTAACCAAATACGATGCTGGGTCAGGCAACGGACCTGTGAAGCACACAACCGGAGGTGGAAAAACTCACCCGGCTGCAGACAGTCCAAACTGGTGCTGAATCAAGTCACGCCACGACTAACCTGCAGACTGATCAGTCTTAGCAGACCGGAAATCAGAATGGTTGTCGGAACTATTACAGGACATCTAGCCCTGAACCGACAACTATTCATAGTCAATGCGACGGACAGCCCCCTGTGCAGGGGGTGTCTGGAAGCTGAAGAAACGGCCGCCCACGTAGTCCTGGAATGCGAGGGAGTGGCCACACAACGGGCAAATATCATTCCTGATATAAAGTCGCTCCTAGAAGCCTGTGAACGCCCCAGGAGGCTTCTGCGCTTCTGGAAGGAGCTTGGCTGGCTCACCTAGTCAACCAATCCCCGACGCATGAAGGACCACTCTGAGTCTAAATGCGGAAACCGAGGCCCACAACCAATACCAATACCAATACCAATACCAATGATCCCAGGGCGTTTTGTAGAGTTGTAGCTTCATTCTACATTCTCTATTGTATAAATCATGGAGAGTGCTCCGAGAAATTGTTCGGACTAATACCGACCGCAACTTTCATCCCCACAACTTGGATAATTGGCACTCCACCACTGTGGGCTTTTCAAGACACTTTTGCCTCGCATTCCCAACTTGTGGAACCAGTTATCGTCTGCGGTATTTCCGGACGGATACGACCTTCAAACCATCAAGATAAGAGCGTAATCCTTCCTCAAAGACTGGCAACGCGCATGTGACTCCTGAGTCCTCGCTTTTTACCAGGCGACCCGTATGCTCGTTTGCTCCCATTTATTAAATAAAAAAAAACTAAAACAGTTCGGTCAATTTAGACGTTACCTTGTAGTGACAGATGAAGTTGAAAAGTTTTAAGATTACATGATTTAAAGAAAAACTATTTCGAAATGTAAATTCGTAACAGTGATAGCTGTAGTATTACCATAACAAATTGTAGATCGCTTTAAAAAAAAAGATAATGGTAAAGTATCTACTTCAGTTTGAATACTAGATATTGAGAGAATACAATTATAAATCCATTCCATCCATTTGAAACCACTATTGGAGGTATCCTAACACCATCATATAATCTTCTGTGTACTTATTACAAACTGTATACCCATTGATTTAGTTAATTCCTGACTAAGGAATTTATTATTAAACAATTTTAAATGTTTCTCAATAAACTGTCACATAAATAAAAAATATAATCAAACAGAATGTAAGTATGAGAACTTACCAAGAGAACGCAAAATAGTTCCTATTTCTCTAACATCGACAACTTGCTTGCCAGAATGATCAAATACTTCAAACGCTTCCGCAATTTTCTTTTCCAAGTCTGTATCGGGAACAACGTGTGGTACTAAAAAGTAAAAAAAGCAAAAGAAATAATGCAAATCTGATTTGAATTAAATAATTTTATGATTGAAAAGTAAATCTACGATACATTTAACTTCTTCTTTTTTAGCCATTGTGAGATAAAAAATTTAATGAGATTCAAATATGAGTAGTTAGTATCGTCATACACTAAAATCTATAATACAGCATCGTAGTGGATAAAAAACCTGTTTAGGTATAATAAAATATCCCTAAATTTACTTGTTTGTAACTAAGCAACTGAAACTGCCAAGCCAACCAAAGGGTATAACAGCACTATGTGACCAGCGGTGGTCGTCAATGATTTCGCGTCATCTTCATCGTCATTGTTCCACATACGCAATATCCCTTTAATTCAATTATTTTCTTTATATATTTTATTTTTTTCTTCGACAACGTAAAAATAGCTGAGTTTTAGTCGATTAAATCGATTGTGTGTAAAACGGCATTATGTTCTTCCGGTTCCGTTAAATGTTGTTAAGCGCGACGGCCATCTTGATTTAGCTTCGCGCTCTATCGTAGCGAGATTTTCGCGAGTAATGTTTGGTTACACTTAACTTGTGCAATAGTTATTATAAATATTGTTTTATTGTGATTTGTGAACTGGACACGATATTAGACTCAAGATGGATCCATCCAAAATGAAAGTGGTGGATCTAAGATCAGAGCTTGGCGCCCTCGGTTTGGATACCAAAGGGAATAAGCCGGCTTTAGTTGAAAGATTGAAGAAAGCACTAGAAGCAATGACGGGAAAAGGTAAATCTTACTTATACTACGATTTCAATAACTTATAATGTATGTCTTAACATCTTTTGTTTTTCCAAGTCTTTTGAATCAATAATTCCTATGATGTTATGGCACGTGTAATATTTTGGCAGTTAAATTTTTTTGCGTGGTATGTTCGCTTGGTTTTACCGCCGTTGACGTCATGCATGAGGCTATAACAGAGGAAAAATCAATTATTTATGTAAATGTCAATTATTTTACATGGTACATATAGTTTTGAGGCTTGAATTTCCCATATGCACACACAGAGCGTGTTGTTTTATCTTTGTACCTGAGAAAACTGATTAAACAGCTATAATTTTTATATGATGGTTCAGTTTTGACTATCTACTCTAATTACATGTCTGTTGTAGGGATTCATAATATCAATACATATATTTGTATGCTTATTCACTAAAATTAAACATGCCTTACCTTGAAAACATAAAATTCATTAAGTACATTAATGTGTTTTCAATTAATTTAAGTTATAGTGGGCTGTAACAGTGTAGATAAAATAAAACAAAAACCTGAAAAAAGCCATAAGTTTAACAATTAATTATTAACACAAACATTACAATAAACCAAAAGTTAGTGCTTAACATTGCAAATGCTAAGAGCACTAAAAAACATTAATATGTTTTTAAGTGGGAAGAATGGACCTAATGCTTTAGCAATAATTTTTCAGTATTTTCTATTAACTCAATAAGGATTAGTCTTAATCTCCTTAGTTTGTGAGTTAAAAAGTTTGTCTACTTAAAGATTTTAAGAAAGACTATCAACTGAGCTAACACTTCTATCTGCGGCACGACTTTCTATTGACGTTGTCAAGTATGGTGTTAAAATTTTTTTTTACAGAAAAGTAACATTATTATAAGCATACATGTAAAGTTTTAACATGTGGAGACGCATAGTTTTAGCAAAAGTTATTGATTTAAAAAAATATATTTTGAAATCAATTATTTTTGCAATATTTATGTCAATCCCTAACATAGATTATATAGAATTTGCGTTGTTGAATGTTTTGTCTTACCTACAGTTAAATTGTCATATGTTCGGTAACATTTTTTCAATAGATTTCATGCACACAGTTTATATACCTAACCTAAATACTTTAAGGGATTGTAGTTGCCATCATTTCTGATAGATATCACTATGAAATACCATATCCCATCCCATAATAATTATTTGCAAGATATTGGACTTGGTTTTTTATAACATCGCCAAAATTTTGCCTCATGCAATTTTTTTAGAACTTGTACCTTTTTTAAATGCTTTTTTTACTGTTTTTGTGTAGATGATAATTTGTTTTGTAATTTCAATTACTAAAATTGTAGTTAATTTAACAAACTGGGTAGATGGTAAAAAATAGGAAAATAAAAACTGACAAAATGTATGTATTAACAGTTAAACTGCAGATGTGTTAAAAAACATGTATGTATTCTCAGCTGTCTAACAAAGTATAAGTAAAATATTAGTAAAGTATAATATTAGTCTAAGATAGTATTAGAATTCTTTCTCGTTTTCTATTTGGGACTGACTATTGCTAAGTGGAGTTTGATTTGTGCTTCTGATAATATTGAAGATTAGTGTGGGTAAGACTGAGTTTGGTAATATTTCAGAACTAAATTAAGTTTTTACTTACTCAACTTACTCATAGGAGAGGGGTCTGATACAATTTTTTCCGAGCGTAGAGGGCTATCAAAGTTCCTGACTTCTTGTTGGCGCCGACACAAAGTCGGTGTCGTACAAGTGTGATTAGTTTCATGTAAAATGTTCTACAACTAGAGAAGTCGATTTTCTGTCAGCCCCAACATTCAACGAGTAGGAACAAGCTCTATATATCTAAGTTGCACACAAAACGAGATATGGCTTATATTCTCAATTGAAGTGCATAATAATTGATTTATTTATTCGTAAATCTGCCACCTCACTGGCAGCTAACTAGTTTACTAGCGAGGTTTTCTAAACACATGTAGAGCAGAGAAGCTATTTAGGATAGAAGATTAATTATTATACAAAATCTTGTGACATAAATAATACCATAATATTACTTCTTTTTCAGCTCTCCCTGACACCTCAATTCTTGATACGTCAACTGAGGATGCAGATGAGCCTGCTACTCCAAGACGAGTACCTGCTGCCAGAACAACACGGCGGTCATCATCATCTCGACTTGCTGCTACTCCAGCCAAGGTTAGTAATTAATTAATTTTAAAAAAGTAACTAACTTATAAAATATAAATATTTCTACATATGAATGTCAAATTTATATCCTCCTTTTTATGGAGAGGCCTAAGTCCATCAGTGGACTATTAAAGGCTGTTGATGATGATAATATACGGCTACATTTCAAATGCTATTTGTTTTTACTGATTTTTCAGGGATCTAAAGATATTCTTATTCATCCAGTCATACTGAGGTATAATTTATAATTTTAAATCTACAATTCGCACAGCTACAGAAAGCAAACACGCCAAGTGAATAAGTATAAATAACCACTGGGAATGCCCTTATTTGCATAATACACCAAATAATTTGATCTTACAGATTTATTAGCATAACTCTTTCATTTCATTTTATTATTCATCTTTAATTGTAAAAATTGGCCTATGTCTTTTCAAGGCAATAAATTCATTTCACACACATCACTAAGGATATTCCTAGATTTAAGCATTTGTAGTTGAAAATTACTTATTTCAACAATTATAGTTTTAAAATTGGAATGCAAATTGGTGGAAGCAAGATGAAAAAATACCCATGGATTTTGTCACGATACAATGCTACGAAATGTACCAGCAGGATGCGCACGGTTTAATAAAATAAACACCTAATCTCTTTTTAAAAGCCTGATAACACTTAAGAGTTTAGAATCGTCGTAAAGGCTTGCTATTCTCTTCAGCCTTGGTTGTAATGCCAATGTTTTTGTGTATACATGATGCTGGATCCCGTGTGGAGCTGGCTTTAAGAATTTAACGAAACAGCCTTTGCTACGCAGTGACGCTAGCTTAACCTTATCTTCTAGGTGACTACAGCACTGGAGGGCACTTGAGATCTCAACATCAAGGATGCCAATACTTTTGAGATGGTAAGAGTCAGAAGTCGTCTCGATTTCAGATACAAGTTTCCTACTTGTATCTGAGAATCAAGGGACATTTAGACGGATAGTAAATGTCCTCGATATGATGGTGCGGATACCAATGATAATACTGCCATAGAAAATTAATGATTATCTGAGTTTCCCATCTCTAGGGAGGGTGGATGTCGTTCCTATGGAATGATGATAAACATTTACACATTTGCAGGGCAGCGGGCGTCATAAAATAAATATTACATATTTTAATATATAAATGCATTTATCAACATACTAATACAATCTGTGGGATAATAGCTGAAAACTTTATTCTTCTTCTTAGGAACTGTGTTTGAGTTATATTTAGCTAATGATAAAACCAATTCTTGGGCACATGGAATATAAAAACTACGAGTTACGAGGGTACACAACGAAATTCAGCTGAAGTTATGCAAAAATATTATGGATGTATTTACACAAATTTCAAAATTGTGATCAGATAAAAATAACTGTTTTTAGTTTACCGTTTTGTTTTCTTTTGAATTTAAAAAGCGGTATGTTTCCGCTTTGCCTTAATCTAGAATTCGTCATCAGGTACCGAGACACCATAAACCAAGGTTTCTCAAAGTGAGGTATGCAAACCCCGAGGGGTTCGCCAGTTGCAAATAGGGGGGTCGCGACAAGAGGTACGTTATTGCGTCTACCTTTTTGCCTTTCTCAGCTCAGCTTCGAGAACTTGATTAAGCAGCAGCAAGATAAGAAGAAAATGACAAGTTTCATTCAACATTTAATAATAGAGTGCATTTTCAAACTTGACTTCGACTTCGACCGACAACAGAAAAATTTAAGTGATGTTGAATAAATGCCTGGTTTTACTTGCAAGATTTTTACTACAAGATATTTAGGAGTTCTGTGATCCTTTTTTTCGGGTAGCCACTGATTGAGGCCACGATGACATGATTATTATGTCTAACCGACAGTTGCCTTTAGGGGCTTAGTTTTATTATGATAAGACGACAGTTAAAGAAGCCACTATCAAGTCAACGTTAATGGACTCTAGAGTCGGCCACCGCTCCATGGAGGCTACTACCTTTTCTGCATAGTAGGCCAGCTACTTGTTCATCGAAGAAGGGCTTGTAGTGTTTTTCCAGTCCCCTTTTACTTTCGGCGGCGGCTTTAGTGGCATCGAATGCATTCAGTAAAAATGATACGGTGTTATCCCTCAGTGTCCCCACTAACTACTTAGTACTAATGCTTTTCTATTTATACAATCTAAACATTTTTATTAAACACAGCCACTACAAGCGGTCCGAGAAGAACCACCAGAAGCAATAGAAGAAGAGAATAGAGGAAGCGAACAGTACTCACCGAGCCAAGAAGATTCTGACAGTGAGACACCTGCCAAAAATTCTGAACCAGAAATATCACAACCAGAACCACCTGCTGAGGTACAGAAGCCTGCAGAAGAACCAGTCATAAAAGAAGATGAAAAGTAAGTAAACTTCGTTTAAATCTCACACAAGTAAATTTGTCTAATCTGAAATCAATCATCTAGGGATCTACTATGATTGTGATTTAGCATATAATTTTCAGTTTTGTTAGAAAAATAAACAAGTATTTCTTTAAAAAATATATTATTAATTGTGGCTTAATTTTTAATACTCAATGTAATACAGCAATGAAGAATCCCAATTCCTCCCTGTACTTTTTAAAGTAAGCATTGTCAGTAAAACAGATGTTTTCCTATAAAAATTATACAGAGGTTAAATACCTAAGTATAATTTGTGGAACACATTTTTCTAAGTATATGGTATTTTTAAATATTCATTTTCATACTAAAAACGTAAAATAATGATTAGCGTCGTAACTTTTACAATAACTTCGCCCAACAGGGCGCGTGAAAAGCAAGTGAACATTTCTTCGTCGCCGTCATTCCGCATAAAACATGCTTATCAACCAAACGCGTTGTCAGCTCACTTGTGCTATTTCATTCATATTCATTCATTTTCTTTACGACAGTTTGATAAAGAATCAATTAATAATTAAAATAGCAATAGATTTTGTATAAAAGGTTTGAAATTTTAATCAATTTCATCATTCAATCAAAATAATGTTACCCAATTTATAATGTTATAGACAAGACTTGATTTTATATTAAAGTTACCGATGATAGGTGAGAGATCTAGAGCGTTAACTCTAAGTATAAACTTGAATTTCAATATTTTATGTTGGGTATTGCAAATACTACTGTTCGTAAGATATACAATTTTTAGTAAATATCGGTTTATAAATATGCAGTAAAACATTTGTTGACATCGCTACGTACAATAGAATGTAACTATTTCGGTATAAAAATCTGCATTATCATAGTAATTTACAAACTCCAGCACAGTTACATTTTCAAACAATTGTCACATAAAAACCTCTAATTATTGATCTTACATCACAACAAGAAATTATCAAATGTCACGTACATTTGTCCCGTATAATTTAAACACATTTAAATATATTTTTTGGTATTTCAGAAATTCACCTGTCAAGGCTAACCTGGCCAGCAAGGAATCTGGTAAGTCTTTTTGTGTGCTACTACGACCTAAATGCAGACCTCCTTAACAAATACGACCGACTTCTGAATAACTGCATTAGATTTATTATTAATCTCCGTAAATTTGGACCATGTCTCCTCCTTTCTTAAACTAAATTGGCTCACGATTCGTCAGCGCCGTCACATGTGCGCCTCAACCACTCTTTGTACTATTCTCAACTCGCTTACTCCACCAACCTACTTGACATCCTCCTTCTAACTCTTGTGTTCTAATCATGACAGAACCCTTCGCTCCGCAAATAATCTTCTTCTGTTATGCCTCTCTCATACTTCTGCGTGTGTTCATTCTTCCTTCCTAATTCGATCTGTCCTCCTCTGGAACGCTCTTCCCCAGGACATCAGAATGGCACCCAGTCGTCATTCGTTCAAGGTGAAAGTATGAAATCTCCTTACACACAAACTAGCTACATCGTCATTGGATTAATACAAATATCATATAAATTATTTGTATGTATATATATTAATGTATCTATGTATGTGTAGGTATATGTATGTATTTAAGAAAGTGGAATGAACATGTATATAAATTTTTATATTCATGTAAATCGTATAAAATTATATTCATAAAAAAAAACGTATCCATGTAAATCCATCCACCAGGGATTACACTAAATAATGGAATCGCTACAGACAAAAAATCCAAATAACATAATTAAACATTAACATAATTACAAAAAATATCCCCTTGGGGATCAAAATGGACATAAACAACCAGGGGATCCTAGTGGACGGTACAAAGCAACGAGAGAATTTCCTATCAGTGATGTTTGTTGTAAACATTGTTAGAATTGTGTGAAATTTGTCTTGATTCGATTTGATAGAACCAATGGAGACACAGGAGGCGCCTGAAACTGTTGAGGACGAGAATGCTAAAGTAAAATCTGATGACAAAGAGGAGATGGACCAGAATGTTGAAACAAAAGCTGACGAAGAAGAAGAGTATGAAAATGACGAGGACAGAGATGACGAAGAGGTTGGTATTAATTTCTATTTGACCGGCAATAATAACTAAACTAAAGTGGGACTCACTTATCGCTACGCACGCACGTGTGTAGCACATAGTGTGATACTCTCACTCGCGCCACATCGACCATTTGTCACTGATTATATTACTTAATACATTAAGATTATATTACTTATCATAAATTAAGACAAAAGCATGTGCCACCGTATTCGGAGTGATTCTTGAACTCTCTTTTTCGCATCGATGTCATTCCAAATTTGATAAGCTTGTACTTACCTACCTAAAAACACAAAGTACACTGATGCGAATCTTCTTACATTAAAGTACAAACCTGTTTAGACTTTAGAGCCAATACAGATGTTAAAAAACTCTAAGCTAGATAAAATCACTAAAATTCAGTTTAGTCTACCAAATAACGGTTGTTATGCTGATCATTTGGACAACTTATTTTAGGTTTCATGTCACCAAAATTTAATAATTTGATGTAAATAAATATTTTTCCTTTTTCTTATTTGTATGAAACATGATTTTTTTTATCTTAATTTTAGCTTTAACTGTCTTTAGTGGACAGGCATATTTTTTTTTTAATTAATCATGCATACTGTTTGCTCGCTGTTCACTTATAAATCTTCATGGCAGTCGTATCTAAATAAAGAATTAAAAATTGTAAATACTATCGAGACAGAATGCGTTAGGAAAGTAGATGGAATGATTCCAATCCCTTTGTGCTGATGTTCACAAATCTTTAATAATTTTATTAATTCACTTTTTTCCATTTATTCTTAATTTTTAAGTAGCAACAGTACTCTCTCATTTAGGTTTTAGTTACATTAAAATCAAATAACGCCGCGATGTATGGTGCAAAACTGCACATAAAAGCGAAGGGAGCTTGTAGAGTTTCATGAATCCGGTCAAAACCATAATAAATATAGGATAGCTTTGTGTGTTAAGACTATAGACAGTGTTTAAATTATTATTTTTATATCTTACGCTGAATCTGTTCGTTAATCAGGATGCAGAAGAGAAGAAGAAGCGTGAGTTGACTGAAGAAGAGGAGTGGAAAGATTTGAACGAACGCCTAAAGGTTCGCGAGCAAGAACGTCTTGAACTCGAACGTAAACAAGCCGAGGAGGATGCTAAAAGACTCGAGGAAGTTAGTAAGGTATGGATTCTCTTGTCTAAACGACTTGATACTAGTTAACAATTCTGTACATAAATGCTTTATAAATATTATAAAATGGTAATAAGTTAAAAGTGTATAACGATATGATTAGCAAGCAGCGTGCGACTTCTGGGTCTATCGGATGTCTCGCCACCTTGTAATACAATACCTATATTGGGAATGTTGACACCTGTCACAAATTTATGTTGCATTGTATGTAAATTAATATATTTAAAACTTTATTTAATTAAAGTTAACACACTATCACTGACTCCAAACACCAGACACATTCTTTACAGATTTAACCTACACACAAGCTGATGCTTTCAGTTGGTTCATACATTACCCCTAGATTATTATTCCTAACCTAATCCTAAACTGAAAGTTTAGTAGTAACTTTTTTCATAGATTTTCCTTTCAGTTAGGTTCTTATATGCAATAGAATAATGTTTAAAAAAATCACTTCATTTGTCAGCATCCCTATTGCTGAGATCTATCTGCATCTAGACCCATTAGACATATAAAAATAGAAGTATTATATAAATACACAACTATAATACACACCAACTAGTCAAAGTAATAAATCTTTAGCTGCCACTAAAAGAGAACACTTGTCAATCACACTGCAAAGACATGACTGGCATTACAACGTAAACCGACGTAAGCTTTCAGACAACGCGACTTAATATATAAATAATAAATAATAGATGGTTTTGAACAAATTTTAGCATTTTTTTTCTGTGTCATTTGCCATTTAAATATCTCAAAAAGTCAATTTTAAGACACACCATATATATTGTATGAAGCAAACCAAATTTACATAATACCGCACAATCATTTGTTGTATAGTTTAGCCAACATGGGTCCGATAACTTTGTATAACACCACCAGGACCCTGTTAAGCTGAACCGTTTGAGGCGCAAGCAACAGAAGAAGGCTCGCTGGAGCAACTTTTACAGGGCTGTGGAGGTCACTAACGAATTGCTAGCGTTGCCCGAGGTACGTATACATACCTCTGGGAGATATAGACATCTTGTGATTTAAATTAAATTTGGCTTTAAAGCTCTTCAAGGGGTTGAATTCAAAAATACCTATCCTTTTAGAAATCATTTATATGCCTACCTATTATTGTATGTTCTAGTTCCTGTAGATTTAAAACTTTATAGGTAGAGTCATTCTGCTGTGAAATACGACAAATCTTCAGTTCCTAAAAGTAACAAATTAAATGATTGTAAGTTAGACGAGAGTTTCAAACAATTGATTTTCAAAGGGAGTACAAATAATGAATGTGATCAATTGACACATAAGTGTGATGCTAATCATCTGTTCAAAATCTGTCATAGTAGATATTAGTCTCACTTTATTTATAAATATTTATGCAGAGTCTACATACTATTATGTTTTTTTTTTGAGTTATAGTTAGAGGTTATTTGCGCTTGTGAAAAACAGCATGCTTTTAGTTTTAAGTTACGAGCCATTTTGGCGATTGAGAAGTTGCCCAAATAGGACAGGAAATGAAAGTTAATTTTTTGACGAAAAATAGTATAACAATTGTTTGCATTACAATATAAATAAAGGAGACAAGATATTGTTATATTCTTACGTATTTCTTTTAATTTATTTATTTTATGTAAATGTTTTATCATGTATTTTTGTATATGATAAAAACAGATGTGATAACTATGCGTTAAAATATCCATAAGTTGAAATTTCAAGTTTTTATTAGTGTATAAAGTGTCAAAAAGGTAACCTATTATTTGTTTCTGTTTACTAGGAACCCGTGAAAGATAAGAGGGAGACGACTGACGTCAAGATCGCTGAACCTGAAATAGATGAAAATAAGATTACTCTGTCTTGGTGTAAGTGTTTAATATTTATAGGTGTCGGTTTAATTCTTTAATTTATTTTCACGGACCGCAGAGATTCCTACCGCGCCGAGCGTGGGGGTTCGACACAAACCGTCGTTTTGAGTCTGCGTTTTGTGTCGAATTCATGAACGTGTAAAAATTTTTGCGACACATGACTTAGTGCGGGAGTCGTATTTTAAAAGAAGGAGAATATGTGATATACCCAGTCACATACATTATTAAATGTGAATGTAAAACGAATGAGAAAGAGAGGCTCCTATAAGGTGTATCGCGTGTGCGCAGACGACAGCGACCTGAACCAGTACGTGGAGGTGCCGGCGCTCAGCGGCGTCGTGGCGCAGAGCGACGGCGCCTTCGCGCACGCCTGGGCCGGCGCGCGCGCCACGCACGCCGTCGCGGCCGGACGCGTCTGCTACGAGGTACGAGCGTCATCTACTATTTATTCGTATGAGCCAGTGAGGACTCACCCTATCGATATGTATTGTAATCCAAGTAAAGTCCTTTTTTACTTTTTAATAATAGACTAGTCAATTTCTAAATGACAAACCGAAAAGACTATTTATCAGCTTTATCTGTTTGTATCGATCGATTATAATTTGTTTTTTTTTAACCTGTTTTATATAATATAAATTGTCACTTCTCCACTTGAAAGATTACATGATCTTTTAACCGTTTAAGTTTATTATTAGAACGAGTGCCGTATATAAAAATAACTATCGATCCGCCCCGGCTTCGCACCAGTGCAATGCAGATACTGCTAATGTGATGTCAGCGTGAAATAATTATAATATTATTATGATAGGATTATACATCGAACCGAACATCTTTATATGCAATATTGATAAGCCCGCTCTGATCCTGCCGATCGCTGTCACCCGCGACGGACGAACGGCCCTAGGTGGCGACGGACGAACGGCCCTAGGTGGCGACGGCCGCTTGCCCCCGCATTTTAAAGCTCTAAAATCTTCTAGAACAATTATTTTAATGATAAGCTGGAAAGAGCAATTTTAATCTACATTAAATACACAACGTATCTAACGTATTCAATTGGATCTAAATTACTGTCTATATTGGTGAAAACCGCATTCAAATGTGCTTTTTCTATATTGTAGGTGCGAGTGGGAGCTGTAGTTACCACTACTGAAATCACTGAAAAAGAACCCATTGGATCTGGTCTGAGGATTGGCTGGTCTACCACCGATTCCTCATTACATCTAGGTAATTATTCTTTTATAACATTCATATTACTGAGAGTTTGATGTGAATGATATTACACGTCAACGTCGAGTTGCCGTGAAATATCACTCACATCGACACGGTGACAATCGCAACGACAAACGCGTTCGTCGTCGGCAACGAGTTGATGTAAAATAAACTCACACTAGCACTCTGATACTTGTCTCTTATTTCATATTGTTGGTGGTTTCACACCACACAACTGGTGTTAAGATCTTCTGACCTCTCTTTTTAACTCACTATATTTGCTAGTGTTTTGATTTGAGATTTTAATATATAAGTTATACTTGTGCAGGTGATGGCGAAATGAGCTGGGGCTACGAGAGCAGCGGACGCGCCGTCCACAACAGCGAGTTCAAGGAGTATGGGAAAACGTTCACCGAAAATGATGTTGTTGGTGCTTACTTGGTATGGATGATCTCTTATTTATACTTTTATTTTAAACAAACTCCCTACTTTTTATAACAGTTAAACCATTAGCATTCTTGAGGGGTTAAAATATATACTTTTTGTGTTGTAAGTGTACAAATTTTCTATTAATAATTGTAGGAGAGCAATGATACTTTTGTCTATGCATTTGAGTCTTTTTAAGTTACAGGTAAGCATGGCGAACATTTTCTTTTTCAGGGAACTAAGTTTCAAACAGGTTTTTTCATTTGATCATTATATTAAGTAAATTTAGCCCCGTTTATAAGAATCGATTTACCTATACACGCGCTATTAAGGAAATTGTATAAATGATATTTGACACAATTGTTAACTATTTCGTGGTGTAACACCCCCCAGGACCTGGAGTCGAGCCCGTGTAAGATCTCGTACACGCTGAACGGGCTGGAGCTGGGCGTGGCTCACGAGTTCGACAAGGACGCGCTGGGCGACAAGGCGCTGTTCCCGCACATACTCACCAAGAACACTTGCTACAAAGTTAACTTCGGATATGACAAGTAAACATTTTGTATTAACTTAAGACTTAGTAATGGACTGATGCGCGTAACTAATGCTTGGTGTAAGTATCTACTTAACTGGAAACTGAATACATGGAAAATACTTTATTATGAAATTTAAGCAGATATTGTTGTATACAGTATTATTATGTTTTGTCGAATTCAAAACATGTTGACAATCAAAAATTTCTCTCTCTGTCTATATAATCTCTTTTTCCGTTATCTACACAAATAAAAAACTATATTTAAAAAGTTATTATCACTTGAAGTTGACAGTGCTGTGAAAAATTATAGCCAAATACACAATAAAAAAAAGAAAAATTCAGAACTCCTTTCATGAAATTGGAATAGAGTTTTAATTTATAAATGATTAGTAGAGTTTTTTAAAACTTTAAAACATTACCACTTGCATGATATGCATAGATATTTCACTATGTGATTTTGGTGCTTCCTGGAATAAAGACATCATTTTTACAAATCGCAGCTTTAAAGGCTTTTACCAATTTCTGTTATCTCTCTCTCAATTTATGAGCTAACCCTTTTCGATGGAGCAATCGCTGGGCTTTCAACTAGTTAATTATTTGTTAGCCTGACAGGATTTAAACACTAGAGAACTAGTAAGATATGTAAAACACACACAGTACAACACACCAAATAGCAATAAGGGAACATGCTTATTGTTATTCAAGACAGCATAATTTCTATCATATGCTCATGATCACCATTATCGCTTTTGTCAGCTTTCGAAACTCAGGATAGGTAATCAGGTTGATGTATATTCCTGTATAGATCAACCCATATTACCAATGTTCTATGAGTTTCATGGACAGGTATATTAATATTCCACTATATTACTTGTGTGTTTACATAACATATGAGTTACCTAGAGGAATTACATTTTTATTATATATTTATATTATAAAGCTTACGGGGACAGCACAAATCTCATTTTTATATAAAATTATTAAGTTTTATGTGAAATTACCTATTTTATTACTATCACATTTACGTAAATTTGAAAAGACGACTTTTTAGTAAAAGAATACAATAAAGTGAAGTTTATAAAGTGTGATAGTATATTTTAAGAAATACCTAAATGACATTTGTGCTTCGGTTTGGTGAATTACTTTTAATATATCATTGAAAATTGAATTCATGGGATTGGTGATGGAACTTTAGAAAATTAAACCACATGGGATTGGTAAACAGTTTAGGATAAAAACATTATATCTTTACAAATCTCATAACATTATGTTTCTATTAGGTACAACATGTTAACGAAAACCAAATTGGTTCGCACGCGCCTAGAAATTCCTGTTGAGCAAGTTCTAGAAGAGAGGAGGCGAATTGAGGAGGAGCAACAAAAACAGAAAGAGGAAGCTGCAAGAAAGGAACGCGAACGCAGGGACAAGGAGAAAAAGGAGAGAGAGGAACGGCAAAGGAAAAAGAAGGAGGTACATTAATAGAAAACATCATTTATTTTCACACAGACTGGACAATATCAGATGTTTTTTATTTTACATAATTATGTTGTTTAGAGATTACACAGCTTAGATATATAATGTCACATCCTCTGAATGCCTTAAAAAAATGCCTTTTTCGGTAGGAGCGGGAAAGAGTAGAGCGTGAAAAGAAAGAGAAAGAAGATCAGGCGAAAAAAGAAAAAGACGAAGAGGAACCAATGGAGACTGAAGCCGGTGAAAAAGACAAAGAGAAAGAAAAGGAACCTGAAAAACCTGATGAAGAGAATGAGAAGGTTGAGGAGCCTAAGGTGATTGTTTAATTTTTTATTTTGTTGAATTTAAATGTTGTTGTTAGTGTGGTTCCATGTAAGGATCAATGGTGGTAGGTAACTAACTACAGCATACATTTTTCCTGCTAAGAAAATTGTTATTTATATTATAATACAATTACTTTATAATATAATTTTAAAGCAGGTATATCAATGTTCCGTATTTACTCTCTTATATCTTGTGTTATATGAGATCGCAAGCGGAACAACAGTACTTTTAATTTTAAACGGTAAGGAATCCACTGTGGGAGAGCCATGCTTCTTCACATATGGGCTGACTCGACAGGAGTGATACCACAAAAAAACGGTGTTAAGCAATGCACTGACTGCACTGATGGTGTAGTGCTTTAAGCGGTCACCTCTATGCTTCCTATTGTGCTGAGTGCTGTGGGTCCGAACCCCACATGGGACAATACTATGTGTGATCCACAAATTGTTGTCCTGAGTCTGGGTGTCCTTTGTATCCTTTTAATGTGTTTGTAAATTCCCCTGCAACAAAGGATATATTTCTAGTGCAGGAGTTGTTTTATAAACCAAAGAAAAATAAAATTTCCATGCTTTCAACGAGTGAGTGAGGTTTGTGGAAACCCAAACCCCACTTTCGTTAAGGCAGGTTGAGCACTCAAGGAGTGGCAAGGTACATGTGGTTCTTTAACTGCAAATTTCCATGAGCAGTGCTAGTCACTTATAATCAGGTGCCTCTGCCTCTCTTGCTTCCCATAGCATAAAAAAAAATTACAGTTTAATAAACAGTGTTGTAAGAAGTATTTGGACTAAAGAATAAGTTCTCTTTTGTTTACAGGAAAATGGTGAAAAAGTTGAGGAGAGCGATGAAAAAGAGAAGGACGAAGCGAAGCCAGAGCCAATGGAAGCTGAACCCTCAGAGGCGAAAACTGAAACGGAAATTAAAGAGGAACCTGGTAATTTAACTATATGATAATTTGTTTGAGCATCAGTATAAAATAATTAAATATACACATATGTACAATAAAATTTTCTTATATCAGATGAAGCTGTAGAAATAACTGAAGAGCAAGTTCTGAAGGGTCAAGTTGTGTTGGACAAGAAAATTAAGTTTGTCATACGGTAAGTTGAAGTTACAATGTCAAGCATATCTTATGAGTTATATTCAATCCCCAGGCTAAGTTAAGTAGCCTTCTTTAAATATTCCATTATGTGTGGTAACTTTGGCACATATCTACATAAACCTCCTCTTCTCCTGATTCTGAGGGGGGGACTCAAACAATTACAGATTATTTTTTAAGTGTTTCCATGGCCTACCCAAATGTCCAACTGGCTTTAGTGTCGTGCTTCGGGACGTTGATCTTGACCAATATTGGTTAAGCTACCTGATGGCTGGGGCCCGTATGCCATCAGTATGGACAGACTGACTTAAAACTACGGTCCTTTCTTCAAAAGGCCTACCCAGACCCTATACTGTAGTGTCTTTAACTTAAAAAGACACCTCTGGTGTTTGTTACGATTTTTCTTCCCAGAGTGAGTCTTAGGAAATGCCGGCTTCTTCTAGCTGCAAAGTCCAACTTGTAAAAGTGGTCGTCGCTTAACATCAAGTGGCACATCTGGGCCTAAATTCTGCTATTTTAATATTGTATCAGTAGACTGTCGGAATAGTTTCTTTTCGTATTCTGCTAACTATTTAAGACTGATGACTTGTCACTGAACTGCCACTGATACATGTCGATGATGAATGTCGCATCGCCTTTGTTATAGTGTGGTAAACAGTACATTTTATATGTGTAGGCAAACGATACCTAAATTTAATTTGCCAGATATGGCAATGTTGTTAACATCACCATTGATGAGCCATTGTCGCTACGTCGACAATCTATTGACTGTAAATTTATGTAAGTAGAATACCGATATTTTTTCCAATGTCATCTCAATAGCATGTCATTGTAATGACAGTGGCTTGTACGTTAACATAAAATAGCAGAATTGAGGCCCTGCACGTTTGCTTTCTATGCTATTAAAAAAGTAATGTGTTTCTTTCCTGCAATGTATGTAGTGTCATTATAATGTATCCAAAGTGTATATTATAATTCTTAAGGCAGGTATATCATTGTTCCGTATTTACTCTCATATATCCTGTGTTGTACGAGATCGCAAGCGGAACAACATGTTTATCGTCATTTAAAATTTGTAGACTAGTTAATGTTATTTATTTTTAGCCACTCAGTTTGCACTGGTGGCATATATATATGACAAAAAAAATCCGTTATTGTGTGGTTATTTTAGAAAAAAGACAACGACTAATGCCCGGTTTCTGAGGAACTTTTAACGGCAGTTTATCTATTCATTAGCGCTATTGGTTCGATAACCTAAGAAAGTGCGTTTCTGAACATCGCAATGTAAGATAAACTCCGTTTAAACTTAGGTTAACTTAACTGACCAATGTGTGCCGTTTATCGATTTCATAACTTTATTTGACGTTTTGCTTCAAGCAAATTACATAAACTTTTAGGTTATAACTGTTATTATTAAATTGTCAGTGAAAACTTAATATTAAAATTAACGTAATGAATACGAGCAGCTCATCAGTTTGATTTGGAAGTATTGGAGTTTATTTCTAATATTCCAGTACCTAGAAACTTAAGACATAGGAGAAATCCTTTCGAAATGTTTACGGATGAAGAATTTAAATTAAGATATCGCTTTGACAAGAACACTGTGATACACCGAAGTGATATTAACAGCCCTGATCTAGCTCCCGCTATGGATCGCAAATGTACATTGTCTGTGTTGGAACAAATCTTCATAGCATTACGATTTTATGCTACAGGTACTTTCCAAGTAGTCATTGGTGATGACATTAACGTTCACAAAACCACTGTGTCAAGAGTGGTTTATAAAGTGAGCAAGGAAATAGCAAAGCTAGCTAGGAGTTACATACGTATGCCAAATGAAGACCTGAGAGAAGTAAAGGCACAATTTTTTAAGAAAAGATAAAGCACAAACGATAGCAAAGACCACGGCAAAAGCAAAGAAAAATAATACCACGATGAAACTAGACGAAACTTTTTTTTGACATCAATGAGTTTGACGTTTATTTAAAAAAAAAATTGGCTACGATGTCGTACATTCATCCGCTGTTAAATAGCGAATTTTAATAATTTATAACTAAAAGAATACTTATTTACCCTTGAATAAAATATTCTCGTAAATAAAGCTAGTAATAATCCTGAATTAAAATAATAAAACCAATTTTGAACTTGATCTCTTAAACAGACCCATCTAACGGCAGATTATGGAACTGCTTATCTGTTTGATAGTTATTGAACGGTTCATTGCGTGTTCAGAAACGCAGTGACAGTTAACCGACGTTTATCCTATACATAACTTTATTGTATCAATAGCTAATGAGAGTATAACTGGGAACTTCAGAAATCGGGCATAATAGATATTTTGTAAGTGGAACATTCAGATAGCAGACATTTTCAATGATTGTCGTCATATTTTACAAAATTGTTTATTTATACACCTAAACTTCTTGAATTAGTATCCATTGACAATGGTCTTCGACCACATCGAAATTCTTTCACTACTATTGAACTTTATTAGACAGAGAGGCGCGACGGATAAAGCCTATTTTTTTTATATTTTGTATGACAACATATTTCTTATAAAACATATTCTAATTATCCATAAAGTTGATAATAAATATTGTATATAAGATCTCTTAAATAACAGGCGAATCATAACGGGTGTACAAGAGGCTTTATAGAAACTTATATTTCCCACAGATACTTGGTAGAAGAGGAACTGGACGGTACCGAGGCCTGCTTGGTGCCCGGATACGTGCTCGTCAGCAACGCCGACCTGGTGGAGGGCCCGACCCGGCCTGCCAGCATCGCCGACTGTGAGGTAACGGCGCACATACTGCATCTCTCAAAACTACAATATCTAAAACTGTAGATCCATATCTTAATCGGCAAACAAATCCACTCTCTATTTACAAATGGGTAACTCCAGCGATCATCGTAGTATTTTAATAAAACGGGTAAAGCATTGTAACATTATAAAATTAGCCGTCGAGTTACAACTGCCAGATGTAAAACATCGAAATTATCTCGTCACACCACATCATACGTTACATATGCTATCGCATGACGCGGCGACGCATGTCGTAGTGATGCGTCACCCCCACGGCCAGTCTCACTCTGTGTCTCCTCTTCATATCAAAAACGTATGTGTTAAGTAGTAATTAGGTTTGGTGTTGCGGTGTCGCTATAGAGTGTACGTCGTTGCGCAGGTGATCCTCATGGTGGGGCTGCCGGGCGCGGGCAAGACGCACTGGGTGCGCCAGCACGTGGCCGCGCACCCCGAGCGACGCTACAACGTGCTGTCCACCGCCGCGCTCATCGACAGGATGAAGGTACGTGGGGGGGACCACTGGCGGCAGTACCGTCCCTGTACAGGCGGATTTATTGCTGGTTTTCGATCGCGGTGCTACCCTCTCGCATGTTACCCTCAAAATTTCTTCTACCTAGTTGAGTTTACGGTATATTTAACTTAATAAAAAAAAATCTAGCTACCTATAAAAAGAAAACTGGTTTTGAGACTATTAATACCATCAATAGCATTTTGACATTTAATTTATTAGACTAGAAGAATTATTTGAAACATTCATTTATCTAATAAATAGTAGAGACTATTTATTAGATAAATGAATGTCTCAAATAATTCTTGCAAGTCGATAAAACCGTCTAGAAATCCACCTGTATATTGTTTTTATTAAAAACTGTTTTGAGTTGTTGTTATGTTTTGTAGAGAGAAGTATTAGGATACATGCCATTATGACTACAGATAAAATTGCAAACCTCCGATTCCAATTAAACTAAATTGATGAATTAATATAATGGTGCATGTACAGCTTCGACAACTGTTACACATTTCTATAAGACAAGTAACAACTCAACTCCTTAAAGTATAAAACTATTTAATGGTGAAATAAGTACGATATTGTTATTTCGAGTCGACACGAAACACTGGACAATTACTAATGGCTAATTCCCTTCCAGCAGAGTATATGAGGTATGATGAGCACAATACAAAGCGACCCCGACACCTATAAACTCTGATACTAATGTCCATCTGTATTTTCAACAGGGAACAATATGAGCACCATTTAAATATGAAATGTAACAAAAGCAATGTTTACCGACCTTTAGCGGTCAAGTCGAGTAGTTAATATGATACCAGTGGATCGCCGACTGAAGAGGACGAACGTTGACGAGTCCCGAGTGACAGTCACCAAGGAGTGTCCCTGGTATCACAACACTTAACTATGTATATAGCTTTAAGGTTAGGCTAAGCGCGGTCGCGCCGCTTGTGTCTCGTTCTGTATGAGTGTGTACGTCGTTCAGGTGGACTGTAAACCGTTCCGCGCGACCTACGAGGGCAGGTGGGACGCTATGGTGTCTAAGTGCGCTAAATGCGTGCTTAAATTGTTGGAAATCGCCAAAGGCCGCAGGAGGAATTTTATCCTGGACCAGGTGAGAACCGTTTTTATATTCGTTTAAATTCATTTTGGCACCACACTTAATCAGGAACAATCGAGATCGTATGTCCCACTGTATATTTTGGCTACTCTTTTTATTTTATAATTTATGGTTTTATTACTTACTATAGATCTTATGTAAGTATGCAAAATTGTGTAGCGTGTAACTACATATGGACTCGATGTCTTCGCATCGTGAGGTATGTCGTATGCATAAGTGTAGTTAAGGCCGTATATGACCACACCGCTTCTGCGATAAGTAGGCAAACTATGTAACGTTGCGTTTCTAGAATCGTCGGAGGTAAGTAACGCGCGAGCCGAGCGGAAGCGGTGCTATCGGTTCACACACATTAACCGCGAATGGGATCTCTATTGAGCTTGTTCTAGGTGTCGATCTGCCACAGATAAAAGTATAAACGACGGGACGTCGCTATCTATAATGAGAATGTTTTGCTCCACATCATAATCTGCGTGCATCGTCGACGGCGTCATATTCGCGCGGTTTCGATATCGCGCTCGGTAAAAACAGACGAACGTTTACCCGTCGGCTCAGAGGCGCAAGTTGCGGGAATTCGACGGGTACCGGCGAGTCGCGGTCGCGATCGTGACCGACGACGAAACGTACCGCGACCGGCACAAACGCAGGGAGGAGGCCGACGGAAAGGAAGTGCCCGACCCCGCTATCGTGGATATGAAAGGTTGGTAGCCGCCCGCAGCCGCTCCCCCCTTGGACGCGCGCCCTTCCCCCGCCCTCCGCCTCCCGCTGACGCGCGGTTCTGTTGCAGCCAACTTCATGCTGCCCGAGAAGTGCTCGTGGGTAGACGAGGTGGTGTTCCCCGAGCTGGGCGCGGAGGCGGCGCGCGCGGTGCTGGCCGACTACCACCGCGAGGCGCGCGCCGCCGGCGTCACGCGCGACAAGGACAAGCGCGAGCGCTCCGCCTCGCAGGACCTGCCGCCCGCCAAGCGCCACCGCTCCAACGACAAGGGCCGCCACCCGCCCAACGACCGCCGCCCCAGGGACTTCCAGCGGGACCGCGGTGAGTGCGACACCTTTGGGAAATATAAAGGAACGGGCCTTAAGCGGTCGCGTAACACGACGTGTAACTACTGACTTTTCACCTTGGTAATCGACCGACACTATTTTCTTAATGCAAATGAACCATAGTGTATTTCACAGTTAAAAATAAACCTTTTTTTATTATTATTACTAATGTCGACTGTACTGATTAGGACGACGTAATAAGGTAATGAATTCAATCAATCGATCAATAAGCTTTTATCCTGAACGTTTTAGATGCATTTCTGAAGTACTGTAATGTTGTACAGGATGTCTTTTAGTTCAGAATGCCACTTAGCCTGGCACCCTTTGACATCTGCCATTCTTTCTATCCCTAGCATTTCTCCTCTAGTTGGGACCGAATGTTAAGTTATGTAAGAAATGAATTATGTATTTAAAATTAATGCATTTAGGTACCTTCGTTAACTTACTGACAGCAATCACAACTCATTTGTGCCATCCAACTGTCACGGGTATCGACTTCAAAACAGTCCATAATGCAAACTGAAACACACCTTTTGAACACAAAGATATCGTGGGAGAGCCATGCTTAAGGCACATATGGGCCAAACTCGACCGCATTAATACGACGGAAAACCGGTGTAGGCTTGTGTCCACTAACAACAAATTGCTTATTTTATAGTTTTAAATTATAAATGAAGACATGGATTAAAAAAAAAACAGTTTAATTCTCATAAAAGTTAGGTTTTTTTTTAATAAATTGTAACAAAACAAGCATTAAGTCACGTGACAGCGAACACCAATCAGAAAGTGTTACGTCACGCCACGCAAAACATCATTGTTGTTGTTGACGTTTTTATACTACAGAGCAAGTTACTCCTCATTGTTTTTCGTTTTTAGCATATTTTCTTACCTTAATACAGTTTTGTTTCGCAGACTGTGACGTCATTCAAGACGCCATGACACTATTCAGTGTTTTGAAGGGAAATTTAAATTGTTTTTCTTTAAATTTTGTATTCATATACCTATTGTAAATATTGTTTTTTCTTTAAAATATAGGTTTTTCGGAATAAAATAGATATTAAAGTTTATAATTAACCAAGTTTTCAAATTGAGTCAACTAGCCTGTTAAGCATGTCGTTCTTGGCTTTTCAAACGAGTGAGAGGTTACCGGAGCCTTAACCCTCCTCTTTCCCTTGATTCTGAGGGGAGGGACTGAAAGGGCGGCAACACACTTGTAACTTGAGTTGCAGATGTGCGTAAGTGACTACTGACTTATAATCATGTGAAATCGATCTGAATAGTTTTTTTTTATCGCACAGAGGATAGATGGGGTGGTGGCGGTGGCGGCGGTTCCCGCTGGGGAGGAGGCGGTGGTGGCCGCGGAGGGAGCCGCTGGGGACCTCGAGAGCCCCGTGGCCCGCCCATGGGCGGCCCCAACCAGTCGCGCTTCGACCGGCCCTGGCAGTCGCACGGACCCCCTCCACCACCAAGGTGACCTACTCCACCACTAATTACTATTATCATAGTTATTTAATAAATAACATATGTATTTATATATATGTTAATTATATTGAAGAGTTGTACGTATTATAAATACATAAATAGGAAAAATATATAAAACTACTTTGCACAGCACAAAACTTTTACAATTTAATTATTTTTTATAAATGTGAAGGTGAGTTTGTTTGTTACGCTTTCACGCATAAATCACTAAAACGATTTTAGAAATTCTTTCACCGATGGAGTTTCATTATTATTAGTGATTAATATAGGTTAATTTTATCCCGATAAACGATATACATGCGGGCGGTGCCGTGGGTAAAAGAATTATATTTATATATTATGTCAGATTTTTAGAATTAGTTAAATGTAAAAAATATAAATTAAATAAATTATTTTTATTTTAATGTTCATTTTTTTACCTTTCAATTTTTGTCATAGTAATCGTTAAGAAAGAAGTTTGTATTATTATGTATACATATAAATTTATATGTGGAATAATGTGTTTTCGAACAGAGGTGATTTCGGTCGGGGGGATCGCGATAACTTCCGCGGAGGGCGCGGCGGTCAACGGCCCGACCGCGGCGGTCGGGGCGGCGGCCCTCCCCCCAACGATCGCTTCGGACGAGATCGACCTCCCAGACCCAACGACAGGCCCGACAAGAGGCCGCATCAGCCCGGTACGTACCGACCGTTAATCGTTTCGTCACATCGGTATCGTCGATACTGAACATATTCGACTTAGCAGTCGAAGCGGTCATGTAGTTATTAATAATAACGGGTCGGTCGGCAGGCGGCGGCAACAACGGAGGAGGCGGCGGCGGCGGCGGCTGGCAGCGCGGCGCCGGCCCCCGCGCCCGGCGCCGGCCCGCGCCACCCCCTGCAGCGCCCCGCCCCGCCGCACGCACAGCAGCGCCCCAACCCCAAGGTACTGCTCACTGCCACACCGGCACTCTTGTAACCCCACTGATCTAACACAACTCTATTTACCGAAACACTGTAAATCTCATTTATCGTAATCTCACTCGAAGTCAAAATACAATGGAGACGTTCGATGTACGCAGTTGACTAATTAGTTTTCACAAGATTTCATTTAAATTCTCGAGAGTTTAGTAACCATAATGTTATAAAAGTAATTTATTCGGCATCGGTTAGCTATAAGCTCGAAAGTGCTATGTTTGTGTGGAATCCACACGAGAGCGCATACACTCTTCTGCTTGAAAAAGTAAAAAAAGCTTTCCTCAAATATCTCTACAACTGTGTCTACGGATACTATCTATATAGGTATATATTCCCACAAATGTTTCTTCTCGGTTGTCTAGGCGTCATTGGAAGTCAGACGAGAGATGCGCTAACTTGCAATTGTGTGTAAATTTTTTAGAGAGGAAGTTGATGCACCTACATGATGAGTTGTTTCGATTTTTTGTGCGCGATAACTCGCAACCGGGCTCCCATGTTGTTTGCCGTACCATCATGTCATCGTGGTCATCGTACCACCAATCCTGACTTGAATTTGTCATCCCTCATGCGATTCTGTGAGCAGAAGGGATGATTATCTATACTAATATTATAAAGCTGAAGAGTTTGTTTGTTTGTTTGTTTGAACGCGCTAATATCAGGAACTACTGGTCCGATTTGAAAAATTCTTTCAGTGTTAGATAGCCCATTTATCGAGGAAGGCTATAGGCTATATATCATCACGCTAAGACCAATAGGAGCGGAGCACCAATGAAGATTGTTTCAAAAACGAAGAAAAATTATTACTATTGAGAGACGCAGACGAAGTTGCGCGGGTCAGCTAGTTATTTATATTTTGTCTTTGTTTTCATTTAATTTAATTAAACAAAACATGAAACTGAGCGGAGTTTCCGCGACACGCTCCGCTCGCAGAGAACGAACTCCGAACGTCTCAACGCATCGACTCAGTGACATATTACTCTGAGCTACATTTTGACCAACGTTTACAATCGATTTTATCGACACCGAAATCGTTACCTAAAGTGTAAAATCAATCGACAGGCCTGACCTAACATGTCTAGTTTCATTTCGTATACGTCGAGCAACAGTATTATAAGAAACTAAATAACCTTTTAACATGTATTTCTGTAGGATGGACCAAACCAGAACCAGAATTCGAACCAGCAAAATCCACAGGGTTGGAACCAGTGGACTGGCGGATGGGGAGGCTGGGGTCCCAACTGGGGAAACCAAGGCCAGGGTAAAATATGTTTTTAGTCACTTAATACGTTTATATGTGTAGTGAAACGTCTTGTTAGTAAATTGTGTTATTAAATATTAACCGTGTGTGAACTAACATCTGTACACACATTGAAAAAGAGATTTAGCTTAGTTAAAATATCACGGAAATTATAATAACATCATAAAATAAGGAAAATGATTTGGGGTCGCTGATAATGAAGTGACACACATAGTTGTAACAAAACAATGCGCGTGTAATGTGCTAACATATGTTTTTTTGTAAGTCGCTGGTCAGTTAACAGCTAGGGCCTTGTGCTGCTAGTTTATTTCACATCAAATCGTTCTCGACAGCGACTTCGTTCGTAATAGGCTAGTTGACAAAATTTCAATAACTGCTTAATATTTTAGCTTATTAGGCATTTTATCGAAAAAAAAGGTTTATTTATTTTTAATCGAGCGTTTACATTATAAATTTCGCGTTTTAAAAAACCAATTTGAATTTGGTTCCAAAACGCACAAGACTGTCATGGCGTCTTGAATGACGTCACGCCGTGCGAAACAAAACAAAGAGCGATCGTGTCTTCGTACGTTATAGCTAGTTTTTATCGTTTAAAAATGAATTTCTCATATTATAAGTACTGTATAGTGCCCCAGTGTGATAGCACGACTATAAAAACGCCAAACAAGTTATTTATATATGTTCCAAACAATGGAAAAATACGGAAAAAGTGGCTAAAACTTGCAAGAAGAGATGATGCTCATACTTTATCAACAGGTTCAAGAATGTATTTTTGTGAAGATCATTTTGATGTAAGTATTTCACACAATACAATCTATTACTTAATTCGAGCAAACTAGATGTGTTTTGTAGAATCCCTATTTTCTAAATAATAAATACATGAGTTCAGGTTAAGTTGTTTCACTTTTAGGAGTGAACGTTTTATTTTAGTTTTCTAATTAATGTTACAAACATACTCTTTTTATTATTCTAGTTGCCAAATGATATGATTAATTATATGGAGTATCATATGAAGGGAACAGTATCACAAGTGCGCATGAAACCAGGTTGTATGCCAAGTAAATTTGGATGTCAAGAAGACAGAAGAAAACGAACATGCAGCAGTACAGAACGGCCATATATTCTAAAAAACAAAGAAAGATGATAATAGAAGAGTGTCTGAATGAATCAAAAGAAAGTTGTACTCCAAGTTGTTCTCCAATCCAGATTCCATGGTTAATTCTTTCAAATTATAATTATCAAAAACTGTATCAACTTGATATTAATTGTTAAAAACCAAAATTTTATCAAGAACAGGTAGTACTCGGTAACTCGGTACTCGAAACGTCAAAGACAAGATTGGAGTTTCGCACGGCGTGACGTAACGCTTTCTGATTGGTGTTCACTGTCACGTGACTAAAGGTTTCATTTTACGAAATTTATTTTTAAAAAATATTATTAATCTTTAACGCTTTTAATAATTAAAATTGTTTGTTATTTTCTCCATAATATAATTAATCATTATAAACCCCTATCCATTATATTTATTCTTAATGGACACAAGCCTATTGTGATTGATGAAGAATTCAGTGCTGGCGAAACATAAAGTCGAACGCGGTCGTGCTACGACGCAACGTCGTAAAGTCAAGATAGAAATAAGAAAAGGAATACTAGTTATTTCGGATCCTAGTAAAGCTTTATAAAAAAACTTGTCGTTTCTATAGTATGATCATGCGAGTTATAAATTCTGAGACATTTACACTTTTACACAGGTTGGCAAAACTGGGGCAATTGGGGTAATTGGAACAACCCAAATCAGGGTGGTAACCAAGCTCAAGGTCAAGCCCAAGGAGGGCAAGGCCAAGGTGGTAAAGGACAGGTGCAAGGGCAACAGCAGCAGCAACAACAACAGCAAGGGCAGCAGCAGCAGTGGCCTGCAAACTATACCGCACAGCAATGGTACCAATGGCAACAGTGGCAACAACAACAACAGCAGCAGGGGTGGCCAGGGGTAAGCCTGATTTATAAGAAGTACTTTGTATACTCAAACTAAAGTCCCAACAAAACTAATGTTATAGTTTAGATACATATTTGATTTGAATCCATTGGCGTACTACATATGTCTAAATTTTAATTGTTATCTTTTGTTGACCTGTTGGTCTAGTAGTAAGTAACCCTGACTGCTAAGCCAAAGGTCGTGGGTTCGATTCCCACCCAGGACAAATAATTTTGTGTTGAGCACGATGATTTGTTCTGTGTCTGGGTGTAATTTATCTAAAATATGTATGTATTTAGAAATATATATGTAATTTTATCAGCAGTCTGATTACCATTGTACAGGCTCTGCCTAGTTCAGAATCAGACGGCCGTGTGAGATGGGTGAAGTTATATAAATATATATATATAGCAGGGTAGCAATGGAGTCTGTAGCAATATTTTGTTGTTTAAAGCATTAATAATTTAAATTGCATATGTATAATACATACTTGCATGCCTTACGTTGCTGTAAGTATCTTATACATAAATTTAGATACTTTTAACACTGTTTCTAACCATAATCCCGCTGCGACATTTTGCACCGCACGTCAGCTACCTACACAATTATCAAAATTACTTTAATGTTAATTTGTTTCAGTATCAGCAAGGTAACCAGCCTGGAACCCAGCAGGAACAAGCTCAAGCGTGGGCACAATATTACCAGGTACGTTAAATTTTTAATTGTTTCATTTTATACCTTACTACCTACCGCGATTTCGCTCGTATTATTGTCAACTCTGCATTTGTCAAGTTGTTCAATATAATAATAACATTAAAATTTTTGTTAAAATAAACATAATGAGCATAAATCCATAGAAAGTGCGTCCGCCGCGTGCATCTCTCGCCGGTGGTAGCTAGCCATGTTTTAGTAATCTCATGTGTTTTAGTGTTTCTAGAATTTTGGTTTAATATTTTTTCTTTAACAAATTTTGAAATAGGTCATTATTAATAAGTAGTATCTTTTACTATGCCATTCATACGAACCTATTCCTGGCCTACAGAAGTAATTTTAATAAAAAAATAAAAAAACTTTCTCCCTCATAAGCACACGTTAATATTATTTTTATAATATGTATTAGTAAAAACTAGGAATGTATAAATAACGTAACCAATCCAATGTTTCTAGATGCAGAATTACGCAGGCAATGCGAATGCGGGCGCCAACAACGCTGTGACGGGTGGTGACAAAAAGTGACAGTGCTAGTGATCCTGCACGGGTATCGAACTGGCGACCAAACGGTTAAAACCTGCTAGATATTTACCGGTCCTATATATTAATTTAATTGCGAGATACTCAGTATTTCAAAATATCGAGTTATAGCGAAATACTGCGGTTTATTTTATCTCCGTGACGAAATCTAGCAAGTGTATAAACTAATTCATTTAAAGTGGTCGTTAGTTTCGTAATGACATATCGGCAATGCAAAGGTAAACCCAAAACAGTTAGACACTACTAGTCACAGGTTTGGTTCACGTATATTTTTAATTCAAAATGCAATGAGCTTTGTCTACACTAGATATAAGAACATAACAATAGTACTAGATAAGATAACAATTTTGCCTTTGCATAGTCGCATTCACAATCACCGATACACGACTATTGGGAATTTTGTTACTAGATAATTATTTTGCACTCTTTGATTTGGTTATTTTTCTTATTATTTGTTCTAATTATTACTTACGTGGCTCATTGAAACTAGAATCTGTCATTGTTTTTATATTTTAGTTAAATGTATTAAGTAAATAGACATTGAAAGCCGTTGTAAGTACTACTGTACGATTTATTTTTTACATTTTTGTTCCCTTGGAAATTCAAACTACATTATATATACATATATAGTGATAGTCACTATATCACTTTTGAAATTAAGTTGGATGCATAACTTTAAAAAGTTGAATTTTTCGCTACGTAAACTTCTCTGTAGAATTTTCTAGGCGATGTATACATTTTAATTACTTCTTCACCTTTGACATGGGAGGGTCAATTCAGGGTGGATACACACCCTGAATTGACCCTCCCATGTCAGTCAGAAAATGCATCCAATAGTAATCTCTGCTCTTAATAAATAGTAATTAATTTTAAAACTACATGTTTGAAATATCATACTATTTCCAACCTACCTAAGTATTTGGGAAATGTTACGGCGTAAAAGTTTAATAAAATGGCGGCATTCACACAGTAGTCTAATTGCCGTCAAAAATGCCGCTACTGTGAAGTGAAAAATAGCTGAAAACATAGATATTACACGAAATAGACTGACACTATAGCGAAGCATCTGTGAAACATGTTTAAACAAATTCATGTTGAAACGCTATCTATATTGCCTTAATATTTGGGCCCTGAATGGGCGGCCTTATTCATTAGTTCCTTGCCATGTTAAATGTACAGAGATCCATTACAGTTCCGAAATTGTGTGATTAAGTGATCCTTAGATAAATTACACCGCTGTAGCAATTTCCTTTTAAGATAGAGCATATTTTAATGATTAGTTTAGGAAAGAGTGTCTTTTTGAGAATAAATTCTTTAAATCTAAGATACTATTAGAATCAGAAATGAAACGGCCCAGGAAGAGCGCCGGATTTCAAATATCTAATATCTGCCCACTATGAAACCGGAAAGCTGACTATCCGACTAAAATAAAACTTATTTAAATTTGATCCTTTAATCGTTTCTGCTACAAATGTGTAAATCGAATGACGACGGCAGGTATCAGTTTAAAGTCGGATAGTAGTTTTCGCCGGATTCTTCTTGCGTTTCGTCTCTAATGTCAATATTATCTTAAAGAATAGTATTTCGGCTATAGATATTAGTGAAACACGTTGGCAATATAGAGTTTAACCAATTTGGTATGAAGGTAACTTTAAAATTGTAATGTAATTTAAAAAATTGGGTTTAGTTGTAAGTTTTTTAATGACTAAGTTACAAGAGTAACGTTAGATTGTGTGTGTGTGTGAGTGAGTGAGTGGTAAGCTCAAGCTTCTGTGTACAAATGCTAGTTAAGTTTGTGGCACGTTTGGATTGTCACCACTGAAAGTAATGAATAATAAAATGTATTCGTTAACTATTTTTTTGGTTTTACTCTGTTTCCCCGCTATTTGTTTCGTTTGCATAAGTACCCACTTACAAATATAACTACAAAAGTAAAACAAATGTCGTCATATATTCTCAGGTTTTTATGTTCACTATACTGAGTAAGCTATATTTCCATAGACAATTCTCTGTTTAACGAAATGACTGGTCTAGTGGTTAGTGATCCTGACTGCTGAGCTAGAGGTTGTGGGTTCGGTTCACATCCAAAGCAAATAATGGTGTGGTGAGCACGATGTTTTGCTCTGAGTGTATTTTTTTGATTAATGTTAGTTACTACACGGAATTTCATCCCATACATATATAGTATGGATTTTGTTAAGTAACTATGCTCAGTAGATAGCAATGCATTAAAAATAGAACATTGAAGGTTCGAGGATCTCATTTTTTAACAAGAGAAAGAGAAGAAACAAGACAGATAAATTAGTGAAAAATAGTAGACCTAAAATAAAGAGCCATGACTTTCTTAAACGTGAATTAAAATTGTTATGGTCAAAAAACTTGAGCTCTCAATCCAGACGCGTGCACAAAGTGGCGTAGCCCAACTCTTAGTACCTACTCACTATCCCTGTGGTAATAATTTTTATTTAAGAATTTAGTTAAGGTTTTCTCAAAAAAATAAGAAATGCCCAAATCTGTAGAATATGACATTACATATTTATGGCGGTATATCTAGCTCCCTCAATTCGTTACGTCTTTACTGAGGAATCTGCAAAACATGAAGATTACTGAAGAAATACACAAATACGACTAATATATTTTACTTAGATAACTCCGTGAATTATTTAAAAAGTAATAGTGTCACAAAAGCTAACACTAACAAAACCCTCAAATAATAGAAACAAGAAAAAGATGGCGATACAAAAACTTAATTTTTAGTGCACCAACTCAGTCATCTAAAGGTAGACTGGGCGAAATTGCCTGGTGCATTAAGACCGCCCCTGTACAGTGAATTGTTATTTATCCAAAACTAATTAAATAAATATAATCCGCAAAATTAAAAATCAAACTACCAACTATTTATTCATTACGGAAATAACAATTAAAATGGTATATTTGTGTTTATGTGATTATTAGGATTATGTTAATCTGTGATTGATGTTAGACACAATTGAGTACCTAGGTAGGTATGCAAAATACAATCCCTAAAATTTTAATCAGCACAACGCTATCTAGTAGGACCAAAATGATGCATGTAACTTCTACGAATAAATACGGCGGCACCAGGTGGCATCGATATAATTAGCGGTTCTCTATTTTTTCGTTTCGTTATGTCTATGGATTTCCGCATTCTGCAGCCTAATGTACTTACCCAATATTAAAGCGCTGTTTGATGGCAGGTGTAACAAATCAGTGCAGTAAATACGCAATCAGCCAATCTCATTATTCAGTCCGATGGGTAGGAGGAACAACTCTTCCTATTATAGAAGCTCTTCAGGGAGTGGATGTCAATCGTATAAGTCGTTTCTCATTCAAAGTTTGCAAATGAAACCAGTGACTGCAAACTTTTTACACAGTTTATTCATTCAAAAATTATACTATTGCCAAACTTTAATCTTGACAATTGTGAAAAACCTTTAATTATCGCCATTCAACGAGAGGAAATAATTCACAACAGTTTTCCGCCTCATCGAATAGAATATACATTGATTTAGTTTATGTAACAGTGTTATATTAATTATTTATATCTAGATAATATTAGTTCGTTACATTCTCATTTAGTTACCACTTTATAATAAAAATAGAGACTTCGATCAACACTCAAACTACAAACAACAAATCGAAATTTAATTCGCAACTACTATAAATTAATTGTACAAAATTTCAGTAGTATACTTTTCAAGGTTCACGATTAATCATTACATAAAATATAACCATCAGATAAATATATGGCCATAATTGTCGAAAAAATATACACACATGCACACACAACTTACTTAATTTAAATAAATGCAAACATTAACGCCAAAACTAAAATAAACTTTGGTCTAAAGAACCCACTTGCAATGTAAAGATTAAGTGACGCCTGTAACTAAGGTGAACGAATGATGACATGTACATATAGATTATTGACCGAGTTAAATAAATTAACGGCTAGGGCATGATATAGATAGTGAGGAAAAATAGTAATGGAAATTGAAGCTGTTAAAAATTATTGTAATGTCAGAGAGCTGATTTAATAATTATACTGATCTGGAAAAGCATGAAAATGGTGAGTTTCAATAACGTATAACACTTTTATTTACATCATGAATTGGTTGGAACACGACGAGCTAGTTAAGCTAGCACGAAGCTTAGCTAGCTTAGTTTTTTAAATAGCAAAAGTCTCACATGATTTTGTAGACGTTACCTGCAAATGAATTTGCTGTAACATGTATGAAAATGCTAAAGTATGGCTAGCGACACAGGTGTGGAGAAAAACAAAATATGGCCGAACTTAATAAATGAATAATAAAAACAACGGAAAAGACCATATGCTTAGTTTGTATGTAATGAAAAAGAATATTGATACTCCAAATTGTTCAAGATAATAATAATAAAAAAAATATCAATCGCAAAAGAATAAATACTTATGTACATCTCGTAATTGTTAGACACTAGCGATTTTTTCGTTGCGTATTCTCTTATTTTTATTTCTCCGTGACCTCTATTTCTTTTTCTTATAAGGCGGTATATATTTCTAGTATTGCTTTATTATCAATATTTTGCATTTTTAATTGTTAAATATAATTTTTAATCTTAAGTAGGCAATCATTTTTGTGGAAAATAATATGATACAAATTGTATGAAGATAAGAAGACCTCTGTAAAGTTTGTTCAACTTAAGACTTCGTGGACCAAGATTAGAACAGCAAGAAAGTACAATAAGGAACGGATTTTTAGTAATTAATTTTGCTATTATTAAAGAAAACAAACTGGATTAGGCGAACTAAAGCTTTGTGTTCTTTGGTTCTCAACTGACAGATGACAAGACATGAGGCGGTATTTTAAATAATTATCTATAATAACTACGCTATGTAAGAGCAAGTACACTTAAATATTTTTTGAAGTAAAACTTCTTTACGCACGCTTGACTTGGGGAGTACGCAGGTGAATGCGTGACGAGAG